CATAATTGAATTGGATGTTGTTGTATGTTGTTCAATGAATGAATGTCTTAGCCAAAATTTAGATTCAACTACTAGAAAGATGTGTAAGAGCTAAAAATATCAAGCTTCATAAAGAGTAGAAGATGTCTTTAACTCATCACAAGTATGTACATATTCTTGAATTTTCTTGTAATACATGATATTTATAAAATCATATAACATTTAAGTTAACAAGATGATCAATACTCAAGTCTAAATTTTTTTTATCAAATATGAAAAATGACATTTAATTATAATGAATAATTTATTTTGTAAAGAAAGCTCATCTGTAAAAATTAATAAAATTGCACTGATGGCATAAATTTAACAAAGAATAAGAATTAGCATTTGAAAGATCTAACATTTTTGACATGTTTATAATAAAAATAACATGAAGTAATTTTTGTATCTCAGATGAAAAAACTTTATATTTATAACTTGTTAGTATATTTCTTTGTCAATACATAATACTTCAAACAAGTGACTGATGAAATATTATATTTAATAACGTGATCAAAAAAGAGGGAGCAATATTTAATGTATGAAAACATATGAATTTGTGTGTAAACTCCATACCATCTATGAAGTGTAAGATCTCAAAACATATGTAAGTTCTTTGTATTATATGAAGCTCTGACTTTTTAATTTAATATAATTCTGAATGAGTATGTGAATACTTATCACACTGAACAAAAATGAAACGTTCTATTTTCAACCGATATTCTAAGTAGAGTGTTTTGATTGTTCCATAAAGGTAAGTATCTTTGTAATGCATGTGAAAATGATCATGTTTAAATTTGCCACATCCAATATATTTTTTGTTCCTAAGTTGCTTAATCTATATGATTCAGATATTCTAGATGCTATAACATATGTTTTTTAATAATGTAAATATTGTTATCCACTTCCTTAAATATTGCTATCATTTTTTGCTACTCATTCCATTACTTGCCATCTAGGATAGATCGAAGTTCAAGCTAATCTAAATCTATGATATAATAAGCATAAAGCAACCCCTTGCTGCGATGTGTGCAATGGGGAGTTCAAAAGTATAATTGATTAATTAAATTTCTGTGATAAGTTAAAAATAAATTATTGAGTCTTGACATTAGATACAGTGGTTTGAGAAATGACCACCATATTTTTTATAGATATTCTTTATACCGAAGCAGCCTTTCTGCATTTTTCCTTCTTATAGTCAAATATATGAAGTACCTTGTGAAACTGAGGATTATTTAGAAACAAAATAAATTAATTTGAGTCAACTAGAGGAAAAGCTATATTGCTCCAAGCAATTTCATAATGTAAAATTGATTCAATGGTTTTGGATGACTTTGAGATTATATGTACATTCTTGAACCTCATTGTAATTTTTGTAACTTGTCCCAACAAGTTACAAAAATCACATGGACATACTTACACCTTTGAACTAATAGCACGAATGCACAATCACGCTCCTTTGGAGGCACTTGCCACGAAGAAACTCCAATGAAAAAATATCTTCGAGACTCAGAGTCCGAGTCACTGAAAAGGTTAAAGTCAATTCTTACAGAAGTGGATGAGGCCTGTTCACTGGAATCTGGGAGCCGATGCCTCCTAACAATTCCAGACCAGCAGTAGATATGTGGGAAAGGCTCGTAACCTTCCGAATGGAGTTTTGTGAGTGGGACTCGGCGAAAAGTTGTCTGGTGTCGTTTGTGCTCTTTGGCGAGTACATGGCACAGCCCAAATATAATCGGAAGGCCAGGAAGCCTCCTTGAGTTCGATTCCCTCCAAGAGCGAGGTACCTCCCACCATCGGGGCCGTACCTTCGTTTGTCTTTGCCATTCTCATGCATTGGCGACCACTTGCGTGAATCTGCATGTTGGAGCAGCAAATCGTTGTATTTGATATGCCAATGCGGTGGATTTCCATGACTGTATGCGTCGTAGGAAGGTAGAATATAGCTAACTTTAGAATCATTAGAGTTGATGTGATATTATTTCATTTCAAGAGACTGTTGATATGATTTGGATTTCACCATATCATATCGAATTTTGGATCTGATAGCACGAGTTCTGCACTTGTTATAAATTCAAGATATGAACTTTTGTACTTTATAATGAACCATGACTGGTTTGACAACCAATGTTTTAAAGTTGAAAGGAATAATCTTTGTATACTATTTCCAAAAAAATAACATATTTTCATTTCTCTAGCGTTCCATTGACACATGGAACGCTCATCTTTTATATGTTTTGGAATCTACTGGTATGAGATTTTACATCTTTACTTGTCTAGCTCTATATTTATTAACGCGAAATTGGAAATTTGTCATTGGAAATTTGTAGTAGCCTATTGTGAAGAACTGATTAAAATGTTAATATAAAATATTTAATAAATACATTATTTATTATAAAACGCTATGATATTATGAAATATATATATAAATGAAAATACATATAACAAATAATTTATTCTTATGATATTTAAATTTTCTCAACTCATATGTTTTATTAATGCAAATTATTTGAATACAAAATTTTTCTAGATTAATTATTTTTAAAATTTCAAAAAATTATATAGTAAAATTTTTTTTTTACTTAGATAAGATTTTTTTTCTATGCATATATGATGAATTATGTTACAATTATAAATATTGAGATCACATAATTAAAAAAATACAAAGATGAATCAAATTTTTTTATCTTTTTATGTATATTTAATATTTAAAAGTATTATTTTAAAATTAAATATAATCATTTGAGTATATTTTATATTATGAATAAGAGTATTTATATTTTTTTCACATAATTCTATCAATTATTTCAGTTAAGATGAAAAAAATGAAATTCAATATTATCAAAATTTTCACTTAAAATTTTCATGAAATAAAAATTTGATGACAAAAATATGAGATTTATTTTAATCTCCTTACATAAGTGCAGATATGCAATTATGAATGTTTCCACATATTTTGAATTATCATTATAAGCTAAAGCTCATTTTTTTGAATCAAAATATCAACTTGACATTAATACAAATTTTAGAATTTATCACTTGATTACGATATTTAGAATTTTTTATGTTATTCAACAAAATAAAAAAATATTTCAAGGTTTGAATATTATTAATAGATCTCGATTCGTCATAATAAGCTGCAGGATAATTTAGCTAATACAATATTTTAGCTGTTCGCGTACTTTTTGCTTTACTTTATCAAATTTTTACACCAATTCCCAAATTTTCTCAGTAAGAATTCTAAAATTACTTCAAACCTTAAAGTAATTGCCAGTAAATATTTTAATTGTGTCTCTAGGTTTGAATATGAGTATGAGTATGCAGATATATTTTGTTACCATCTTTGGAATATATAGAATTGCAGATATTGTCATAGACTTCAAAGTCTTCAGAAGAGTGTGTAAGATTCATGATTGATATCACCCTTTAAGCTTATTCCTAGTCAAATATAGTCAATATATTTACATTTCTTCACATTAAGTGCTATTTGGCAAAAGCCATAATGTAGCAATAGTTATACGATGAATCTTCACGAGTTTCACACACATGTTTCATGATGCCATATTTCTCATACCAAACTATGGGGTTCTAGACTTTGGTTTCATCCATTAGATCAAATGATGGAGACTTGCGTCTTCATTGGATAATCAGATTTCGTTAGAATTGTTTTGAATAAATCGACACATTTCTAATGGTTCCTACGCTAACAGTGGATTAGACTTGTAACGACATGTAGACATGTGCTGGATCTGATCAAGGACCACGCTTTGGATGATTTTTGCTGGGACAACTTAACTACTGCTGGTTTCTCCACCGAAACATTAATAAACAATTGTACCTCTAACTGCCTGCAGATCTCCTTCGGATTTTATCCGGCCAAGGAAATCACTCGAAGATATTTAACGCCTAAATTAAAAAAACTGCAAACCCATCAAACGAAATCTAAAATCTGGCAGTAGTAATAAAACTGCTCAATATCTAAAATCATTGGTAAGTTTCGGTTCCTGGAGAAAAATCTAGATCCAGCTTGACGGGGGCTCGTTGCGATGATTAGCGATCTGGCCCAGCTCCCGAAGAAAGCGCCGCAACTTCCAGCACGTGATCCTGTTCGACATTCCTTCGTACTGTACTGTAGCTGAGTTTATCAGAAATTTAGACTTTTGATGCGCGGCAGACATGGCAATTTAATGTTGCCCTCGGTCCAGCTCGTCCACGAGATTAGGCGCAGAAGATTTGCAGCTCAGTGCGATCCGACACTCCATTCGTCATTAGGCTGTTATCAGAGCTTCTCCTTTATATAGTCTCCACACAGCTCGGGATCATCACATCGTCCATCGATGGGGATGATCGAATTAGAATGGCAAGCTCATTGAATTCGAGGCTATTTCAGAGCCTCGGTTTACTGGTCGAGAGAGGTTTCGGTTCCACTGCCCCACTTCACGACACAGACTGTCAAATTGCCCCGCCCCTCGCCGTGCTGATGCTGACGCTGTCATGACAAATTCCCATCTCTGAAAACATGGACTATACGACCGATTCCTTACATTTCTGCTGGTGGTCGTTACTCAGGCAGTGTACCTCTATCGACGCTGGTACCACGATTCGCAGTGTAAGTTGTAACCATCGTCCGCAGTCGGTACCACGGCACCAGATTTTGCAGCACGTTACTTCGATTTGAGGGGCGATGGTGGCCCAACTGCTGTGGCAGTGTAGGCGTGTGACAGAGAGACACATGTTATGGCAGTGATGAAGCAGTGAGGAAAGAGTGCGAACTGATCACAGATACGGCTTCAATAGGCACACCCGCGTGATCTTCTCTTCCTTCCAGGTGCATGGCGATTACAATGCGACTGACAGTGAAAACCTCAATGTGACTGTAATTGAGGAGGGATTGCACGGTGCATGTGTCATTCAGTCATTCGTCTCGTCAATGCACGGGTACATTCATGTGAGTCTCGAGAGGGCCAAAGGACACGCTGACAGACAGTGAACAGAATGTGTGTTTCAATTCAACACTGTATTGCATCAAATTACAGAACTCAAAATGTTCAAGTTCGGAGCTGGACTCAAAGAGTAAGCGTGATTTGTTCAATCGGAACGATGAGCCAGCGCTCTTTTATCTACGTACATGATAAAAATCTCCCCGCTCAGCAAATGTTGGTGGTAACAGCGGAGACGGACCTCGTATCATCGAGAGATCTAGGACCAGATGCCTGTACTCAAAACCGCTACGAGATCGACGAACCTCTCTCTCTCTCTACTCCTGAAGGACCACACTCGCACGCACTCCTCACTCTCCCACGAAAATCGTCTCCTTATGGACAATGTTGTCAGAATAATATTGAATGGTGTTCTTCTCCACACAATTTATATATTATATTACTGGGAAGCTCGCCCCCGTGCGACACTCTCGTTCTTCAGATCCGGCTCAGGGTCGACGCGCGAAGATTCAACATGCTAATCAGAGCGTCGGCTCGAGCGGACGATGATGAGAAGGACCGCAAATCGTTTCAGTGTTGCCACGAGCTCGGCATCCCTCAGCCTCGGCGCTGGTTCGCGCGCCGAGATGCACTCTCAAGGATGGATTTCGTCCTCCGGTGTGATCCAAGTGTGTCCGTTCACGAAGGAGTCGGTGAGGAAGGGCTTCGCGTCCTCGTATGAGAGGGACTTCGCCCATGGCACTCTCTTGCTCGTGTCAGCGCCGGGTCCCGAGCACTCGTACTGCCCGTAGTACACCATTCTGCGAGCACCACCAGCACGATCAGTATCGACGCATCGCTGAGATTCGCATCAAATCGCATTGCATTGCATTGAGAGATGCAACAAAAGCTCGGTCGTACTCACCCTTGACGAGCTGGGATACCCCAATCTTGCCAGCCTTCGGGGATGATCATGTCGTTCAAGTAGCTCCATGAGTAGACGACGCGCGAGTAATTGCCCCACGCACGGCCGAGGTAAATGATTCCGGTCCCGTCGATCTTGCAGTTGACGAAGGAGAAGCCCGTGTTCATGTCGGACTCGTTCCTCTTCTGCGCCGTCAGCGACCCGAAGCTGTCCGCAATGCTGTGCAAGTGGGAGTCCTGCACATCCATCCATCCACAGCAGACATTAAGCAGCGCAGTCTTCAGCCCAACAAGAGCAACCGAAGCGAGAAACTTCACCAGCGATTACAGTCGAGCTCGACGCGAGCTGACGAGCGAGATGGACTGACCTTGAAGTACGATTTCCCGTTGCCGAAGACGAAATCGATGGAGCCTTGAATGTAGGCGTTCTGGAAGTAGTGACGACCCTGGTGAGCGTAGAGGGTATCCTGAGCTCCGAGGAATGCCACATTGTAAAACGCGGCCTTGTCTCCGCTGATTCTGAAGGCCACTGCTTGCTTTCCGATAGCTCCTGGCTCCGGGGGAGGCGAGGTGTTCTGCAGCAACGAGAGTCAGAAGCAAGCCTTCCAATGCTGCAAGAGATTGAAACTCCACACAAACACGACCATAATAACCACGCTGTAACTCTGCAGCCGGCTGGTACTGTAACTCGATGATCGAGGGTACGACACGAACAAGACAAGAGCACGAGCGGCACAGTCAAAGCTGCCTCACCTCGAAGCGGATATTCTTGGCGATGAAGTGGTCGGAGTTCACTCCCACGGTTGCACTGCGGTATGTTTTCAGCAATGCGTCTCCGTACTCGTCTCCTGCGGTTGCATGTCCGGTGATCACGGTCTTGTCGGCACCCTCTCCGATGAATGTGATGTACTTCTGCGACGATGGAATCACGATCTTCTCCCTGTTCACAGACACGATGAACTCACTCAGCTCCCACTTCACAGCTCGTCACGTGTGCACTCGAGCGTGACTGTCATTCCCAAATCTCATCGACAGTCGGATTGTGAGTGAGTGAGTGAAGCAGTACTTACTCGTAAACTCCTTCCTTGATGAAGAGAGTCTTTCGGGCGCTGTTGTAAACGGGAATGGAGGCCAATGCTCCAGCGATGGTGTAGAAGTCACCGCTTCCGTCCTTGGCCACGTAAATGACTTCCTCGGTCTTCGAGTTGCCGCCGTGCCTCCTCTGCTCGGCGGGCTGGACATCGGGCTTGCTGGCGGCCAGAACCTTCTGCTTCGCCAGCCATGCGTCGTAGCCCGACAGCGAGCTGCTAATGTCGCTGGTGATCGACTGCTTGTTCAGAATCTTGGCATTCAACGAGTTGACGGTCTCGTCGGAGACAGGATCAGAGGTTTTAGAAATGTAGTGCAGCCACTCATCGTACTCCTCCTCGGCCGACAGCGCGGACACCGCGACGACCGCACACACCAGCAGCAGCGCTGCAATGCACAGCCTTCTCGTTCCCGAGGATCCTGCCATTTTTCACCCTGCAGAGCGAACGGACCCACAGCAATGCTCGTCAGGCCATGGACTCGACGCGCACAGAATTCCTCATGCTCTGATTTCACGAACGAGAGCCGAATCAAAGTGCCCACTGACGACCGATGGCAGTGGAACTCGTCACGGAGCAATGTCAATGTACACGAGAGACATCGCAGACAGAAATACAGACAGTCGGATGCGGAGGAGAGAGGAGAGGTTAGATAAGAAAGCGTTAGGGGAGCTGCAGGCGTTCTCCATTCTGAAAACGTCCGTCCTCTGCAATGTTATTATTCACTGACGAGAATTGGGGACGACACCTGCGACCTGGCCTGAGATAACGGCTTAGCCACCGACCGGGGGCGCCATCCGTTTCGTTTCGGGAGCTCAAGGGGAGAGAATTCTTCGAGTCTAACCGACGGCCCTCCGATGGCTGTCATCCTTGGGATCCGGCTCTGACGACCTGGAAAGCGAGCTCGACTGCGGACCTTGGCGAAATGAGACCCAAATAAAACACCACGCCTGCAACTTCGAGTTAGAACTGGGTGCACTAGCTTCCTCATCTGGCCCCGCCCAGCCCCGCCCCGCCCCGTCCCGCACAGTCCAGTCCAATCCCCGCACTCCTCACCTCTCCATTCGGAACAGACCACCACGAGACCGGGCATGTACGTGACAATGCAGTTCGACTCTCCAAGCTCACAGCGTCCTATCAAGGCATGGTCTCTTACTTGGGCAAAATCTCGCCAAAATGCGCAGCTCACCGCGTTTCCTCTCTGTCGCTCCCCTTGGCCTGCGTCGAGCCTCGGGAGATGGTCACACTACGAGTCTAGCTAGAGCCGGGTTTTGGATTTGGTGAGTCGAGTTCCATTAGTGACTGACAGTGGAGCTGGCGATGCCCTCCCTTCCTGCCTCCCTCCCTCCCTACGAGGCGAGAGGCCGTCGACTGTCAGTGGCGGAATTGGCTGGCGAGAGCTCAGTCAGTCGAGGAGGACGAGGGCTAATCTCGCCAAGCGTTTCGAGGACATGGTGGAGCTTCGGGTCCGCGAGTTCGTTCAGAAGGGGAGCAGACGGGGGAGAAAAATCCACGCAAGTGCAGGAAGCAAACAACGAGAATGCAACGACTAGGATTGGCACACAGAGCCTTGTATTCAGTCAGTACCTTGAGACAGGGCGAGCGATCTCGAGCGAGCGGAGTGGGAAATGCAGCAGAGTGTGCTGACTACACACTACGAGCGAGCATCGACTACGCGACTATATGAAAAGAGGGGCGTCTTCGAGAGAAACGTCCTCGTCTACTCCTTAATTAAAGGAGGATCAATCCGAGTCAAGCTGCTGCTGCTGCTGCTGCGGGGGCTTGCGTCTGCGGCTCGGGCTACCCCACACTCCCAATCTCAATGAGTGGAATGGCTGCAGAGCTTCACTTATGAGACTGCTGTTCAACAACAGCTGGAGCTGGGCCACCGCAGCTTTACCCGAACTAAGAGCACTATCGGCACTAACGCGCACTAGTGAAGGCAAGTGATGAGGTTACCGGGTGGAGACTGGAGGCGGACGGGGCCTCGAGAGCACATGGCATTCGAAGGATCAGAGGGGGGAGACAGTATTAATGGGATGCATGCATTGGCCTGCGACGCAGGATGAGCACTAGCGCTAGCGTTAGTGCTGTGGGAAGGGTAGCCTCCCCTGTCCAAATTGTAGGCTGGTCGCGCCGGAGCCCACCCATCCGTTTGCGTCCTGCTCAGCGCCTGTCGCTCTGTCTGGCCGCCTGCTCGGCAGTCTCGTACATCTTTACACCTGCACTCCACCGTAGTCATCTGCACCGCCAACTTCCCCGCTCGCTTTCGCTCCGAATTCATTTCACTTGCTCTGCTTTCTGCCGCACCTCTCATCGTAATTGATGCATTCCCCTACCTCATCCCCTCTGTACTCTCTCTTCTCCCGAGATCACTGATCTCCCTCCCCCTCCCCCTCCCCAACCCCGCCCACGCGTAGCACAATGGTGACCTGATCACTAGTACTGCACTCGCTTTTCTTTTCTTCCACTGACTGACCACCTCTGCACCACTCCTCACTCACTGACTGTCAGCTTCACTCCCCTCCCTCCTGCCCCCCTCCCCTCCAACCTCTCCCTGCCCTCCTTGATCCTCCCTCCCCCCACTCGCCCTCCTCCCTCCGCCATCTCACCTTCGCTTCTTAGCCTCTACAACATCTCCCGAGCTCATTCCAGCAATTCTCCACTCTCTCTCTCTCTCTCAGACTGCCTCCCACTCTGCGAGCTCGCCTTCTCGGCAGCTCTCTCAGACTGCCTCTCTCACTCGTTGTCTCGGGCTTCTCCAATCTCCCTCTCCTTCTCCTTTTGAACGACAGTCGATCCTCCAGTGCGACGACTGCAGCAGCCAAGCTCGAGCCTCAAGCCCCAGGCCCAACCGGGACTACTACTACTACTGCACAGTGGTGGTGGTGGGGTGGGGGGAGGGGGGGAAGGGAGGCCAGTACGGCGGTGGGCCCTCTGCCCGGCCTTCAGTCCCGCTCCCCCAAAGACTGCGCTGCCGATCTCTTGACTCGCACCCTCGATCCGCCGAGCAAGGGCTCTATCCGTCGGTCGCTCCTCACCTCTCGATTGCAGGTACGGGTGTCAGAATCGCAGGCAGACAATTTCCCGGTGACATGGACGCTCCAACGAAGCAAGCCCCCCCGCGATGCATAGATCGGCACTCGATTGGAGACGACCTGTCCGGTGACTTTATGATCCCATCCCTTAACCCAACCTCGCCCACTTCACTTTACCTCGGTTACGCTTCCGGTTAGGTGAACGGGGCGAGGTTCTCCTTCGAACACCCCTTGCAGTGCACGAAACCGGTGTACTGTGCTGTTACATTCTGGTCAAAGTCATTCTGCAAGACCTTTCCGATGGTTCGTTGAGTTCCGACGCTCGCAGGAGGGGATGCAGTCGGGCTCCTCACTAACGCAGTTCCCCGGACGCTGTCGGTCGGTCGAGTATGTGGCATGACACGGCAGCCCGAAGATTGACATGATGTGGCATGACATGAGATGACATGGCATAACATGACATGACATGCCGTTGCGGTGCATGCGGGCGATGCCGGCTGCCGGGCTGGGGGGACGGGGAGGGGGCCGAAGGACGGGCTGCGGGCGGGCTGGCTGGTTGGTTGGTGGAGGGGTGAGCAGTCTGCATCAGTCCGGCTGTCCATGCCCCTCGAGGCTTGGACTCGAGGCCCCGCCCTCCCTCCGTCCCTCCTCGTCGCTCCGGGGAGTGGGTCAAGTCAATCTTCAGACATCCAGCTCAGAATCCTCCAACGGATGCTTCGGAGCATCACCAACTCTCCACTTGCTCGGACAGTCGGGCCCGAGTCGCCCGCCCTCTCGCTCTTTTCGGCCGCCCCGAATTCGCTCTGCATTAGCTCCAGATCTTCCTCGTGCGTGTGCGTGTGCGTGCAGTCATGCACAAACTCCATCGATCTATTGAGTTATATATCTCACTCTCGCTGGATGTCCGTCTCTGTCTCTCCCTCTCTCTCTCCTCGATCATTCGAGATTAGAGCTGTAGATCAGACTCAAACATGTTGAAGGTGTCGATGGATTTTGGGAGTACTCATGTTCGTGTACGTGTATAGTCTACGACCCATGAAAACACGAGGGTGCTTTAATTTTTGGTAGACCTTCTTTGGCTTTTGGGTTCATATTCAATGCACCCGTGTACAAGAGGAGGCGATGCCGGATGGAGAGAGTGAATCATTACGAGATCATTCAAAAGAAATCGTAGACCGAATGAATATACAGAGCGTGGAAGAAATAGGGGCGGAGGGAGGGAGGGAGGGAAACCCCGCTGGACATGCAAGGTCTTCATGACTTGCAGCAAATATCTTTATAATGCCCACCTTTCAAACGAAAAGCTCATGGACTATCTTTCCATCTAGAGAGGTAGATATTTGAGTTTTTAATACATACTTCATCGTCGATTGTAGAGATAGATAATTCTGCAGCTACCATCACGAACAAATACCGAACACGTAGAAACAGTTTACATTTGACATGGTCGTCTCTGGGTGAAGGAAAAATATGTGCCTCGAGATTTTTGCTTACACCTGTCCTCGAAATGTTCTGCACTCCCACTCCTACCCCGTCGACGCCAACCTTTCGGGTTAGAATATAGCGATCGTAGATGGTGCTGAAGCTATGTCGTCGTATGTAATATCAGGTTAGAAAATCGGAGAAGAAAATGATAATTTTGCTGGACATTATCAATCTGCAGATACACTTGGCAGAACCAGAATCTAGGAGAAGTCAATGATTTGACGTGCTCTACTTCGTTTGCGAAGCATTGACCTTTGTCCGCGTGGTCTCGCAAACCAAAGTCGAGTCCCAAAAATAGTTTCTCCAATTCTTTTGAAGTGTTGAAGTTGTAATTTTCGGTACATTTGTCAAGGAAACCTGTCTCGAGTATCGACGGGTGGAGGACATCGGAGTGAAAGGCTGCACATGGTCTTTTTCATTAATTCTCCATTTGATACATATCGTCATTAGACGTCGAGTTGCACTTTTCTGTAAATAGACAACCTTGCAGTTACATATCCCTTCTGCAAACGAAGATCATGTTCTAAATATGGTCTGCATCTCAAAACAGGCAGAGACGAACCAACGATTAGTCTATCATCGTTCAAAACATGCAAACAAGTAAATATCATAAAAATGTCATGTCACACATCAACATTTTAATAACTGGAGGATACCAATGCTTTTATTCAGTTATGCTACACTTGTCAGTTCCAGGTTGCAGCTCTAGGTAAGGAGGTAGTATCAAAATAAAGAAAGCCAGCACAGGCTACAATATATAAGAAAATCCACCTGCTCCTATATAGTACACATGAAAGGTTGAGCTTGCATGCACTCGATGAGAGAAATGAGGAATTTCTGGGAAATGTAACCTTGATCATGAAGAAAGCAATGGCCTGAAACGAGGCTTGTAAACCAATTGCAAGACTGAGTGGGACCTGATGCAACCGAACCCACATGCCACTGGAAATTCCGACAGATAGGTTCGAAAAAGACCATGTGTTTCCATCTAGAGGGGCCAAACCTTTAAAAGCGATGCTCAAAGAACATTTGCTAACTCCCATTGTTGTTATAATATCTAGATGTTGTATCTAAACTCAACAAACATGGCGCTTTTCGGTAATACTCTCCTCATACTGATATTTAAGTAGGATCATTTGCATATTATCGTTAGATGTAAAGTTGACTAACAACCTTTTTTGGTTTTAAGCGCCAAAATTAGTCTTCCAACATTCTATAGCAAAAAAGTCAAATATCAGAGCTGCATTGCAATCTAGTGTAAAGTGATCAGTTTAAATATAGACTGAACTATATCTGCACGACGCAATTCCTAAAACTTTACGATAGAGTGTAGTGTTCGAAAAAGCCTTCGATTTACATGTAGTTCATGTATTAGATCATACATGATCTACAACAGAAGTCCAATTTGTAAACTGTGAATATTTGGGTTCAGTCTTATTCTATGTTGAACGTTTTCATCTTATCCCTTGATTGGTCTCACTCATCATCTCAAAAATGCTGGTGAGAAGCTATACTTAGTTTATATATGAATCGACATCCATCTTCAGTGCTTTAGAAAAAAGTGGGGGGTTTATAGAAAAAAATTCATTGTGCATATATTCGTCAGATTTATTTTCCCTTTTGTCTCCATCGGTGCTATCTCCTATGAAATTCATAATCAATGAGCTTCAATTTTATACAGCCCAGTAATCAACCAAGCAGATCAAATTTCATCGATGCTTGACTTTTCTGTTCGGATGTGCGCTTGTCATGTGGATTGCTTTCAAACTCGTACCAGCGCAGTAACTTGCATTTCGTTCTACGTTTGACAAACCTTATAACCACTGACTTTTCGCAATAATTGTGAATCTTCTTATAATATTTTGTTCAGAAAATAACGAGGATTCAATCAATTTTCTTACTTCAAGGAAGCATTCTTCCCCAGCTGTTGCCTTCGGACACAGTCCAGATCTTTGTCTTCTTGTCGAGCATAGTGATGGATAAGAGTAGAAAATGGAGATCCAGTTCATATGAGAGAACTGCTTCTGAAGTAATCGACGATTTCCTCCGCATTATTGACGACGAGGTGAAACTAATGGTGCGTCAAGTTTCTCTCCTCGGCCCATGCCACTTCATAAGTGCTTGTAAAGCTGTGGAATAATCTCGATAAAGAGCTCGGTGTCTTTCGACAATGAGAGTAACGCATAAAGGTTTCATCTTCCCTAGAGGGACGTACTTCGAGACGTTTGTCTTCTCATGTCTTTCTGTTTAAGCTCGTGTGGGTTTTCAAAAGTCTACTTTCGAGAGAGAAAGATTTTTCTTCACTGGTTCGTACTCTCACAGCATGCGATGGATGAATAGTTAAGCTGCTGCACAGAATTTTTGTTCCCTTGTGTCCTCGTTCCTCGTGCACTCAAATTTTGGTAAAAAACTTCGTTGTCGAGAAAAAAAACCTTTCTTTTGTCGAGAACGTTGTGTATATGATCACCTGAAGTATCTCCACCAGAGTTCATTGACTTGTTGGACTGGTACCCTCAAAAACGATGTAACCATGGTTCAAGTTTCTTATCATATATAATATTATACTGGAATAAATACATATGCAGGAGCCGACTCTTTATAGATATACACTTTGGAATCAAATATGTACATGGTGCTCCTACTCCCACGCATGAGAAGAGATATGATATTATCTTTGGAAGTAGCTGCTCTTCTTTCGTCCGAAAAATCACATGTTTTGAATCTTGTTCACTACGGGCCGAATGTGATTAGTACAAAGAGCCTAGGTATCACTGTATAATATTAAATGTATTATCTGAGACCATTATGTATTTTATTTTAGTAATAAAGTAATATTATTTCAAATAGAGCACTGTACATGTCAAATATTTGTACATAGTTTAAATTACTTTCAATATTATATGACATATTTTTAAGTGATGTAATTTCTTACTTTTTCTATTTATAGGTCGATGAAATTTTACATTCTCATCTATCCACTTGGTACCTTCTCCCAAGAGATCCTGGGACTTTTAAGTTTTGAGCTTTGGAGAGATGGAGATAATAAACTCAGAGCAAAGCAGAATGTAACAAGGAGATACGTGGGTTGTGAGTGAAACACCATGCAATGGGTAGCTTGTATGATCGGATTTATGATCACCTGCTGCTGCTTTTGACACAGCATCGAACCGACCAGACCAGAAATATATTTGATGGAAACACGAAGGCCCACGACATCTCGAACGAACAACGATTCTCAGTGGGCTCGTAAGAGCAAGAGCCCGTGGAATAGTGTGTCGCTCTCACCAGACATGCATCCCAGAGAATCGATTCACATCGAGCTGGAGAACCAAATATCGCAGCACGTACTGGATGGAAAGCATGTATGTATGGACTCCATGGATACGAAGTGATTCCCGGCGTGCCATAAATAACTTCAGAGGCCGCAGCAAACAAGTCAGTGCATGCATTTGATATCGGTACGACAAAGATCCACAAAGCTAAACGACTCTGTAGTCCAACTGGATTTGCATGTGGGACGTTACTCGACACTATTTTGACTATTCTCACAGTACACGACGTCGTGTTGATTTCGTTTGGAACATATGGCTTCATTCATGGCCATCATCATGTCGATTACTATAGTGGTGAGGATTTTGCGATCCTTCTTCGGGTCATGCTGCTTGCATGCGCTGCTGCATCTGTGGGTCCAGTCCCGACTCCGCACTCCAGTTCGAAGAAGACGAACTCACGCAGCGCATCATGTCTTCGTTGGCGAGAGCTACAGGACGGGACTGCTTCTGCCTTTGTGCATCGCTACAGCACTCGAATGTTGGCAGCTTGCATGGGCATCGGCCGATTGATTCCCATGCCCCGTTCGGTTTTCCAAGCCCTCCCGCATCAAACATTTTTTCTGCTCAGTTTTGGATCGACCATGGGTCGATTGTGACACCGAGTGACATGGGATCCTTTTTAGTCAAGCTCGTAAATTTTGGGGCACTTGATAGTCTTAATTGCCAGTGGAATCTGTAGAAGAATCATATCTAATGGCATGTACCTGGAAAGGGTACTTGCTTTCTCCAAGGTCAGATCTCTCTCTCTATCTCTCTCCTTCGGCTCTAGTTGGATTTCGTCAAATGTGCATATAGTATAATTTATCATTGTTATAGAGTTTGAACACGGGATGGAATTGATAGGCACCTGCTCGCACCAACTACAAGATTGGAGTGGATTGGATAGCTCTGGAGGAGCTCGACTGGATTATCCCATGGATGGATACGAGAGGAATAAGTACCGTCCCCATGGACAAGAGAAACAGGTGTACTTACTCTAGACGAGATCGATATAACGAAACTTCCAGTGCCGGCAACGAGAGCATCGGGACTAAGCTGCTTTGGGGCACATTTGCAACAGATTGTGTAGACAATACACAAAGTTGAGATCCTGATGGATGATTCGGAATTTGGTGGCATTTGGAAGACATCTGGCGTCATTAGTGGGTTGAGTTTGGAGGCAGAAACGCAAGTTTTTATTCTTTACCCACGACAAAGTTTGCGCCTACTGATTTGTCTCGAAGCAAAGTGATGCGGAGAAGTTGCATTCATAATTGTGCCCTTGACAACGGGGAAGACTATGATAGTAGTTCTTCTTTAACAAATGGTTTGCCATATTTTCAATAACAATATTTTTGTTGACAACATTGGCGACATTACTCACACACATATATCATTTATTTTGTGTCTAATATGTAAATACACTTATTTCACATGATGTTTTTTCTTTTCAGCTATAATACTAAAAAATTATCGGTAAGGGTTATGCTGACTTTAACGTCAAAGCATGCCCAAGGTAAACGCAATGTGACCCGGATCTCATGGTTTGAAACCCATAATATATTGAAGTGGAGACCCAAGTCATTCGGCAAGTAAGACATAGTGCGCACACAACTTCAATGAAGAATAAATAAAGTTGTAACCTTTTCAGAAGGTTATAATTTCCCTTCCTCGTTTTAAAAGAATCTTGCTATTTTGTCAAATAACCAGAATTTAATTTTCTATATCACGATTTGCTGGAAAGAACCGTTTCTAGAAGTTGTAAAAGCTCAGAAAACCTCAACCAGAGTAGGAAAGGGTTGATGCATAGAGATTTGGACGGGTGCAACAAGATTCTCACCCGTTTGGTTTCATCCCTGTCCAGCTTGTTGGGGTCTTCCCATCCTTTTTGTTTGATTAGTCGGTACCCCTTATTCAAAGGACAAAATCACGGTACCTTTTGAAACTTCAAGGTTGCCTTGCATGTCCATATTTAGTGCACAAGAGACTTAATGAACTCGCTCAAGCAAGTACGTTGAAACTTGACATTGGACAGAATTGAAAGGACAACCAACATGTCCAATAAAACTGTCAAATTATTGCTTTTTTAAGTCCTAGCAAATATCTTGCGCAAGATCTTCAGATTGTTTCTATTTCTTGCCTCGCTCATCATCATCGTTCTCTACACATAGATTCTTAAGAAGCGATGAAATTTGCATGGATTGGAAGGTGAGGGTTTCGCTGGAGTCGATATCAATGTAACGTAGGATGCACTGTTAGGACTATCGAGTCAGACGATTTTGCATGACTTGAATGGGTGTAAAGAAGAAAGTAGATGTGGTTCTGTCATCAAGGATCGTCGAATAATAATCAGAAGACGGATTCTCGATAACGATATAATTCCACATATTGACATACTGTACATGATCTTTGGATTTATCGTGGTCCTGGAGTAATGAATGAGCCACAGTACAGATCTTCCCAGATGGTTCACATAATACTCTACAGTAAGATTCAAATGCTGAATTCGAGGAAGCAAAATTATTCCAGGCACGCTAGTGCACGAATATCCAACAGCTCAAGCTTCATGATGAGGGAGGAGACTCAATCAAGTGCCAGAAGTCTAAGGCGAAGACAATGGATGAGTGAGAGAGTCAAGGCAAATATTTCTTGCTAACAATGCACGAAACAGTTATTCTAAGCATGGACCATGAGCAATCAGGCGAGAGAGAGGTACTGTTTGTATCTTGTTAAGCCCGAGACACTCACACTCCCACGCAGCGCAGCACTCACGAAGAGTGAAGTCCAGACGATGTCAACAGTGTCCATACGTAAAGCACATGATCAACATTCAGTCAGTTTATTAAGGGAGGGAAATCAGAATAAGTTGAAATCCGTGATGGGAGGCCAAGGAGGTGCTCCCTTTCATACGGAGAAGTCAACTGAAAATCAAGTTATTTCGTCTCTCTCCTCCTCATCTCCTCGACTTCTATCATACTGTATGAGTCGTCTCGACAATGTAGCTCGCGACATGTTGTTCGTGGGTAGGATTTGGTTGCTTCAGACAATGGATAGGGTCGTTATGCATGAATCTAAGCTTTGGTTTGACCATATCGCTGTTCTGATTTGACAATGTCGGATGAGTGACCCCAGAAAAATTGTTGATAATATCTCGGCCATCATGCTGTTGATTTGTTCTCCATCTCTTTTCTTCTTGACAGTCCACCCAATCATATACTTGGGCGAAATATCAACCATTTATATGAGATTTTGCATTTATGCGAACATATTGTTCGTATAAATGCAATAAGGCTCCAACCTTTTCCAGTTCCAAGTCTTCTACACGAATAGCATAGACATCAAACACCTGGTAGGTCCATAAGTGAGGATCGGAATATATTTGTCAACCTTATGGGTGTCACCAGAGTCCACAGAAAATCTCAAGGATTCATAATGATAGAAATTGGGCTTTATTTTTATAAATCGAAGCGGTTTCTTTCATGTCAAGCAAGGAGGGAGTAATTGTCAAAACTTCTGATTTTTCTGATTTAGCTTTGATACCATGTGCCTATCTTTCTGATTGTTATGTAGGATTAGTATCTTGAGTAAGTTTGGCGAGAAAGACAAGATAGAATCTCCCATATTGTCCGAGGTAGTTGACTGCTTGTAGAGGACGCGCAATGAGATTTTTCAAACGGAGGAGAGACATAATCTGTCAAGAAACATCGACTTGGAAGGATCAAAATCCCAAGAGGAATACTCATCCGCAATGTGTGAGTAGAATTCGAGCCAATGACAAAGGCTCCTAACCTTTGTCATTGGCTTGGACTGCTCACCAAAGCTCATAGTAGATATGTACAGAATGTAGTTGACTCCAAGATACGATCCTTGCAAGGATGCAAAAAGTTGGACCTCAGAAGACTTCGCAACCCTCCATGTCTCTATGTTTCAATCCAGACGACAGGGTTCGGTTCATGAACCGTATGATTCCTACAAGAACGACTCGAGAATCAATACATCGAGCAGTGGTTTGTCCTTTTCGGTATGACTCGCTCTCGTAGCCTTGCTCACCTCACAACCTAGGCGGTGCAAGATAAGCACAGCAGGCTAAAACTACCTCATGTGGAGAACAGGACACAGACACCACTTAAGTGTGCGCACAATGTGAGCCTCCACATCATATGTCCACTTTCGTCATACACATCCGTAAGATGTTAAACACATAATTTAACGCAGGAATTGTGAAGAAGTAATGAAGATGTCCAAAAGAAGCCGCAGTGATCTGACGCTGGGTATTCATGGAATTACAACAAAAACCATTTACAGCAGCAGAGTTGGAGGGAGGGAGGGAGGGAGGGAGGGAGGGGAATAGAAATGAAGATCTTGCAAGGATTTCCATGCATCTACGAAGTCTGGGGACCAGGCCAGTGGCAGGGAGAGAGTGTGGGGGTGACTATGTCGTTAGAGGACAAACGACAACCTCCACGCTCTCATGTCGCATGCGAGCATGGGAATAGCCCGATTCGGTCTGCTAACATTCCCACATGCAAATTGAACCGGAGTTAGAAAATAGCACAGAGAGTCCACAATAGACTCGACCAGGTTGACTCCCGAGCTAGAGTTAGAGCTCAGAACACGAACTCATGTCTGAGCGTGATTCTCTTGCCCCAAATTCCACACAGTTAGCATGCACTCCTGTACTTTGGACCTGGCCCCTGACAGGCCAGGGCCCCACGTACTCTGCGTCGCACTACTTCCACTTATACTTCAACCTCTACTACTATCGCTACTGCTGTCCAGAAGATGGAGCCCCAAATCTCCATACTTTGTCAGCTTTGCGTTGTTGGGATTATAGAAGTCCTCGAGATGACGACATCGTCGTCATGGAAGACAGGCCATGGAAAGGAGAGGGAGAGGGAAGTTGCAGAATCACCGGCAGAAAGAGCAGAGCGGCTCGGGATGAGCATCGAGCAATTGGATCCCAGAATTGCCTGGGCTTGCCTTGCCATCTCGGAGAATCACAGCTCTTGAAGCGAATCTCGCCAAGTTGGGGCCGGGGCAGAATCATGAGGGCGTGAGGGAGAAAGGGATGCACAGGCAGAGATCAGAACGGCGTCGCTCGCTGCTTTATGTTCGAGCTCAGGTGATACTCTGGGATGCTAAGATCTGTGCAAAGTTGCAAGCTCTCCGGGATCCGAAGGGAACCGTGAGCAGGTCCGGACACGGTGCTGTATTATGGCTCGTCGTCACGGTGCCTCGTTGAGATGATAGAGTGGATGGGGCCTCCATGACCGACACCAATCAAGGTCCACGAGCGTATTTCCATGGCTTGGGCCAAAAGTTGGTGGCTACGTGAACCCGAAACCTACAGCCTCGAGCGAATAGAATCTGATCCATCACGTGGAAAGACGGGTAAGAAATCGGACCTCGACATGTCGGTCAAATCAGTGTCGTCAGTGAAAACCACTTCCTACATACAACAGCATCCCCCACATACGCAAGCACTCCAGATAAGCTCTGAAATCTCTGAATTTCTCGCCCACAAAAGAGCCCTCGCTGAGAAAAAACTCGAAGATTCTCCGTCTTCAAAATCAAGACGATTCCAAGCTCCAGCAGTTTTTTTACCCGATCCAAAACTCCATCCAAACTCGATGCCGAGCTCGAGCTGGGAAAAGTTCCAGCTATGGCTTTAGGATGATATTCTGCATGTACGTGTTGAGCTTGCTCCCTCCCGGAGGTTGTCACGGGCAAGCCGTGTGAGAAGCCCGCAGATGTCATGCGCCATGGACCCTGGTGGTTTCTGTCGTGAGTGATGGAGTCACTCGGCTCTCGTTGCGGGCTGAGAGATGGTGGGCGATCTGTATTATTATTACCTGAGCACGGGGCGTCGTATTTAGTTAGGGGCGGGCAGGGAGGGCAAGTGGCTCGATGTAGTTGGTGGAAGGAGCTGCGAAGCCTTTTGCTTCTTGTCTCGACACAAGATCACGGTGAGTGAGTGGGGCAAGGGCTTATCCAAAGAGATCTCCCCTTGAGCACTTGTCGCCGTTCGTCTCGAGGGAGTGTGAGCCTGGTGACATCACGGGACGGAGGTTCAATGGAGGTCAAGCTGCTTTCGAAGAGGACTGGATGCACATGTGACAAGTCACGAGAGAGAGAAAGAGGGGGAGAATGCGTGTGCATGAGAGAGAAAAACCGACTCGACTGCGTTGCTTTTGCGCATGGAAAGTCGGTGGGATTCCGTCATCGAAGTCAACTTGGTGGCTGGCAAACACAATTAGTTGCAGATCAAACATAAATTCTGCAGGTCGTTCATCGCATGTTCTGGAATGGCCATCAACGAGTGTAGGTAGGCGGTGGTTCTGTTATTTGATCTGAGCTCGAATTATGCCCAACTTTTGCCACCCCCCTCCGCACACACTCTTCGTGTGCGTGTGTCTCTGTGTCTGAACGCACAAACCGAGAGGCCTTTGCATCCCAACAATCATTTGGAGCTCAGCTGCTGCACCCTCGGTTGAATTGGCTCGAGTCGGTCGAATGTTGGTTGGAGCTTTTCTTTGACTAGGACGGTTGGAAATCAGAACGGCATGGGATTCCGCAGTGATGGCGGTGGTGCGAGCTGGAAAACGGTAAAAACCAGACCCAATCCAGATCCACGAGCATGCCTAGAGCCAAAATGTGGTGAATCTTGAGCCGAAAGCTTTGAACAGTCGTTCCATAACTAACTACCCGTTCAGCATTAAGGTTAGTCGAAGGTCCCACCACTGTCACAGTCCGGGGCCATCGGCTCGTCTAAAAGCAGCATCCATGCATGGAAAAGCCTCAACAACTCCGAGCCCTCGAGTGATCTTTGCAAATGTCTGCCTCAATCCAAAACTCAGAGCAGAACCAAACGGGAAGTTGTTGAAGATCGGGTCGCATGGAATCTTGCTCCAGGAGGAAAGCGGTTCCAAAGTGTGACAAAATATCACCCGTCTGTCTTTTCACAGATTGTGACAGCTGAGAAATGAACACGACGATGCATGAAGAATGAGCACATTGTGGTGTGATAATATTCCGGGAACTTTCGATGATGAGACGCAGGACGTTACAAGAGAGACAAGCACTCTGGATCCACGGGGTCTGTCTTGTTTTGAGCATCTTTCCTCGATCAGCAGAGGTGGTCGTTGTCACCGGCATCGTCCATGGGACCTCCGGCCTCAGTGATTGATTGGTCTCGCAAGAATCTCTCTCATCTGCTCCGCGGAGCATCGGACGAGCTAACGTGGAGCTCTCTCTCACTCCCCCCTCCCTCCCTCCCTACCCCGAGCAGACATGAGGTTCTCTCCTTTCAATCGTCTTGTGCGATGTACCTCAGTTTCGTGCAAGCCACAAGTGAGCTTCTATCTTTTCAGCAGCACTCGCTGAAAAGATTGTTATATGCTTAAATATTATATTCCACATTGCTGCCAGCGCATTTCACAGAGCTGAACGTGGGCGCTTCAGAGCAGAATCTGTAGCAAGAGTTCAGGAGTGTCTACTTAACATGCTGTAGGATCGAACAGCATCAGCCCCTTCAGACAAACAGAGGGAGAGAGAAAGAGGCAGCCAGACAGACAGACGATGCTTCCGATGATGGTGTATCTACGCGAGCCAGCCAGACAGACATGGTGAGCTCACATCTATTCAGCAGCAGCAGCAGCAAGCAAGAATGTGCTTGCACAGCATCGGATCCTGAAAAATGGGCGAAATGAATCTCATCAAAGCAGTGCGTGCCACTGGCCCCTCTGGCAAAAGCAATCCTGTGCCTGTGCCTGCAGCCAGGAACAAGGACAGTACGTGCTACAAACAACAATGCTGCCGTGCTTTCTTACTCTACTCGCCGTATTGAAAGCTCAACGAGGTGAGCTCCAGTCCCGACTGACACCGACGATGGTCAAATGCGAAGACCTCAACCAGCTACAGCAGCCACTGTAAGCCACAATCCACCTCGGCTTCGGCAGCTGGGTCGAGTTTCATTCTCGTCGAGGCAGATGTTCGAGTTTGTGCGCTTTCTCAGGTTCGTAGAAATCCGTATCGGCCCTTTAAGTCTCGAGGCTCAGAGTCTGTGTCAGCGCAGAGCTCACTGTGTGGACCTTTAACGCTCAACTGCAGGCTTGCAGATGTATAAATATAAACGGTACTCACTTGCTGTAAAGGCTGGGCATGAATGAATGACGTCGGGGTACTGTGCGTCCAGCGTAAGCATCGGGAGCCCCAGCAGCTACACTGTCATGCCAGAACTCCTCCAGCTTCGCATTGTACGACGAGCATGCTCGATCGAAGAAGATTCCTTCGGTCGAAGTCGATGCTGATGCGAGCCACTGCGACACCCACACACCCACACTCAGTCTCAGTTCACTGGAACACTCCGTTCACTGAGTGTTGCAGTGAACTGAACCCATCCATCTCTGCTCATGGGGCAGTCAGTACGTCGTACACTGATGGTACCAGCTCGCAGAGGCTTCGAGAGATTGCCAAACTTCTTACGAGAAACTTCTTGCGCTGTTCATTCGATCCTACCGATCGTCCTCGTCGTCAGACTATGGTCCCCGGCCGCTGTCGATGGAAGGTGCTCGTACCTTAGGAGTAGACTCGGAAGGAAGAAGACTGTGGACGTATGCATACGATGGATGTTTGGGATGTGCTTCACATTCTACAGAAAGTTTCTCGTGGCTCCGGCACATGTAGGGAGCCTGGCAACTTGTAAGCCATCATGACCTGAATCTATGACGACAAATCCAGGTTATACTATGACAGTCGAACTATTGACCACCATCATTTTGCAAGTACAGTCACGAGTGCCAGTTTCTGAAGAGCCAGCCACTCGATCCAGCTGATCGACGATAGAATATAATGAAGGGTACCAATTAGAGCCGACGAGCATCGATGAGTGATCAGGAAAAGCAAGTTCTTGCACAATCCAGAAGCCCTTTAGCTTGGCAGACCTCATCAGCTGCTGTATCATTGTTCTCAAGAATGTGAAGGCACTTCTGATTCATGCACTGGCCTTAGCAACAGTGAGTCATTTAAAGCCTTCAGCGAAACGCCAGAGCTGAGTTAAATCTCGGTGCCTCTCTGTGCATGTCATGACCATCAGCTGTTGCATACAGTGGAGACCATGACTGCGGCAGTGATGAATGAATCGCTCGTTCTAGCACCTGTCACTTGCTTCTGTCCATTGGATCAAAGTAAAGCGAATCATGCGATCATCAGCTGAACTAAATGGTGCCGTCAATATGGTAGACATCTGGGCGAGCACTGAAGTGAACGAGTAACGTAAGGCTTGAACAATCTTAGTTACTCAAATCAGGCCACTGGTATCGATTTCACATGTGCAGTCGGATAACATGAACCTGCAACAGATCCACAAACAGGAACCCACCTTTGTATGGACTGCTCGGGTACTTAAGACAGAGTCAACGGTATCAAGCTGCGCGTCAGTCGATTCTGATTTTCGCTCCTAACGCTCTGACTTTACCCCACTGACACTCTCTTCGCTTGCGTCACGTCACAACGAAACCTTTACAGTAAAGGTTCAATGAAACGCAACAGATTCCGTTCAGAGTGCTCATTCGGTTCCTCAGCTGAAAGCTTTCCATGGAATGTTGATGTATCTTGCAACTGTGATCCTCGTATCATTGCTTCAAAGGCCGGACCTGTGGAAGAAAATTTGGAAGTCGCTTAGCAGCCCGCTGCACATCTTACGATCCACTCTGACGGATGATGAGTCTGTCTGATGAGCTCTTGACGGCTGACAAATGAACCCGAACACTCTCTCTCGACTGGATCTTCTGAAAGCTCTTCAAATCGTGAATTCCATGGGTGAGGGGATTGCTCTCCCATCCAGATTCGAGGAACCTTGACTTAAGAAGAGAGTGTTACTATGTCCAACAAACAGATGCATTTGGTCCTTCTGAAAAAAAGGTATCAGCCAGTCATCTACGCTACTTTTAACTTGAGTAAAATAGTGTTATGACCTCCACCCGTAATTCTCTAATTCTGGGTGGAGTTGCGCAAGAAAACAAGCCAAAGTTTATATGAATATGTAAAATGCTTAGGGGAAAAATGTTCAGCTGTCATGTCCTAATATTAAAACCACCCCTGAAATAATTTTACGTAGAGTTGGAGCAGCTTTGACTCATGTTTTTCTCTATGATGCAAGGTTCCCCACTCCCTGCTCGTTTTTACTATTATTGAACAACAATAATTCATTCAGTCTGAATTGAAGTGGATCCCGTTGTCTTTAATCAGGATAATTTCGTTCACAAATCAATCAGATTATTTAAGCATGATCTATATTTGAATGACTATATCTCATCTTTCATGTTGAGCTCTTCTACTTGCATGAACCAACTTTGAATAATTATCACCAACTACGTACTCCCCAATGATATTTGTTTCCGGTTAATACCAGTAGCATCCCCACCACTTAGGTTCAAGAACCATAACAAGTCACGCATTGGAACTCAAGGTATAATGATCATTGAATAGCACTTTCTTTGGGTTGGCCTTTATTTAATCCTCACTCGTTGTGTTTAACAACCATTTGCATTAAAATAAAAAGAAAGAGAAATGATAATACTCACTTGATATTGTCCAATGAGAATGAACATCAAGTTCTCAACCAGTATTGTTTTCAATAAATGGTACGGTGCAAGCTAAAATAGTCATGAACATTAGAACGCTCTCAAATAAGACAGCAGCCATTTAGCCACTTATGTACATGTATGTAGTGAGATTGAAATAATAGTATATAATACATATTAAAAATTAAAATAATCTCTTCTACCTATAATGATTGATGAGTAAAATTGGATCACGAACCGAAGGCGGTCACTTTCAAAATCTCTATCGTGAAAATAGTCAATGATCTATTGACAATTTCCACTTCAAGAGAGTATTGAATGAGGATAACAATGAAATGTAAATGCTATGAAGTTGTCGAAACTAGTTATCTACGAGGAAGTATACATGTATATTGGCACTATAAAAAATAGTTGGAATTTTGGTTTTCTACTGATCACACAAAAACATTTATGTCATTTAGGCAAACTGCTATTGTTATTATACAACATCACAATTGGATCAATAACGCTAAATTGGTCAGAACAACCGAACATGTGATTAACAATATTGGCTGGCTTATGTTTCAATACAACTCATTTCAACGGTGTAGTGCAAGTCTTACTAGTTGGAATTTTGGTTTTCTACTGATCACACACAAAAATTTATGTCATTTAGTCGAACTGCTATTGTTATTATACAACATCACGATTGGATCAAGAACGGTAAATTGGTAAGAACAACCGACCATGTGATTGGCAATATTGTCTGGCTTATGTTTCAATACAACTCATTTCAATAGTGTTGTGCAAGTCTTACTTGTTGGCCGTAAATCGATGAACGCATCAAGGTCTACCGTTGTAGTAATTGCTAAATTGATCAAAACAACCAACCATGTGATTGGCAAGAGCTAGTGTTGTAGGAATTGCGAATTTAAATGTGTGTTGGCAAGATGTTAATGAAATTGTATGTACTATTAATGTCATTTTGGAATCGTTTTACTGCGGTGAAAATTAAGCTTCAACCTACCTATGCGTAAGTCAACCTGATCAACAGCATGTGAATATAAAAATGTCGTAAAGACACAACGTGATACATATTATTTTGTAGTTTACTCAAATGATTTGTACAAAACCGCCGGTGATTTTGTCAACACATTCAGTAAAAGCTATTCGTGCAAGCGCGATCTTAAGCTATTTGTGCAAGCGCGGTCTTGTTGTGATGTATCATTGTTGCATCCCTTAATCCGCTTTTTGCAACGATCTAAATCACATGCAAGGCACTGCAAGCCCGAGACATGATCATATTGCAACAGCTTATTGAATTGACAAGTTGGTGGCAAGTATATGTGGCGGAAGCAGTATTCGCTTGAAATAAAATGGCTTCAAGATTTGAAATCCATGTTGTTCAACAACGACAAGTGTATTTGGTTTGATTTCATTTGTGATCACATTGATGATTAGGGTTCATGTACGTTGGATAATGTTACAAAAAATAACATTATCAAGAAAATTGATCATTTTGCTTTATCAATTGTAATCTAAATGTCCATGATTCAAACAAAGCGAGATTCAAACAACAATGATTTGAGCTTGAAGCACGATCAGCTCGTTAAGAGAGAGATTTAGACTTTATAGTAACAACAAAGCTTCAAATGTTGTAATAACAATTGCACCCAATCTTGCAACAATGCAATTTAATGCTTGCTTGCCCATGAGCTTCAAATAACATAGTATGTCGAGAATAATATAAGTGACTAGATAGAAAATCACTCATTTTGTGTTTTTGAGTCAATTGTGTACAGAAATTGAAGTAAGACATGATCAGATGATGGTAGTAAGTTTTGGAATAAAATAGTATTACCTATGCCGCAAATGTTTTCTAAAACTCTAATGGCAAAATATTATGTTTAAAAAACTGAATTAATTTCAAGTATTAGGATTGAATACATATGTTGTCATTCATTTTTTGCTGATATTTTGAAAAGTAACATAGTTTGAGTCTTGTGGATTTTGGAAGTTGGCACTAATAGTTGAAGTCTAATATACTCATGTTCTTGATCTGTAACCTTGAACTTATCTATACTCATGTACTAGCACTCTATGCTTTCAGTATACTCATAGTGAATACGGCTTGTTCATCTTCTAGATTTTTATTAAATATCAATGGCTTTAGATGTATGGAGAACATAACATGAAGACGAAACTTAAGTTAGCCTCAACAAAGATACAACCTGGTTGACATTCTTGTGAGATAAGTTCAATTTTTTATGATGTCAAGATTGTCACACCATGTTTTCAATACAAATGCCACTATTCAAAAATGTTGGATGCCACAATTATCAAAATATTGTCAAAAGTGGCAAATGCTAATTTTGAAGAGATCAGAAATAATCGCTAAGGTTTATGAGTGATATCCACTAAAATCAAGTAACAATTGTTTATTACCTGTATTGTCACATGATACTTCTAAGTACTGGTGGAAATAGTGAGATCAAAACAACCAAAGGTTCATAAAATATGATAATAACTGATGATGTGGCAACACTTGTTAGCCGCAAGCTTTCTAATGTGGTTGGCTGTTTTTGTTATCCGACTCAACTTTCTTCTATCTTGGCTAAGAAGTGCTTGGGATGCATCAAAATTTATGTTTAAGCTATGATACTTATCTCAATAAAAAAAGTTCAAATGCTACCTACAACGTCAATTTTTTTCTTCTTAGTTCAACTTCATAACTCTCCAAATGTCAATTTGCATGGGTTAGGGGATCAAAATGCTTGAAAATTTTTGGCAAGCTAGAGCTATGTAATTCGTTCGACATGATCCAAAGAACAATCGTTGTATATATCATTGCTCAGATAAATGATTTTTTGAATATTTGATCTTGATAGATTAGTTGTTTTGCACAAGTTTAGCAACAAGGTTTTGATATTGTTGTAGACTTTTCATCTAAACATGGTGAGATTGAACTCAATTGTTATTTAAGTGTTTGAAGCTTTGTTATTGCTTTAAAGTCTAGATCTTTCTCCAAATGTCTTGTTGAATTTTTCAAAAATTGATCGAGATCTATCAAGAGTGTACAATCCTTCTTTAATAGTGACAAAAATAAAAATAACGTCATTCTAACAATGATGAACAGGGATTTAATGAGGCCAATTTGTGTATTTTGTGGTGAATATTTGTGTGATTGAAGATGAAAGATAAGTTGAACTTGATCGATAAAATCTTGAAATTTTGTACAATCTTCTTCAAACTTCTCTAGCAAGTTTACTTGAGTTGCTTTTAATGTTTGAAAATTGATTTGTTGCACAAGCTGAAAGATGAATTTGAGTGTGAGCAATTTAAAACTGTTTCATGGCATTTTGTAGGCTAACATAATCCTTTTGTAGTGGGTGCATTATGGCAACCACAATGTGCATCTGGATGTTGGAAGTGTCAGCCATCTTGAATTCGATACGCTTGGAAGTTCACAATTAAATGAAGTAGCAAATTTTGACGTGGTATTCGGGAAAATCACGGAAAGTGGAGACTTAGAATTGTTAGTAACAATACTGGAAATGGAATCTCATAAAACTGTTGCGGATGTCAATTCACACAAGATTAAAAATAGCACTTGAAGTTTCAAAACTGGAAGTAGTACCACTCAAAGCAAGAAAATTTGGAATAATATTGATAAGGGAAGAGTATGTACAATTGGTGTTGACGAGAGTGAGGTACAATGTCGTGAGACTCTTGCTAAGAGACTACTAAGAATTCTAAAGTTGGAAAGTTGTCACTACTATTACATGTCAACAAGTGACAAAATGTTTTGAAGCTTAAATTGTTCAAAACACACTAGTGAGAAATAATTATATGTGCAATTTTTTCCTCCACTTGTAAACTCTAGATTCTATTTCTTTTCAAATATTGACTTTTGCTTTGACGACAAACAATGCAAGAATCAATTTGTAATTCTTTGATCCCCTTTTAAGTTCATATGGTATACAAATGATTGATCGATTCAGATTTGAGGTCCTCCATGAATTTAAGTTTGATTTTCATAAGTTACTTCCATAATACTTATGGGATATCAAAAATTCTTATCTTATGGTTGCTCATGCCACATAATCTAGGGAAGTAAAATTTCACTCAAGACACTCTCACTGCTTCCCGCCATTGAACATTCCCAACGTCTCTTATCTTCCATATCCAGTTGATACGAATCGACTACAGAAGTTGATACATATGCAAGAAAAGCAAACTACAACCTACACTGAGACTTCTGAAGTAATTACAATCTTTGCAGCAGACACGACGTTGTCCGCAGTCACAACTTCTCTCATACATCTAGAAACTTTCATCCATAAAGTGAACCCCGTAACTTGGAAGCATATATGGAACCCGTAATTCTTTAAAAATTTGATACCCGAAGCACACATTTTACACTATCATGGACAACATGGTTGGAGTTTCTTCCATCCTTTCAAGTCACACACGAGAAAAAAAAACGGCCCGCAAGTCATATACAATTATAATTACACATCTCCTGGAGTGTGCTCGACAAAATTAAGAATCAACATAAGTTGATTTCTGATTTCCACGATTTTAGATAATTCTAGAACGTCTAATACCCTTGTGAATTTCATATTAACGATGAAAAACATCTTGCCAATACATTTTAAACAATAGTACCCCTTGAGTTCGAGGCTTATCGCTTCATACACTATATTTGAAATTTGATTTCAAGAAAAAAGTTTGTATGGTCATAAATTGTAAGACAATCCGACCATGACAGATCTAAGCTCGAGCTGGAGAACTTGAAGCAGTATCATCTTGTAAAGATAATGAGAACTAACGTGAATCTGAATCTGTTGGACAACCCCGGGTTGAACTTGAAGCACTAGGTTGGCAGCTAGAGTAAAATTGATGAATGAATTTCCGTGCAAGCACTACTCGATATATTCCAGTGTTCAATACTGGGAACTTCCGCATTTCCGAGAAACTGGACAAAGAGATGTTTTTCAAACCATACAAGCTGGATCATTGTGGACTACGTTTATAATCGGGTGCAATATTTTGACGTACAATTAACTCGTGTCAATTTACAAGATTCTGTTTTTCAACCTGAAGTATTCAGAATGTCCATTTCAGTTTCCATACATGCGGATTCCCGATGTATACTCTCGTACCTCACATAGCGATAAGATTCCATGTTTCAATGTACAAAGTCGTGAATCTGTGCCCAAACTCTTTCTGTTTGCTTGTTGACAAACTCGTTACAAGACAATGTCGTCACAGCCGTACACTGCTGTACATTACTCTGGGCTCCTCAATATATACATGGGTGGGATAACCAAGGGCACCCAGAGGAAAAACTTCGCAAAATTGAGTAAGAACTAATCTAGGAAAGAAGACTTCAATTGTGAATGGCTGGTGCAAACAATCATCTGTACAACAATAGTCGATACCTAAGGGGTCCTATCATGATGAGGTTGTATCACGATGACCTTTGAGAGTAACGCCATACTACAGCTGCAAGCACAAGAACTCCTGCAGTAGCGAGCAGCATCTGCGCAAACGATGACCATCCTTGTAAACTTAGAAGGTAGTCTCATGGAGAATGTATCTAGTTCAGTTCAAGTTCCCGGTGAAGTTCAAAATGCAGATCTAGCAGGAAAAAAGACGAAACTCTGTCGATGTCATTCTTTACAACATCTCCGATCAAAGATTTCCCGAGTAAACTCGGCATAGAGCAAAAATATTCAACATCGGGCAGTCGGGAACAGGAGGAATCGCACCTTGCTTTCCATTTTCAGGCGTTTTTCCGGTCTGGAAAAGAGTTCCCTCAGCTGCGTCATGCGATCTGCTTTAGGCATTAATGCCACCGCTGTATGATGCGATCTGCAAGGAACTGGCAGTATTCTACAGAGTGCGTCTTTCATTGTGTCTGGTGTCAATGTTGACCTTACTGAACTTCGCCATTCTTCTTGTGCCTGCAAACGACGAAATAATTTATGTTACTCTCCGCGCCAATACAATTAAACAGAACATCCTCCAGAAAGCAAGATCAAGAGATTTAGGTTTTCCAGTTCACCTGAAATGATGCCTGAAGATCACCAGTGTAAACACGGGACTGATACGCCCTTAAAAGCCGATCCAACCAGTATCCATTCTCCTGAAAACAATCAATTTGGAGTTGAAAACATGGACAAAGAGACACCATCGAGTAAAACTGTCAAATATCGCAATTAAATTGGTACAGAAGAACAGTAAACCCACAGACCTGCTGCCCATTCTCATAGGTCCGCTGCTCAAGCTCCAGCACAGTTGCCACATCTTCTTGTGTGGGACCTTCTTCTTGAAGTCGAGAAACTTCGTCCAGAGCTAAATCAACCTACACGAAATACGAAAGTAATAGATTACTCAGAAGTTTCACAAAGTAGGCCCACAGACGATAATATACAGCTGCGTTTGCTCGGAAATATTGCTTCCGAAAGAGTAGATTACCAGCTTCCATGCACTGTCAGGATCACAAGAAAAGTTGATAGCAACATCACCCCTGACATTTCCCGTTCGAGAAGGTCTGCTTCCGCCGAGAAAAGCTGACACTGAAACTGAATAAACCTGCGTGCAGTAGACTTATCAGGCCATGTGGCAACACTAAAATCCAAGATATGACAGATCACGATAGAACGAAGATGGTTACCAGTGTACGACGTGCTACGAAAAAATAACATCTTGTACCTGGCCGTGCTTGAAACGGAGCACTTGCATGATTTTCGTTTCCAATAGCTTGCATATAAAGCCAGTAAAGTGCACTTCGACCATCTTCGGACAAAAAACCAAGTGTTAATATACGTCTTCAAACGTCTTAACTTCCAAGTTGTTAAGTTGCGCGCATCTCAGGCCGGCGGCGTGAGGGACATTTATGCCGTCCTCACCGGCCCGAGGCGCTGTTTGAGCCGAAGGCAGATTGGGCTCGATACGATTCGTAAGAGACGGCCGTACCCCATATCTACGTACTTTTGTTAACAAAGTGTAGAAAATTAGCTTCCAAAAGCTGTCCGGTTATAAATGAGTTATAAATCATTTTAGAGGATTCATTGCTTTGAAATCAAAAATATATATATATATATATATTTTTTTTTTCGCCTTCGATTCTTAACTCACCATGAAGAAACACTGGAAACTTTTAGATGCCAGAACCTTGCGAAGCTTGGCACTTTGATTTCGGGTTTTCGATAACCGTGAAATTTCTACCTCTGTACTTCATTTTTCAATAACAAGTTCTTATGTTGTTTCTTTGTGCATAAGAAACGAATTTTCTTGGGAACAACTCGAAAGCGGCAACTTAACAAATTGCGTAGACACCTTATAACTATCAAGCGTGCATACGTAGCTTAAACAACGTCAACAGCAGCATTAAATATCAGTCATAATTCCGGACTCACCACACGGGGCCCCTTGAACTCCACAGGAAATGTCATTTGTACAGAGCATTGTGCCTCAACCATGTGGCGCCGGACCTCTTCCCTGTTGAAGCAAAGTGCGACGTGAACAACCAAGACGTAAGCCTCTGGCAAACTAAATATATACAATCGTCCTTTTTCACACAAGTTCAAAGAAAAGACACTTGTAAATATGATCAGGAGGACCATTGTCACCTCAGACGATTCTTTCGGTGACCCTACTTGGTGGACTTTGCTTTGATGGGCATGTTGACTGCACAGTGCGTGAATTGGCCTCGTTCTACTTGACCAGAACCGTGAAATGAACCTTTAGATGGATTGAACCTAGAGGCTCAATATGAGCCTATAGGTTCATACTCGAGCTAGAGAATTCCTAATGCTGCTAGTCAAATAAGCGAAATAAAGGATACACGACGGCGTTTGATCTTGTCCATTTGATTAGCATAACATGAGACGAAGGTCTACGTGGGCTTACAGTGCATCCCTAACATTCTACATGAACAATCACAGAAAGTAGATAGACATAAAACATCGAACAACTCGGAGGTATATTCAAACTAAGAAAATCGAAAGCTGTACCTAATTACTCCATCAGGAAAGGTGAATGGCAACGCTTTGAGTTCGTCCCGTTGAAACTCCATAATTGGCTTTTCGGGCTTTGGTATGCCCCCCTGAGCATGTATTAAATATGTCAGACAAACTGCCTCCGATTAAAAGATTAAGTAACGCATCGAAAGACAATGGTATTAAGAATCAGACCAGCACTACATCTTACCAGGAATCGAAGGATCAGGGGCACGGCCTTCGCTGGTTCAATATTACCAACAATCGCAACGGTGAACGACGAGGGATCCCTGAAAGAGTTGTCAAAATACTCGCAGGCTTTCTTTGGGTTGACCTTATTAAGGTCTCTGGCAGTAACAGGCTGCAGAGAAGGATATTTTTGTCAAAACCAGTCCACAGTTCAAAGCTGACAGATATAGAACTTACGTTCCAGATATGCAGAGGATAACGCACCTTGAAATAATAAGAATTACCATAGTTGAGCTCCCGAACACGATTGGCATAGGCAGTGAAGGGATCCCTTTCCTGGGCCTTAATTTCTTCTCTAGTCATTTGCATCACTAATTTTACTTCTTCTTCTCCTGGTTGTACAGTAGTTACAAATAGTTGATACAGCAGCTGCAGGCAAGTACACAAGCACGAATAAGAACAGTGCAAGAATATCGACAAATAGACATCCCATTCACATCAAACTCTGAACCGTGCAAGCAGCATAAAATATTTGTGTGGTGACCAGTTTTGGACAAGAAAACCTTATGGGAGTTAGACTACGGGATTAGGTCTGCAACCTAAACCTGATTTCTCTCAGTGACTTTTACACGACGAATTACCAGTGAAGAAGACAGCATTGTCTTACACGGAATTCCGTTCTATCCACATGGGATTCCCTCCAGAACCGACCGGTTTGAAAACCAACGAAGCAGCAAAAAATTGCACATAACATAAAGAACAAAGCAAAGTTGTTTGTAGGATGCGTTATTAGAAACCGAGCAGTGCTAACACTATTTAATTGGAGAAAATTCGACAAGTATATACTTCTTGTACAATTACTAGAATGAAACAGCTTGATATAACTTGAATTACACCGAGCGCAGGTGTAAGAGGTGATACTCCAGTAGATTCACATCGTGTGAGATGCATCTCCTGAACTACGGCTGCTATTATGAACACAAAACTTTCATAGACGGACTAGTTTATCGAAGGTGTACCTGGAGCGCAATCTCCAAATCCGAAGGAGAACAATCACCAAAAAAGGTTCTCTTGTAAGCACCGACCTTCGTACCGACCTCTGCTCTCTTCCCGGCAAGCATGTCGGTCAGTGTCGATGGCTTGTGACCAAACACGCCTATTTCACCGGCAATTAGGGAGCCCATTGAACACGATAAAAAATCTCTTTCCAAGACTTCCGATAACCCGCCGTAAGTGTAACCATGGATGAGAACCTACATGGTCGTGACAGCCACGTGGGTTTAGAGGACAAGGGTATCTCTTGTTCAGTCTCTGAAATTACAACATACCAATACCTTTCTCTAGTTAATGGGCTGCTTACATGCAGCACCTACCTGTAACTTCTTGGAGCTCCAATATGACATGTAATCAGGTAAGAAGAGAAAATGTAAATATAACAGGAACTCGCACACTGGTAAGAAGACACGAAATTATCCCCATGAAGTCACCTGGTCATCGAGAAAATCTGTACATTTGTAGCATACTCTCATCCCATTGCTCAATATAAGCTCCGTAGCACTGAATTCTGGAAACTCCGTGCTCGTTACAATTGACCTGCACCGATCACCAACAAGTAAGAGCTCGGTACATCATGAACCTGCCACACAGAAAAAACCTGCACAAGAATCAATGGATATATATCCATTTGTTTTTTTGTTTCTCCTGAAGAAGATCAGTTCTGTTTCAGAAGAAATGAAGTTACAGCAATGCAGGATCGAGAGAACCTCCTACGAGAACTTCAAGTTTTCCCTCGAAGTAGGAAAAGTCATCACAATTTCCAATCACACGTCACTGCTTCGCTGTTTAAAGGTGGATCAAGTGATCTACTTCCAAGAATTTGCATTCTATAATTCCCATGTTTTAGTAATATATTGAATCTAAGAGTCTAAGGTTGTGCACCCACCCAGCTGCGGGTATCTTCTCCACGATGTCATCGGGTATAAGCTCCTCGTCCCATGGTGGGATATCTCGCCTACTTTCAAGAGCTTCGACTTTATAGAGGACAGCTTTCAGATCTTCTTGAGTAACCCGTGCTCGTGGCTCCACTGTCTTTACGACACAGCTATTCTTGCTCAGGTAACATTCTGCGATCTTTGTAACCTCTGCAGCGGTGATTTCTGATCAAAGTAATTGGAACTTCAGAACCTTCGATCGAAAGAGAAAGAACAACCCATTCTCGGGAGCACCAGAATCCGTGTAATGTAGATGCCATCACAAGACGTACGAACCCTAACACCCTCCGAAGTCCGCATTGGGGATTGAAAATACCAACTCAGATCGGGAGAACAAAGAAACAATCTTTCAAGAAACTTGCCTGGCAATAACGTCTTCTGGAGCTGAGCTTTGTAATCAATCCCCAATATTGGCTCACCCCGAAGAAAATGCTGTAGAATAACAAAATTTTTGATAAAGAGCGTTATAAACCTCAGAAAGAAAGCTAAGATGAAGGAGAAACGACTAAGGCGGCTATATGTATTTCTCAAATTAAGTGTAAACACTACACCTGAAGGTATTCGTCTCTTAGATTGGTTGAGGGCATTTGATCTTTCTCAAGATAAGCTGACTCGATGTCGGCCATCAAATATGCGCGTTCGAGGGCTATCTCCCTCTCTGAAAACCCATGGAGACGTATCCTGGCAACCTGCATCGGTGTCAGATAAGCGTCAAAACGCAAAAGATGGCATAAGCTTAGACATGTTGTCATTTACTCTCTTCAAAATTTGCTGGACGGATCATAACGTATTCACGTAAAGTTATACTAAAGCCTTCCTTCTTTCCTTGTGGTGAAAGTTTCCATTATTGGCTCTTTTAGTCTTTCAGGCTAGTTAAGTAACAATTGTCCCTTGACTAGCCAAGTCTGACTTACTAAAAGAAACTGTTTCCGTTCTAGATACATCTATCTTAGCCTGCAGACAGGGTCAAGATTTCAGGTTCATTTGACGCAAATGAAAGCACTCAGAAGGGAAAAAATGTCGCGGCAGCTTACCTCAACGAGCATGCTCTCTAGCGCCTGCAAAGTTCCCTTCTCCTTGCAATTCGCAGACATGATATATGCTTTGACTGGGCGAACAAAGCTCTCACTTATTGAAGAGCATGAAAAGAATGGAGGATCTTGATTGCGTGAAATCTTAAAGAATCGTTGAGTAAGAGCATTGTGGAACATCCCTTCTGCTAGCATATACCGGTAGTCGGCTATAGTTGAAACATCTGACGCAGGAATTTTGCAGCTGATAGTCACTGCAGACTAATTTCAACGAAGGATATTAAGAAACTCAGTTAATAGCTCATATTTAGGGTGCAACATTCCGAGTACTCGCAAGGACCTTCCTATCTGGTGTACACGTAGAAACATTACAACCTTGTCTAGATATCATGAAGAACTTCACTCAAGGCGAACGAACGACAATCCGTGAAACCTTGCGCAGATAAGGTTTCCAGAAGAAATGCTCACTACCTAATCCAAAGAATGAAAGCTTAACGGTTTTTAAGGCAGAACGCAGATACTTACCCCACCAGCTTCTGCTTCTGCAAAACATGAGAATCGGGGTTCCTCGTGAGGAGGTACAGGAAGAAGGGGAATCTCCCTGGGAGGGCCTTCTGTAACGGGACTACGCTTGTGTCCGAAGTGAGTTTTGATAAGATTGACAACAGCCTGCAAAGGGCTCAAAACAGATCCAATTTGAAACCAGCGAATTAGGCATCCCTCTGAAAACTCTCTGAAAACTCTCCTTTGGCTAACTTTCCAGGCTTTACTGGCTACAGAAGCAAGAAAAATGTGCAAATGATGGTCAGTACTGGAGATTATAACAGGTCTTACATCGGTGTCTGGAAAGTCACCGACAGCAACAATGGCCATGTGGTTCAGTCGATACCACCGTTGATAAAATTCTTGAACGGTTTTGGCCGATACGTTTCTGACGACACTTTCCAATCCAATTGGCTGACGATCGGCATACTGAAAGCACAAACCATACGAACAAACAATACTTCAAAGACTAGAAAAAAGTGGACATCCGTTGCTACTGAGAAGCAAACCGGTAACATGGTCATGCGCATAGTACTAAAGCTGACTTCCGTATCAGATTTCTAAATGAGGCAGAATCAAGGCAAAAAATTTAGCATGTAGGGAGAGTTCGTACCTGAGATCCTTTCATCATCAACAACCAATGCGCTTCTTGCATTCGCCCCAAGGCATTGCGACCAATGCGTAGTTCCTCAAGAACAGCTCCTCTTTCCTTTTCCAGATCTTCTTCAGAAGCACGAATCTGGCAGAGTCAAAACTTCAGGTCAATACTCACTTCGAAAGGTGACAAAATGCAGCTCAGAGAGAGAAATGAATGATTCAAAGGGAAAAATATCAACTGGTAAAAGGAGGAAGCTTGAGGTGAGAAGCTCACTTCTGTAGAGAACTCGGCGAGAATAGATATGGCCTGGGATAGCAATTCAGGTTTATCGATTGGAACAAATAGGTCATAGATTGTCTCATCGGGAGAAGTTGACGCATTTTGACAAGCACCGAATTCTGCTCCTACGCTTTCCAGAAACCTAACTATATCGTGATTTGTGTACTGCTTAGTAGCGCTGAATGCTAGATGTTCTAAAATGTGTGCGACACCTCGCTCCTCCTCCTCCTCCAACACAGAGCTGCAATATAAACCTAAAAGCATGAGAATCCAAGTCCAAAAACCACTGCCAACACCTGCAGAAAAATGGATACCGACCCAGGAAGGGAGGAGCACGAAAGAAAAAATGTGAATCATGCCTCGCTGACATCCGCGATCATGATCATGGGAAACAAAATTCAAACCGCACAGCAATGTCAAGCTGTCATCGCTTTGGCATGGGTGCCTGTTGTCCTGCCGTTTCATTTGCGACTAACTAAGTGCAAAATTAGTGAATCTAATCAGGTTTAATCAGAGCACACTCCTGATCTGATGTTTTCAAGTAAACGGGCCAACGAATCAAGAATTTACAAACTGTACAACCCTAAAAATAATCGCGAATTTTGAAAATCATCATAGAATCATCAGTATCAGAAAAGAGACGAAGATTCACAACATTGCAGGATCTCGATTCAAAATTGCGTCTCATCAAACGGAAGAACGAGAGAGAATCGAAAAAATCCACTGACCCGACTCTGACGCCCAGAGCAAGAGCTGCCCTCAGGCGAGGCTTGGGGTTGCGGCGAACATAGTAATGCAGACCATTTTCGAGGACACCATGCTGAACACCCGTAACGCCTTCCGGAAAAGGATCGGTGGGCTTCACAGTCAAAAGCTTGAGCGCTTTGAATCCTCCAGAACCTGCCCCAATAGGGAGCGGCGAATCCATGGCCGCTCTGACTCTCCTATCGCATCCAAGCCCGCGTCACCACCTCTTCTCTCCCGAGCCGCCGTTCTCCGCCTTCTAAATATCTCTCCCTCCCTCTTCGCTCTCCTCTCCCTCTCCCTCCCTCCCTCCCTCACTCTCTCTCTCTCCCTCCTCTCCCTCGCTTCAAACTCCCAACCAACCAACCAACCAACCAAATCCACCAAAGCAAACTATATACAACAAAGAGTTGGCAAATTGATCCACATCCACATCTGCTTGAGCTCGATCAGCGTTGCTATAGTCGCTGAACTCGCTGCTGATGTCGTTCTCCTGCTGCGTGCGAGCCTGGTAGTCAGATTTTACTGAATCATGTCCTCTCCATATTCCTCCTGTCTGCGCCTGTCAGTCCGTCTAATTTGTCTGCCCCCCTCTCCTCTCGCCCTCCCCTCCCTTCCCCTCCCTCCCCCCTCTCCCCCCTCTCCCCGTCTCCCTCTCGCTGCTGGACTCTTCCACGACGCAGCCTTTCCTCGACCCCTGCGCCGAGCTCCCCCCTCCCTCCGCCTTCCCAGCCACCGGAAACCGGAAACCGGGCCGGGCCACGTCACGCCTGCTCGGGCGCTGGAGCTGAGTCGGAGCCCCGCGGCCCGCTCGTATCCTTCTGTGCTGCGACAGCAGCGGCGGCCGCCCGAACGCCCGCCCGCCCGTCTGTCTGTCTGTCTGTCCGTCCGTCCGTCTATCTGTCCGTCTGTCCGGCTGTCCGTCGGCTGGCTGCCGCGTACAGGCCAGTCGGGGCTCGGACCATTGCGACTGTTATACGCAGTCGGGCGGGGCAGGCAGGGGGGGCGTTTGACCGGGGCAGAATCCAAGGCTCCGAGACTTCTTCGAGCTTTGACTCATTCCGACACTGATACTGTAGCTGATGATGCGTTGACAGCTCTTTGTCCCCTGATTGGAGACCTTCTCTTTGTCCGCTTCGAATTGCCGACTCGTCGACGTCGCGCAATTTTTTATTTCCTCTTTGATTCTCGGTTTTGTTGCTTTCTTCTTCTCTTGGAAAATAAAAAATTTCTTGTACGGAAACCAGTAGCAAAAAAGGACGAGAATTCCTGCATCCCTTCGTACAAGGATGAAAATGGAAAAACCATTATTTAAAAGAATCACTTCGTCTACACTGACATTATAAGTTTGTGGCAATAAGGAATTACCCAATAAATAAGCAAATTTATGAAGTGCATGTAGGACACTATAAATTGACAAGTTGTAGTGCTCGTTTCATAATACTGTTGGGTATCGCTCTTGACTTTCTTCGTTGAAATTAAATAAGTTTATTTCAATTTGTTTAGAAATGAAAATGCAATTATTTTTTTGTAATTGTAAAATTTAAAAAACATGATTCTAATTGTATGGGAAAATTGGCTTGTGTGGACTAATAGATAGTATTCAGAAGTGCTTCTGTCTTATAGATAAAGTCTTGGAGTTGAGATACTTTTCGGTTGCATCTTACTTGGAGAGTGGAAATTGAGTATGTTCAAATCGACGGTGAGGTATTTCGCTCTTGTTTTTTTATCAGCTCCGGAGCTTTTTCACGAGGTTTAGGCTACAGTAGTAGTTTCACCTCCATGATACTTTACCCCTTTCTCTCGTATGCGCTTCACGTTCAAGTCATAAAATCGTTTATGATATCCACTTGGTACCTTTTTCCCCATACAATGAAGGAAAGAAGACGGGACCAAGTGAAAGTAGCTAGAGTTAAGAATAGGCTCTCAATATTCCTACCATGGTACAAAGACGCAGCTGCAACGTTTTTGCTTCCAAATGATCTGGAAAAGGGCATGTGACCAAATATTACAAATTACAATCGGAAGTACACAAAATAATGTACTTTTCACACTTGGATGAATCTGGAACTAATGATGGTTTTTCTATAAGTTAAGAAGAAAGTGTGTAACCAATAAAAAAATTTTATGAAGGCTAGTCCACACAGAGTAACTTGGAAGATTGCAAGTACTATATTCGCATTTTGATGTCATAATTTTGCCACAAGTTTGAATTAAATATGCGATTCTCTTCATCTCGATGGTACCCAAATTGATTTAAAAGTCTCTAAGTGATTATTCTCAAAATCTACACATTACTATGGCAATTTTCAGTTCTATGTAGTTTGAATCTGTTGATTTTTAATTCAGAAATATTGGTTATTAGAATAAAATGCTATGAGTATGAATGATTTTGGAATCAAACATCTGAGTTCTTATGAGTGTATATAAATGATCAAATTATGTTTATCATCTACAACAATGCATAATACATGATGCTTTAATGTGATCAATTTTTTGTGTTTCAAAACATAAATTTTACACAAAATATTTGTACTAATAATTATGGCTTGATAATTTAAAAAATTTAATATCAAGAATTTTTACATATATATTCATATTTATTGTGTCAATATTAATATATCAATTAGATTATATTATTAATGATTATTTTAGCTTTAATAAAAAAAATACATTTAACTTTTACTTTATATTTTTGCAAGCAATTTTCTAAATCTTTTTCTCTGCATTTGATAATGAAGCTATAGAAGATTTTTGTATAAAGCTTGATTATTTTCAAAATTGAAAATTGACAGAGCAAAGTTTTTGAAGACAATCATCATCACTCCATTGATTTGTTAACCATATATTAGATAAATAAAACAATGAGAGACTTGATGACATGATCAAAACATATTTATTTTAATCAACTTCGATAAGACATATTGTTGATGAGAGTTCAAGATATATTCATTTGGGTCTTAACAATCATGAAGCATGATGAAAATACAAAAGAGAATATATATATAATGATTTTATTTATTTATGATAATTTCTATATGATCAAAGTAGTGCAAATGTGAAATATGATATAGGTTTAAGAAGAATTTTCCACATGTGTGTGATCATCACTTAAAATTTTTTTCTTGAGTACTTTTGAAAATAAATACATTTCTTATTTAAAAATAATTTCATAAAATATTATTTTAAATATAATAACTCAAGAAAATTTAAGAATTTAAACTGTATACAGAAAGCATGTATTTTTACTATAACTCAATATAATTACTATGTATTAAAATTTTTCAATAATATATTTTTTATAATTTTAATTTAAAAAAATATATTTAAAAAAATGATATATTTTTATGATTATTACACTTGAAATTAATACAAAATTAAAAATACATAAAATTCTATAATATTTAGAAGAATTATTATTTGATAAATTTCACTTAGAGATAAACATTAAGTTGAATGATATACAAATGTCATTACCTTTCTGAGACAAATTTTTTATTATTGGTTATAGATTTTACATAACATGTCCAAATTTTGTTAACATCTTTAATGTAAGTTGATAATTATATAAACTATTTGGAAAACTTAATCAAATCACAAAAATAATAGAAGTTCAAAAACTTGATCACTTGTCATTTTTTCAGTTTCAAAATTAAAATAGAGTATCAAATATTTTTTTTATCATTTTTCTGTAAAACAATATCAAATGTTGCTTATTTCTACCTAAATGATGAGAGTTTTTATATTGTCACAAAATTCAAATGGATGAGTATATTTTTGTATCTGTAAAGCTCGAAGAATTTACAATATCTCACAACACACTATAGAATGAAGACGGGAACATCGCACACCGAAAATTCTATCGCGCATTTAGGTCGAGGAGTCCGCTAAGTTACATTTAACGGCGAAGACACTGCTTGCTTCGGAATCATTGTTGCAGAAAAGAATCTCGCGAACAGTCGATCCACAACCGAAAAGTTGCACCATTTGAAACATGACTCTGTCAAGGGATAATCTTTCTTGTCAGAACGAGACACAAGACAAAAGGTTCATTCCGGGTAGGCAGTGATATAATAATACTTCTTTCTCCACCTCCGTGGACGCTTGGGTTGTGAGGAAGACAAATTGTCAATTTCAATAGTTCCAGTTATTAGTAAATGCACAATCATGCTCTAATCGGTATTAGATAATTAACATTGACACAAAACATTTCTTCTCGTTCTTAATAGTGAAGATACAACGGAGCGGATCGACGCCATGCATCCTATGAACAGGCAAAACCAGGAACGCCACGCAAAAGATAACAGTTAAAAATTTAAAAGCCTGTGAACTTACGACTGCAAGCTGAAACCACATCGTTGCGCCAAAAGAACGTCCTCACTTCTACCAGCACAACAAAAGTAACTACCAACTTCTCCCTGTGCATGGAAAAATGCACTTTCCAGCTTGACAGCTGGAAAATAAATATGTGACTGGAATTCAGGTAAAAATATAAGTACATTGCCTTCCGAGTCTGCTCGTGTTTGATTGATGATGAGCTTCTAAGCACATCAATCAGGCTTATTTATAATACACCCACAATCTCCGAAGATCCCCAGGAAGTGCAACCACGACTAAACTTTCTCGTTTAGCACTTCCTGGACGTTTTCTTTAAGATTTTATGGTCACTTCAGGTGGGGAATAATTAGCACCACAGCGACATAAATAAGACGCCGTACTCAGCGAAATATTCTAACATCACCTTCACTTCATGTCGCACTGAAGCCAAGACTTAAGTCCAGGAGAACAATCATTGAAAATGCAAGACCTATGCATGACACTTTCTCTGGATCCTATCGACTATATACCTCAAACTACCTACTGCAAAAAAAATTTAATTGACTGACAGAGAAGGTCCACATGAATCAGCAAAACTTGATGTCCACCTGCAATAATCTTACTCCCCCGACTGCCTAGAGGTAACCAGTTAATAAGCGGACCTGCATACAGATCGAAGTATCAGTTTGTCAGACCGTTACTGCAAAACCTCATCGGTGTAAAGGAATGCTAATTTGGCATACTAAAAATCTAGCATGCGGCCTCTGAAAGACATCTCCATTACGAATGGTCATGCTAAAATGATTACAAAACACTTTCTGGGAGGTTGCGACAAGCATTATAGACGGATTAAGAGAGACACAAATTTTGGTCGTATTACACTTCAGCTTTACCCAGTAGGTGAATATATATACCTCTACAAAGACGGAAGAAGTGCTCAAAGATTGGCCTTGAATTGGCCGTAATGAAGAAAAAAAATTTGTCAGCGCCCATCGTCCATCAACAGCTCACCGAGAGTAACAAATCGCCCATCACTACCTGGCGGGTAATCTTCACCATGGCTACCATATCTTTCGTCACCATCGGTGACGTAGCCCCGCTGGTTAAGAGACCGGCCTGAATCGCCGACAGTGGATCTCCAGTGACCCTCCGACGCTCTCCCAGAGTCCCCCATACCTGATTTATTACGACGGTGATGTCTCTTGGACATGAGGATGGGAGAAAAGCAGGCTCCCCAACGCCACCTATTGCGCCTTCGCCTGCTTTGTACCTCAGGTTCTTGCCCGCTCGACGGACATGACATCCTGCTACTAGCTCCAGTTTCAGCATCGGTATCGTCCAATCCAGAGACAACTTCAATCTCACTGGCTGATAGAAAACCTGACATACCGGAAGTCTCAATCTCCCCACTAGACAGAAGCATGCTCGGTGATTGCTTCACCAGTCTTTGAGGGGTCTTCACCAAAGCTGACTGGGGTGATTTCGAAACTTGACCTTTCTTAAGATTCTGATTCTTTACAGGAGTCAGAGGAGGTTTTCCCTTATCTATATTTACATGTACCTTCGTCACATCTGTCGGTAATGCAGCCGATCTACAAATTTCTACGTGTGGCTTCGGTACATCAGCTGGGAGTAAGGAGGGGTTGGTTTTATCAACTGTCGCATTGTTAGGTGTGGCATCGGCTCCGCTTCCAACGGCACACGTTCGGCTGTAAGCTATCATCTTGTCCAGAATGGTCACCGCCCATTCCACTTCAGGATCTTCGTACTCTCTCGCTTCTTCTCCTTCCACTATTATCGAGTCTTTCTTAGTGGACTTAATCTCGCTGCTCTTCGCTGGCTCAGTTTTAACAGGTTCATGGGTTATAATGTGAGGTTGAGGTGCCGAGGGCGTCTGAAGTTCAGATTGTTGAGAGATCTGTGTAATTTCGACCTTCGGAACAATCTCGTTTTCCACAATGGAACCCTCCTCCTCTGTTTTAACAGGAAAAGGGACAACCCTGTAACTTTCGGAGCTCCCAATTCTTAATATACTGCCTTGCAAGGTCTTCGCCTTCACGCTATCTTTAAATGCTGGTAGCCTTTCAATGGGCAAGGAGACGAAAGGCTCACCATCTGCCGCAGCCTTCGCATCCAAACCCTCTTTAACTCGATCATATAGAGGTTCTGTTTTCAAAAGTGGTTGAAAAACCTTCCCACTTCCTGTTCCGTGACCTACAGCCGTGATCAACTGCCACCAGGCACAGTCGGGTGTCAAACCACATGTCTGATAGATTGCCACTTATGCTATAAATAATTGTTCTCAACACTACGAGCCGGGGAAAACCGAGAAATTGATGATATGCATGAAACTGTGAGTAAAACAAAAGAATGATAACAATAGAATGACCGGAGCGGGTTGACATACGAACTTAAGGGCAACCAACAACTGACCTTTTGATACAGCTTCAGTCCTTGCCCGGCCAACTGCCTGGATATGAAATTGATTATCATGGGAGGTACAAAATCAAGCTTCATGTCCAGATCAGCTATTGTACTGCACAAAAAAGCAAACGGTTTTGTAACTCATAAGAGGTAGGAGCGACTGTCCACTGAATAGTATCGGTAACTTCTGTACGCACTAAAAATGGTTTAGATAAAAAAGGTCATAAGGGAACCAGCGCATTCGCGATTCCAGATTTAGAACGGTTGAGTACCACCTACAAGGCTCTCTGATATTAGCGCAGGTCACTTCAAGGACTCTCTACAATTCCAATCACAATAATAGAGTTCGACAGACCGACAAGAGGCACACCCATCCCAACGCCAACTATAGGAAACACAAACAATGGGATGAATAGCTCACCGGAAAAAAAACTGATCAGCATTCATTTTCTGCATTATAAATCCTCCACACAAGTTCATCCGCACGTTTTGACAAGGTGCAGGCAGATCATCGGCACTGAATCCGTGGAGCTTCTCATTAATCTCATCAGCATCCGGAGCCTGATGGCCATAGGGCAACGAAGTGAAATGAGTGCGGATTGTGTGAGCTCACGCCCACTAGTAGGAAAAAAATACGTAAACTGAATATAAGTAAAATCGATGGGCACATGTCATATATCCCGACCTCGAAGCCTTGACTAGTATCATCGAAGGATTAAAGAAATGTACTTCGTCAGTACATGAATATATGGGTTAGCCAGCTCATCTCCCCCGATACAGAATATATTTCAGAAACAGGAAATTCGAAATCTTAACTACAAAAAAAGAAGTAAGCCGATGTACAAAAACGGGATTTGTGGACATACCGATTCAAGAAGAACAATAATGATGTCCTCTTCGAAATATTCCAGCTCGAAGGATGACATGACAATCTCTCTTGGCGAAACAGGCCATGGTACTTTCAGCCTTCAAGCAGCAAAGTCAAACATGTCTCAGCCACTTCCGTAATAACTACGTGAGTCTCTTACGATAAACAGGATAAATCCACGACTCGTAACAAGAGGAGCACTCTCAAACTTACCGCAGTAATGACAGAGCCTCCCCTACTCGGACCTTGCGCAGCCATTTAGCCTCCGTTATTTTAAATGTGGGTACCGTGAACTGAGGAAACCTGCCAACATGATCACTCACGTAAGACTAAGGAATCAACTATCCTACACATTCGAAATCTGCAACCATCCAACTCTCACTGCGGTAATATTGACGGTATTGTTAGACTCGAGAGATGTGAAAGAAGAACGTCCGTACAGTGCTAAATATCTAGATGCACTTCATTCCAATCTGGAGCAAGGTTCTTGACCTACCAATCCTTGTAGTTCGGAACTTCCCAGCCAACACATAGAGCTGAAATCACATCCAATTGTGGAAACATGAGCACTTCAATAAACCTTGACAATAATCATCAACAGCGTGCTGCAGTGAAAGACATCCTGCAATCCAGTTCTTCAAACAAAAACGCCTCTAGACGAACACCAGAATATGACTCTTAATTGAGGGCAAATAAAAGCAGATAAGTCAAGTACATTCAAGTACTACCAGCTTTGAAGGGCATGCATTCAGTACATGATGTGCAAGAAAACTGTACCATTGGCCATATTCCCGTCCATAACCCCATCCAGGCACAGGGTATGAAAGGGCGTTCCTATAGGTCCTTCCCGGTACATCACCCTGTGACGATCGTTCTGATCTTTGAGCTGCAAGTGCGGAAACCACATTCCAGTAAGCGACAGGTGACTCAGTATGAGCCAGATTCAAAACATGCAAAGAAGGCACCTATTCCGCGTGGAAATGTGTGTAAACTGCTTACCTTCCATTCCCTCGAAGAACCACTGGTGTCTTCGGAGGCTGAGAGCTTTTCAATGCGTTCAGCGCTCGCACTCTTCAATGCTTCCAAAAATGTCCAAATCTTGTTGGACCAGTGCTGTGCGACTTCTTCAAAATATTTTCCTCCTAGAGCCAATTCATTCGCACCTACTTTACCATCTGATAGAAGAATCATCAAAGATCAATTCAGATTTTCTGTACGTCGAACAGCTGGAAAGAGATACAGACCAAGGAAACAACGTAAAGAAAGTAGCACACACGATATCGACATAAAAAGCCCAGTTGTAATGTGGACAATGTCTAATCGACTCAACCCCATAACATGGTCCGTCACTTTCACTAGTCGGGAGATGATGTAAACAAAACCGTCTTGATGGTGGTCAGCTGTCGGGTTACAAAAAGTAGCGAATGAGTCCTATCGTGTCACAAACAAATAAAAATGAAATGGATCCTTATCTCCAACTCACTTCCTCAGTTCAGATTTACCAAGTGGGCCATCCTTATCTCGTGTGAAAGCAAGAATCAAAATCTCTCGTTCACGTCTTAACTTCATAATCCCGTGAAAGATTTTTTCTGAGGACAATCAGTGTAAAGGTACACCAGTTGTTCATTCCATCACGTAAGTTCATTGCGTGGTAAAAATGCAGCAAACGGTTTGACTACCCGCTACGTTCACAAACAGAACCGATTGAAACGTAGTGAAGCCGAAAAACTTGTGGAGGTAAGTCCAGGTAGAAACCTTTCCACTGGCCAGTAATGTTCCATAATGTCAAAAATAAATGTGCCGCATCGATCGCAATTTAGATCACGGTGCATTAGTATTCGGGTCGAGGTTCAAGTTTGTACCAGGCCCGCTCGTCTGGAAAGATCTGTCAGCTTGAGGACCAGAGGAACGGCACCAAATTAAGACCTACGCGTGGTTGAACAAATGCATGCTAAAATTCGGAGCACATGCATCGAAGGCCACACGATGTACGGCTTTCAGAAATCGGTACCTAGGCACTCAAGCCAATCTCCCAAACTCACGAAGTTGGCTTGGCTTCACCTTTTGGCACCTGAATCAAGTTATCGCATTGGCGAAACCCGGAAAACTACCGGAAACAAAAGACAGCTACTTGATGACAACAGAAGTAGTGGTCGAAACCCCTTCACCTCACAAGTATGCACTCCAACCAGGGGAGACATGCGTGCAAACGCTCAAGATTAACTCTGCTGGAATATTTGTGGCAAAGACTGCGGCAGCCCACGTTGGAAACACTCATGTGAACCAGCAGACGCTCGATCAACGTGCACAGACAATCTGTAAGAAAGTATCCGAAGAGCTTCATTGGCACTCTTAAGAAAACTTAAAGCTCAAGCAATGGGCACGCTGAAAAGACTATTTGATACTAGTATTCGGGACAAAGGCTCTGTGCTCCGTCGCAAGACTGATCGGATACATTTGTGACTGACCAGAATGCCACAGATGAGTAGAACGTTCCTCCCGATCCTAGTCACATATAAAACGACATTCGGGCAGATGGACAATCATCTATAGGGTACAGATTACGAAGGGAGATGCGCGAGGGTCGCCCGCTTTCGTGTAATTGTACGCTCTGAGTCACGGAAGAATGACTCACCATGCCCAGCATCGGCGAGAGACGACTTCACAAGATGCCTTTTAACAATAAGGTTGACGCTCTCCTTATAAGAAAACGCAGGTGATGTCAAAGTCCTGTCCAACCGCAGGCGTCCTTCGTTCGATGTCATCCTGTTGCGAACCTCTCACATTCCTCGCTCCAGCGCTCGTCTCCACATCCCCGACCTGTAATCCTCTAAAACCTGTGACTAAAGAGATCGGATCAAATTCCACCTTCAACTCAATTCCCAAAGTCATAGACAGCAACAGCCACAGCACCTCGCTCTCCAACGCAAGCGCCCACCATCACCATCACCATCACCCTCACAAATTTCTCCACCAACCGCCAGCTTACGAGCCTCTCGCACTAACTCCAACAACTAACACTCCCTCCCTCCCGCCGACCCGCGTCGCAAAACAAACGACCAAAATCACGAGGCGCTCGCTGACCTCGCCCCCCCTGCTCCGCCCGCTGCTCTCGTTCCTGATTCTGGCACAGAGAGAGATAGAGAGAGAGCGAGAGAGAAAGAGAGAAAGAAAGAGCAGCAGCAGCAGCGACCACGAGCCTCGTTGCGATAAGCTGCCCTCGCCAAACCTGCGCTCTCGTCTCTTCCGAGAGCCTCGTCCTCTGCCCTCCTCAACCTCTCGAAAGAAACTTGCCACAATCGACCCCCCCCCCCGCCTCACTCCCTCCCTCCCCTGCCCTGCTCTCCCTCTCTCGTCGCCGACTGTCAGAGCGGGTCTTTCAAGCCTTCGAGCAAAGGGACCAAGAAATGGAAAAGCCCGATCCGGCCTCGTCACAAAGACCTCGACGGGCCTCGCGAATCCGCAGGGAATGAATCTTTTAATCCGTGGTCGGCCCGCGACCGACTGCGTGACAGGAATGGAGTGGCCCTCGTCCTCTTCCTCCTCAACCACAGTAGCAACGCTACCGCTACCGCTACCGCGCTGCCTACAACTCCGGCACCTCTCCCCTCCCGTGCTCTCCCGTGGCCCCCCCCCGCCCACTCGCCCACCGAGCACCGGCCAGTTGGCGGACCGTATGTTCGTGTTCGTAGGCGCGGCTGCTTTCCCGACGCTTTCCTGCGGTGTCCACGGAGACCCCGGCCCCGGTCAATCGCGGCCCCGCGAATCCATGCGCGCCACCTGTGCCTTCGGCAGATCCGTTGAATCTTCTCTTCTTCGCCTCCGGCCTCGACTGACTAACCGTCCTCCCGGATCTTGCAGGAACGCGTCAGAGGCGCTCACCTTAGCGGCGCTCCATTCGAGGCCCCCCCCTCCCCTCAACCAGCCCCGCTTGCTCCGGTTGCCGGTCACCGCGGCCCTCTTAATGACCAGAAGACCGAGGTGCGTGTTGTCCTTGCTCCCTCGTGTTGCCTTGCCCGTGTCTATATTATCTTGACTTTTTTTCTCATGATCAACAATAATTTATTTCCAGCATTAGCGAATACGGCTCGGTTCATTAAGAGGGCTAGTAGTTGGATTTCATTTTATTGATTCCATACAAGTTTGTAATATGCTGACTGGCGTTTTTGCAATGATTTTTTAGAAAGAATGTTGACTAATACAGATACGTGGGATTAGGAAATCTCTCAAAATTAGTGCTGTGGCATCTTTCATCACGTATTATATATATTGCACTGATAATAACTCTCACGTAACTCTTTTGTTTGAGTCTTCACCAAAAGAAAGAAGATGTTATCGGAATGATTGTTTGCGCTCCATACTTCTGCCCAGAAGATGTGACATTAGACATACATAAGTAAAATGATCGAATATATTGATGTAAAGAATACCACCAATGGCAAAGAGTTGAAAGTAAAGTATCAAAATGATATGCAAAATTCAGATTTATATCCTGAAAGATAGTTGGTGTAGTGTGATTGAGATTTCTACGAAAAATTTAATTGTCTTTTGAGAAGTTTATTCTACAGGAAGCAAACGCAATTCCTTTATTCTCATATTTGTAATAAAATGAGATCCGTATGTTTAGCCAAGATACCGAAAATACCTTCAGTGCTATCAAATCCTGTTCTGAAAATTCCGTATGTTGCCGAGTTCTCCGTGGACGTCTTCCGTGTACAGTTCACGGGAAGGGAAAGCTCGGGGATAAGTTTCCGACGCAGTTGCACCGCCCCCGCCTCGCGGTTGGCCGTCCGCTCATTCATTCCCGTCCTTTGTCCTCGCACTTTCGAACGTCCAATCGGACGGCCGACAAAAACAGACCCGATGGCAAGAACCATCCATATTAACCATTTCCGTCAGCCAATCAGTTGGCCACATCCGCGATCGATTCCTTTCGGGGGGCCCAGTCAGCGGCGCGTTTCCAGTCTCTATTTTTCTATTGCCGCGGCCAGCGGGCAGTTTCCTTTCTGGAGCGTTACGTCATCGTCTGGCCCGTCTTGTCCGCCCGTCGGGCTGTTAACAACCTCGAACGGATACATTCCGCTAAACGACAAACTCCGAGAAATATAGAGCGAAAGGGTCGGGAGCACCCATCGAGCCGTATAAACCAAACGACCGTACAAAATGTAAAGGAAAAAGTCGGAAGAAACTAGATAAATATTTGGGAAGACCCTTATTTGGATGGAACCCCAAAGTAAGTGGGCCTAGGCAATTGGGCTACAAGAAAATATGCTTTTGATATATCAGTTTCGAGGAAAAAGTCGAAGAGAATTAGATAAATAGTTGGGAAGACCCTCATGTGGATGGAGCCCCAAAGTAAGGTGGGGCTAGGGGCAAATGAGCTAAAAGGAGGAATAAGCTTTTGATATATTAGTTTCCACGTCCGACTCACGCCGACGTCTGCCGGTAACCTTTTGCCACAGTGGATGCAGGGCCATCGGCGGAGGTGCCAGGTGGCGGTCGGGCATCGAGAACGCAGTCCGCTTTATTCACGTTCGCAATGAGTGACTGATATTCCTCGTATTTATAATCACTGACTGGTTCTGCCTGAGGACCTGGAGTCGATCGAGAACCGGTTCTCATACTTGCAGTTTGCGAGGGTTCAGGAGCTCGATCCTTGTTTTCCTTCCTTGCAGTTTCTCTTGATCAGTAGGTACAGGATTTGGAAGTTCGGGTGCTATTAATACTCGTACGCATGAGAAGGCCAACGAACGACCGTGTGATTTCTCGTCCAATGCAAACCATCGATCGGATTTTCTCACAGAGGAATCTTGAACATGGATAAAGGTTTCAACTTCCGAGAAGATATTGCAATGATTATTCACAGATTTTTATCAAGAGCTTGTAATCATGGTCTACTTAATTAGCTTCAATAAATCATCTGAGATCAGAGTGGATTTGTGTGAAAGCGAGATGACTCGAGAACCTTCCAATGATTTCTCCATTTGTCAGTAAACAGGACTCGTAATCTGTGACCACAGAAATTAATTTAAGATTGATTGGTGTATATCAAATAATGATTTCACCAGACCTACTCATACAGGAGCACATTGTAGCTCACTGTGAAGGAAAATACTCTATTTTATTTTTCGTAACAAGTTTCGACTCTTGGATCTAAAATCTTCTCCGTGGACTCTCAGTTATTTAAAGTAGTGAGTACAACTTGAGATAGGATCGAATTTATTTAGTGAAAACCTTCAAGACCAGACCAGGTCTGCAAAAGAGAAGCATAATTACAGTTGAGAAATGATGACAGAAATTGAATAATGTATGTTTAAAAATCTGCATGTTGTTTAATATTGTATGATATCAAGTAGTGTGGCCCAGTGTATCCCGCCGAGAAGCCAAGCCATTGGACTCGTCCAGTAAGACTTTGGAGCAAGATGACCCTTTGAAACATCTTGCTCCATAGCCTTATTGCTCCCGGTAGGCCAAGGAGGCAGCTCTTTATGTAAAAGTGAAAAGTCCTGAAGCAGTACACCTTCGATCTCATGCAAGCAATAAGTGTAAGGAACCTGTCTGGTTGTAGAAGATTTTGCACTCTAAAGAAATCCTTCTGCAAAGTAGTTGGTCAGCTAGCAAAATACCTTTCTCGTGGTCGAAAAGTATTACCAAAGATCTCCTGATAAAAGACTATCAATGCTGAGAATTGGCTTTTTCACATCAGCCTCAATTAGCGACCCTCGCCATGGTCATGAACATATCACCAAGTGGTGCGTCCATTTGTTCAACCCGGAGAACATGAGTGTATACTTAAAAAATAAAACTCTATAAATATTCTAAATTCTATATATTGCATAAATTCTATCTGTGACCCATCACCAGAAGGCAGGGCTCATGGTCCATATCTCGTTTTGGGGGCAGAAGCCATGTACGTCAGTTGGTAAGAGGCGAGAGAGATCCGATCATTGACCACACGCCGGAGTTCGGAGATTGCAATCCAACCCTGAGATTGGGCAAATTGTGACGCATGGAATAACATACGCTTGGCAAAAGTAGTGTAGCGTTGAAAAGCAGGGTCCAACAAAGGCCAGAGGAGACAGAGACAAGAGAACTGGACGTGGCAAATCTCCTTCTCCAGTTACGCCTTCGACAGCTCTCTATCTTTCCCACTACGCATGCATGCAAGCAAGCAAGCCATGAGCAAGGTTGGTGACAGTGTCCACGACGTTAGGCACATCGAAAGGCTTTGCAGACCTCTTTCATCTTATAACAAGCTTAGTTATGATGACAGTTTGAGAACTCGTATGAGTTTTTGAAAAACAATTGTGGGTGCCTAGTAATTTTAAAACTGGGGAATCTGTATCTCTTAACCAAAATATATGGACTTTTTGAATAAAACGTGAGCATCCATGTAAGGATCATTTAATGATATTGCTGTCATATAAATTGCATCAACTAAAACACTATTTTAGTCTAAGACCATGAATACATAAGGACTGAAATACTTCGTACAATATGCCAAACGAAAGATACTGCTGTTGACTAATATGGTAAGCAATTCCGTGTAGACCTTGGCCGCTGTTGCTCCACTACATGGTTGTTGTGGTTATAAACATAAAGATGATAGACATACCAAACACCTCATATTTATTTATAGGTACTCATATTTTGCCATTAAATTAGGTAAGCTTAGATCCGATGGAAATCTATATGACCCTGTGTGGAATATAAGCCTCTTTGTCTTACAAAAGTTTAACCTATGTGAGTAAAATAAAAAAGGGTGATTTTTCTAGTGTAGCTAAGATACACTAGCATTCACACTTGTCACCATTAGGATGTGGTCATTCCACAACAGTAAGAGAAATAGTCAAAGACACTGAAAGAGAATGTAGAGACCACTCAACCTATTCTACATGACTTCAGTGAAAGAGAAAGGCTATGAGTAAAAGAACAGGAACTTTCAAGGAGTTTTCAGGAAACCAACTTCTGCAGTCGCTAGAAATTAGTTGAAAGAGAATCTTTGGTGAACCATGTTTTCATACATACATACGCTTTTGAGAAGTTTATAGTTTGAAGTCCGAATATCTGATCTCCTGTAATCTCAACGATTTAAGTCCGTTGAAGAATAGATTGCCCAGAGTTGGGAACCAATCTACTTCTCTTCGCCTGCAAAGGGAGCTTATGCTAGTCCTCTGTAAAGCGTCTAACAGAGGACTATTTATAACTTTCAAAATATTGGGCATGTAAATATAAATATAATTATATATAATATGAGTAATGTATTTTATATAGGGTCTGACTCTAACTCGGTTAAAGCCTGCTTGTCTTCATCCTTTTACACGTATCCCTGATTCAAAGTGACCGTAACAAGGATGCAGTTCACGAGATTCAGCAGACAACATCACGCTATGTTATGATGAACATACAATTCCAGATCTCAGCTGGAAGATTATGAACCTAGAATTATCAAGTCTAGAAGCTACTGCGAGCATTGTAGGTAAAATCAGCCGAATCTGACACGATTATTGCCTGAGAGGAATGCTTTTGAGGTCTGTGTAAAAGTGATGTGGTTGTCTTCAATCTCGATGAGATGGGTGAGCACCAATGCTTCGAAAACGATCATCTTCCAAAAAATTCCAAGTGTGATGCACAAGGCCATTCCAAAGTCCAATGGCACCACGACATATACACCCATTAACCACGTGAGATCTGCACAATTGTATCGAAAGACTTTCATCTTTAACTTTTAATTATTTAATTTTTTTCCTCCCTCTCATTTTCCTCTCCTATCCACCCACCTTTTCTAGCAAAATGATATACACAAAGACAAAGGGGACGAGAGTCCTTTGAAATATCAACTCAACTTGCATGCTACACTCAAACTCGACCTGGTTTTCGTGTTTTCCTGTAAAGCACATCGATGGAAAAGCGACACCCAAATCTACCTTTTCACCAAATCATTCAAGTTTCAGTTAGCGAATCGCACAAGAGGGTAGCCTTTTCGAAGATACTTCGATAGATGTACCCTCAACGTTCCTCGGGTTAGGTATACTTGGCTGGAAACGGCTGGAACTCTTTCCTCGAGAGATTTATTCCGACAGAAGATTTCATACCACTTGACAGAAATCTAAAAGACAAACTTGAAGCAGTAAGTCTAGCGAGTCGTAGACCACGCCAATATTGTTCTGTTCCAGGGATCCATCGAGTGCAGAGGATATAATCTTATCGCAGGTTTAAAATAGGCAGTCTACGTCTTAGTGTGGTAACATCAACCTCCCACTATTGCGAAGATAGAGATCGCCATCGGATAAACATATCCACGAGCTTGCAACAATGCACCACAACGTCAAAAATCTTTCTACCCCTTTCTCACCTCTCTGCTCTTCTGGCAGAGCAAGTGAAACAAGTGATTCTTCATGTTCTCAAAAAATAACGCAGGTTGTTCTAGAATTGCAATAATAATAATAATAATAATAATAATTTATAACAAATTTGTATCAAATGTGGAAGTCACGTATGGAGAACAGGCGAAGGCTGCATGTCATGTCATCATTGAAGCGCATTGATCACGAGAAAGGTGCCCGAGCTTTACAACTGTGCACTTGGGAACCGAGAACGTCACACTGATGTGTTGCCATATGCTGGTGCAGCCCGGATCTCTACTTTGATGGATATGCAAAGAGCCTTCGACTTTGGGCAGGCTTTTCTCCGCGGGCCTGCCCAATCGCCAACGCGTAGTTATCGACTGGGACAAAGAGAGGAATAGTATGACTCTCCCAATCATACCAGATTACGACGAGGTGTAACTAACTCATGCTCCTCTTTCGTCCCACAGATCAGAAACTGGTACCCCATTGGCAGCTATGCTGACGTGAACTCTGTTGATGAATATTAACCGCTAGTGTGGTGTTCCATTTGTTGGTGACTAATACTTCAAATCGTGCCTTCAACGAAATAGTGTGTATGATTATGTTAATCCAATTTCATCTCATGATTTACAAAAATATAGTGTGTGATATATATTTATATATAAATATATCACAACTTGTACATTAAAACGGACGATACAAAATGGATTTTAATGAAAAAAATGTCTATAGTTTCTTTCCAAAAGTTCTTCATGTTTTCAAAATGGTTTTTGATAAAGTTTTTTATGAATTTTGATGGATTTCAAATTTATTCGCTACAGTTTAGAAATTCAGCTGTAAAACAATGAAGAACTTTTCGAAATCCATACTTTGGTTTTCCCATACGTTAATTTAAACTAATACTTGTCACTTTTTTTTTACTTTGTAGGCTAGAAATGATAGAATCGAAGTACGGAAACTAGCTCTCTAAAAGTTAGAGTTGCAGGTAGCAGTGCAAAGATCAAAAGTAGTGTAATGATTTTCCTCCAGTCGACTGAAAGATGGCTATTTCCACTAAGAAAGGCCAACAAGCTTTGAAACAATCGCGTGTACTTGCAAAATTCTTTAAGAACTGAAAGTCGAAAAGACACAATACACTTCGTGGGTCACGCCCTGAAACCTTGCACGCTTTTCATTGGAGCCAACAATCACACCAAAAGCTCGCTGGTTAACGTTGTGGCAAGGTAAGGAAAGTACCATGTCAGCAAATAAAGTCCTCAACTCATCACATGAACCATAGACTTTCATATAATAATTTTAGTGATTTACGTTTTAGATAAAATTATTGTCTTCCACTCTGTCTGGTTTTTTAAAAAAGATTCAAGGGGTGTAAGGTTGACCACTCAAATTTGTAAAATTGTTTGCAAATTCTTCCCGATTCATGTTTTGCAAGGGGGGCGGATCGGGGACTTTATGGACCGTTGCAGCCAACCGGGAACGGGCGACGGATGAGTTCATTATGGACGGAGGAGAGTGTTTGAGAGGGTCACCGTGTCCAACGACCCCCGGCCACACGTCCCCTCGAGTGCGACCGGACGCCGGCACAAGGGCCCCCCCTCCCTCCCTCGCCTCGTGCCCACTCCTGTTTCCGCCGTCAGCTCTTCGTCTCCAAGTCTCTGAATCGGAGCTCTTCCGCGTTTGGGGGAGGGAGTGGGTGCTGCCCATCAAATCTCCTGCACATTGAATCCGAGCTGAGGTGAGCTGAGCCGAGCCGGACCCACCGCGCACCACCGGAAGGGGTGTCCTCCATGCACAGTTTCATGGGCCACGGAATTCTGGTGGCGGATTCTCGTTGTCCGACCTGACGACAAGAGGCGGTCGCTGTCCGTTTCCCTCGATAAGCTGCAGATGAGCCAGCAGAAATGCGACAGTGAGTGAGCGAGAGAGAAAGAGAGAGAGAGAGAGAGAGAGAATGCATTTGTTTCCGTAATGTGTCCGGTTCCCCGTCGCGCCATGGCTGCCCCGTACTCTCCACGGGGAGCGGGTGGCGGACTCGAACGCTGCGAGGACGTGCCTGGGGTGCAATGCCATGCACCGGATCCTTCAGTCGATCTCGCCAGCCCCGCTTGACCTTCTACTGTGGCGCCTAGGGAAACGCGATGTTTCGAGGCGGGACAAGCGGTGAGCAATTTCTGTCACAAGCATCTGGCCATCCCAACTTGCTCCTTTCTCATGTCTTGTTCCAGTGCAGGACTCGATGATGCTGCTCTACCGCTTCGAACGATTCCTCTTCCAACATGTCACGGGTGATTGGTGATTGGTGATTCATGAGCAGTCAGTCGCCTCGGCTGGTCCACCAAGTCAGCGGCCTTTTCTCTCAAGGTTCGAACTCTCCGGCACATAGCGCCATCAAATTCTAAGATCCGGATGAGAGATGTGGGAGCCAAGAAAGCTAATAGTCGAAGGCATTGTAGCACATGTCTATTGATGACTCGAAGGCAAGAAAAGCTTGACCACCAAATTTCACATCTTGAAATAGTCACTTGTGAATATATCTCAATTATCTTCATTCCCAATATTAATTGAATACGCTGTAATGATATCGGAGGAGCCATTTAAGAACAGAGAAGAAAAGAAGAACCACACCTTCAGGTCAGTCACTCCTAAAATTTCGCCAGTTTGGATTGCAAGATTTACCATTCTCGACTTTGCTGACGACAATATTAAAAAAAATTAGAATTTTTTCTAGATATATGTAAAATACAGAAGACCACAAAGTTTAATGATGTTACCTTTCTGATTTGAAGTATTTATTCTCCTCTTATTCTGATTCAAGTGGATATAAAAAATGTACAAGTATTATGTAGAAGGTAACTTGTGCGATCACTAAAAGAACTATTCAATGAAGTTCCTTTGGGAAGAATTGAAGTCATAGTTTCGATGGAAATGTTAAGAAGTTAGGAACCCATGACATGGCTGTTTTAGAAATAGGGAGAATCACGGGGCTGCTCACCACCATAAACAACCTTTCAGTTCATACATCCAGGACATTTCTTTGAGGTAATGTCGCCTTGGGTGGAGGAGCTTGAAACCTCGCCTCTCCTCATCTTCAGTTGTTATATTCTGCTCTCCCTGAGATTGATGGTAATGTTAGCTGACAATCATTTGAATACTGAATTTAGGCTTAGAAAAAAGGATAGAAGTGAAGTCATGCGCCGTGTGACAAGCCTGCTCGTTACCTTCGCTCGGAAGCCATGCGACTATCCATCTGGCAAGAAGAATGCCACTATTGCTGAGTTGATCTCGTGGGCTCTCTCTCTAGTACAGAAAATCAAGTTTTTCTTGAAGTTGTTGCTCACGATCCTTAGATTCGGGCTACACGCTGTCACTGATATTCTAGTGTGCCCGTAGAGAGGACTATTGGAAATATTATTGACCATCTGAGTTAGCGCTCTACGTACCTATTCACTACTTACAGAAAAGATGCGAAATTCACTAATGGAAGGGGCGGGGGAAAACTGAAGCAGACGAACTGACCATATCGAAGAGGAAGTTCGCACCAGATATTCCAGAAGGTCAGGTCGGGCCACGCGAAGATTGTGAACGAAGAATGCCAAAAGAGAAAGAAAGGGAACTCAGAAAGAAACCTTCTGTTCAGCAAGATTCGGATTTGTGAGTTTCATTGAGTCAAATTTAGTGAGAGCGTGTGATTTGCGGGTACCAGGTTGCTAAGCAGTGTAGTGTTCGCGCATCGACACGTGTCGAATCCAGCCGCAATGACAAGTGGCTGTACAGTATACTTGACAGGTCGTATGAGCAAACTGTAATGTCCAACCTCTTCATTTAATTAATCCACGACAAGGACCGTGTCGTAGGTGGTTTGACCATTTGGAAGGTGGACGAATCTCGCTTCGTTACGCTCTTTTCATGAGCTCACCCCACTCTGTGCCCATCGATCGTTTGCTAACTGCTTTGTGATAGTGAGCTCATCGTGTCTCCTTGTTGACCATAATTCCAGATTAAAAAGTCTTCGTCTCTGTTCCTATCCGCTTACTGTATTCAATGAAGAAAGCATATCGACGTGGTGATAATTAGAATTTATATATTTGAAATTGTATACCTTTCTACAAAGGGAGGTATTCATTATATTTATAAGCACTTACCGCTTTCTAGGATTTGAACATGCCACATTAGGTTTTGGAGGAATTCTTTGAAAATGTGAGCTTATGAACTTGGGACGAAAACGTCTTTGATCGACTCGGACAGAATCTGCCACATTTTAGTTTTCACTTGTCCAAACTGTTACGGAGGCCAATTTTTTTTTTGGTTCTGACAGGATTTAATTCGAATACAACAGCCATAAGCAGATTTCTCGCTGCCATGATATAGTAACTTAAGGGGTCTATAGTCTTATTAAAGTTAGCTTTCTTGAATTAGAACCCGCAAATAGAGAGAACAACAACTCCCAAAATTTTGCAATCTATCGGAGATAAAATATCCTCCAACTCCCTCTTGCAGGCTTGCTATTTTTGTCTACACACAAGGATTGAGATCCGTACACATCTTTTAGACCTCTGCCAGCCCTAGGTCTGCGTGTTCGCCAAAAAGAATATTGCATATCACTTTTTCTTCTTGGATCGTTTTGTTAACTTTCGAACCTGCATTCCTTCGGCCGGCATTCATCTCGTTTTATGCTTTATCTCGACCAAATATTTATCCAATAATGACAAACATTATTTTGCACATTTTGCACATGTCAAGGTCTCCGTTCGTTACCGAAGAGACATTGACATGTGCAAGAAGCTCTGCCTCGGAGTAAATTATCAAGTGCAGTAACATGATGCAAGAAGTGATAGCATGACAACGAGACAATCCATCAGGCACAGATCACGACTGAACATGTGAAATAGAATAACCATCCAACAAATGCATGCTCCAACGATGGCTGAAACAAAATTGGTCATTTCTCAGGTCGACAAAGTTGGCTAGTTCCGACAGAGGAACAACTTTCATACGCAAAAGTGTACAATGAAAAATTCACGGACTAAAAGCTACCCTCACTCTGCGCTGATTCAATATTTATCTGACCAGCTTGTTATAGAACTACGTATCTGCATAGATCCTATCGCTTCCCAGCCGTATTATCTCTCACCCGAGCACTTCGATTTTCTGATATGTTTCAAGTGAAAAGGGTACGCCAGCGAGCGGTGTTGTGAGGTCTTCAGGACGGAACTAATAAGATCGACATCGATGAAGGATGAATGAGATTTTCTGTACGTATAATAAGCTTTACAAGGAAGTAATCGACTTCGAAACTCACTCGAAGGTGAATTTCAAAAAGAAATCTGTACTAGGATACAGGACCTTTTCTGGCTTAGTTTTTAAAACTACGCCAGCACATTCTTATACGAATTGTGCTCGACCCAGTCCGAGGCAATAGGCCCCAACAAGTCCAGAGGAATTCCAAGAGAGTCAACGAGGGCGAGAGCGTGTGGTCTAAGTTCACCGCACAAAGCGGCCACCTCTTGATGAATAATTTGTGACTGTGTGGATGTTAGTAATCCATACCTGCAATGCATGCATTGCATTTCGATAGCATTAGTTAGTAACCGACAGACGCGATCCATCTCAAACGCAAGCAGTATCAGAAAGCATTGATAATTTGGTGACAGAAAAATGCAGACCCGATGGCGATGACTGAGAGATAAAATATAAGAACACTGAATTATCCGAACTACCTCAAAAATCTTCAATCGTAATCATAGAGAAAGAAAAACTACTGCAAAATTATGACAGAATATACCTCAAAAATACTGGTGATTCATCAATCACAGAGAGTACGTAAAGACTCCTCAGGAGGCCGAGCACGTCCTGCCATCCACAACGTGCGGCCTTACGTCAATTCGAAGCAAATCGGGCATTACTAGAACATGAAAACAACATTTTGATCGGCCTGAAAACTCATTTCACGACAGTATATCCAATTTCATGACAACTGTATGTGGCTAGATTTTTGCAAGGCTTTCAACACAACCACCTAATGCAAAATGTGATTAGCATCAAAGTTCGATGGCCTAATTACTGGCTCTCTACTCCAGACACTTCTAATAAATGCAATAAGCTCCTTTCACATACGACTCAAAAAGAAAACGATTAAGTCGTACCATTTACAAACTACTTCCTTATTACTTGGGTTAAGCACATTACGTCCTTTAAACCATACGATGGTCAAAAACGTTATATGTTCATTGATAGGAACTCGCACGTACCTTGATTGAACCGGTTTGTTCAGTTTCAGCGGCAAGATGAGCTTCAAGAACTTGCTTCTCACTGAAAGCCTCACCCAATCTGCATCCTAGTTGATAACTCTGATACGAACAACATCCACATACAAACCTTGGTAAGTCGCAAACTCTATACTGACATCGACTACGCACCGCATAAACTTGCAGGATTGAGATATCCGGAGGTAAAGCCCCACTAATGCTTTACACAATGACTGTTTGCACATGCACTACGTCAAGAAGATAATCCTCTCTCTTACCCACCGACTCAAGCAAAGGTATATCACAAGTTCAATGGAGGTAAAATTTGAGTGAAACTGAAACATACTACTATGTCCTTACCTGGTTAGCAGCCTCTGCGGGTGATACTCCTCTTGATACTCTTTGCGTAACATCCTCCGCAAGCCGTTCTAACAGGTCCCTCTCGCGTAGTTGGAACAAGGCAAGCTGTTTACAGAAGACCAATGGTCAAACCTAGAAATTGTATGTCTCACCACAAAGATGGTGTTCAAGCTCACTTGGGAAAGATGAGAAAAATGAACTTACTTGGAACTTCGAGTTTCTAAGAAGGTCACTGGTAAACTTTGCAGGGATGATAGGCCTAGGGGCGTTCATATGATCCAGACCCACGCTTTTCACAGGCTTCTTCCTCTTCAGTGATGAGAAGTAATCTGCCAGTAAAGCCTTGCTGACCTGAGTACAATAGAAGAGTTTGATGTAAGACAATTTTTCATTCAATTCAAATTCACACTTCTTTCTCAACTCTTGCGCATGAACTGCTTCCATCCCTGCGAAATCCATACTCTATGGTAAGGCTGTATTTTGACTGCAAAACCTAGTCATACGAGAGCGACACTGTGCCAAAACCTCGCTCATCTGCTGAAGCAAGATATGCTCTCAGATTTCATAAGCTCAGAACTCGAGCCTTGCGTATCGCTGTTTTAGGCAGCATTTTCTGGGACCCTAATTCTTGAAAGGTGGATGACTTAGTTGAACTGTCCAGACTGACCCTCAAACATCGAATAAAACACACCATTAAACAAACTCCACTCTAAGAAAGACCACCTTCAACTTAAACCAGTCCTCTTTTTTCATTTCCACCTTCATCCTCGTCACTTCTTCCTCGTTCTTATCACTTACACCGTGGAGCCAAGGGGCTGGGTCAAGCTAGACAGGCACATGCTGAAGGGAACAGTTGATTGAAAAATACTTACTTGCTGCATCAAAACATTGTTATCACCCTCAAAGGTCAACTGGACATCATACTCGCCCTTCAGTTGCCCTACTTTGTTTTCAGTCTTCAAACCCTGACCACCGCAAGCCTCCCGACATTCCTGCACATCAATATAATTAAGATTAGGTCTCTCAAAGATTGACAACTCACCAACATTCTCACTCTTTGAAGTTCACGGCTGGAACCTCCGAACTTGCTCATAATAAAACCTATAACAGTCGGGAAAATTATATACCTGTGCGGTTCGCATGAAATGCCACGTGAGCAACGCTTTCAGACCACTCGAGAGGACATGGATAGTCTTGGCATCGGCTGGTGTCCTAGCCCCGTAGATCATCTTCAACTTGTTACCAGCGAGACTCATAGCATACCTGCACAATCGCAAACGCATATCATTCAATGATAACAGCCCAGAACTTGCAACCATAAATTGAAACCTGAGCAGTTATAAACCAAACACTTCACTGGAACTGTAGCAGCAGCGAGGGAGAACTTTGGAGACACAATTTGGATACAAACATCAAGGACATGAATGCAAGTGGATGAGGATTACTGACGATTTCGCAAGCAGAGTTAGCAGCCGCTGCTGGTGACTGGGGTAGTCAAGAAGTAAAACCTCAGGCTGATTCGGTGTCATGGCAAAAGCACGCCTCGACAGAGCATATCGAATAGCTGTTGCAAGTGCCACCTGATTTATGACAACAAAACAGCTCAACATCAATTAACGAGACAACAAGAATACATAGAAGCAGCTCACTCCTCAACATCTGAATACTGCGTATGCGAAGTTTTTTAGGTTGATGTAGCTAACCTTAGATTGATAGACAGCGGCAACTGCAATAGTTACTCGACCTGTGGTCAAGGGAGCCATAAACGCACCGAATCTCTGCCAAAAAGAAAGTCATTGGTAGCTTAGCCCAGGAAGTAAGCAGCAAACGCGGTTAACAGGAACGCTATTGTGCATTTCTGACTGCACCTGACATTAGGAACAATCTCGCACTCGTCTAGCGAGCCGAGATGATTACGAATCTTTGACTAAACAAAGATAATGGTAGGCAGAAGAAAACTAAATTGATATTCTATATATAGAAAAAGACTCTTACCTGATCAGGATCGGTGATCGAACTCACGTACTTTCCTTCAGGTGTGACGTCGGCGACAGAGTTCAGCAAATTTTCTCTAGGAACACGTACATTATCAAACCTTCAAAACCACGTCAACACATCATATCAAGTCAAACTATGCTCTCTTCGTATGATCAAGTATTTCAGTTTGACTCTCAAGAGAATGTAGAAATGACAAAGTTTTCCTTTATTTGCTTCATCAAGGGCAAAAAGTTGCCAGAAACACTCATGAAGGTAACACCACAACAGAGGACACTACAAATAATGAACTCTCCTGAGTCACAATCACATCTATTCATCTCCAACTGTGATAAACATCGACGAGAGATCTTCGCTTGATGAGTCATGACTGCATACCAGAGACGTCCATTGTCCACTCCATTCAGACCGATTTTGAGACCACAATCTGCTATTCTCACACCAGGGCAGATTTTGCCGTTTGAGTCTCGAATTTGACAAATTAAAGCGTGCACACCCTCATTCTTTCCTCCAATATAGAGCTGAGAGAACACGATGGTATGCGTTGCATGCTGCCAAATGAAAGATGATAAGGTTAGGTATTCATTCAGAACATAGTTTTTTGTTAGCCTCTAAACATTAAGCGTGTAATCTGTTTGGTAAAAGAGCGAGTGATGCAAAATATATGAAGTTCATAATTGAAAAGGTGATCAACTAATACAAAGCAGTACTACGCCACAACATGGCAATTTCCAATTTGGAAAGAGTATTAAGTACCTGAGCTGCTCCTCCAATCCAGTACTTTTGAGCAGATTCGCAAGGGGTATTTATAATAAACTCTTGGGTAGTTGGATCGTAGGTAGTCACTGTTTCTATACCACGAACCTGGCCATAAAAAACGCTAATCGTGAGCATGTGAATCAGGCTCTATAACAACTCTAAGCAGAGAGAGAGAGGACTAGTCTAGACGCAGCAGCAGAAAGGAAAGTTGTAGAGAATAAATTCACCTCAACAAACCCTGGTGAAAATATAAAGTTTTGACAATGACAAGTCAACTTCAACGTTCGATTGGAAAAGGTGTGCTTACATTGCTCCCGTGTCCCAGTTCAGTCATTGCGAAACAACCACGGATACCGAATTCTTCAGTAACTTTCAACCATTTGTCATGATGCCGTTTTGTTCCGAGAAACAAGACAGCTCCACCCCTGAAGCGGTGATAAAGTATTCAAGCATTAGCCACTGCGAAAAGCCACGGCTGAATCTGGGCACAGAAACTATTCTTATGGTTTCTACTGACTAGCACAGATATCCTGTCACAACTGACGAGCTGAATTGAAATGGACACTGACATCCATGTGGCGCATGGAAGTGCATATAAGACCTCAAGCAGTTTACCTCAAATTCAAGCAGTTTCTGTTCCAAATAATATGGTATAAATCATACTATGAGTAAATCGCAATGAATACAATACAGGTTTAACAATGCACTTTCGGTTACCCGATGCACTTTCTACCGGTATATTACCATAAGTGAAAATGGACGCCGGCCTTGATAGAAAGGGAATGGTCAAACAACGACATGCATTCGAACACTGCCGATGTGGTCAGGTATTGCTCCATTGTGTTAACCGTGAGAAGGCCTTTGAACACTCCACTGTCCCTCATGTACATAAGCCTCTCCATAGTGATTTCTCTTTGTGTATGCAGGAGAGCACCGTAGTCAACACCGAGAAAAGTTGTACTTCCGCCCGTTTTCAGGTGGAACAGTTCGTTTTTCCGCATGAGCTCGAAACATTGATCACGAACCTCGACGCTGTGACCGTCCATAAGCTTCCGCATTACAGTTATGTCAAAGGCAGGTTTTCCTGCAAAATCACGACTACATTAGCATAACAGTAACTAAAAGGTTCACGTCAAAAGATGAATAAATAAGAATGATAAGCGCATAAACTTGAAGGGAGCTTAAAAAAACCGAACATTGGAGTAAACACGCAAAATCAGTGAACATCGGCGAGAAGTGCAGTCCGTAAGAGCCGCAAACTGATGAATTTGTGAACAACAGAACACTTCCAACTTCGTATTCTCGTACTCGAGTTACTTCACATGCTGGTTTACCATAAGTTTGTTCAGCTTCAGGAATCAAGCTGAAGACTTGAAGGCCGTTATGTAGTTAAAGGTCTTGACATTTTACTCTGGTCCGGAAAACTACTCAGAAGTAAAAGCAAGAACAAATTCATACTGGCAGGTATGTCCGTGCGCCAGTTACGACTGGACAAGACAACAGAGTGAGGCATGCTTGTCTACAAGTTGAGACAAAAGGCACGAGCCGAAATATAAATAATTTACGCATAATTTATTCTTAAAAATCACGTGGGTTCCAAGAGGGTGGCAAAAGCGGAAATTTGTTCTACAGCGTTGAACGGCGTCAGAGAAATATGATTTTCAAACAGAAGACAGCCTGCGAAAAATAAGCGATCGAGGGAATTCGCGGCCCTCACAGAGGGCAGTGAAGACTCAATAACCACGAGATTTAAAAGCTGCACACAGAAAAAAATTGGAGTGTGCTCACGCCGGGGGGGAGGGGCAATTCTCACCAGAATTTTCTTCGGGAGAGCCGTATTGCAGACACGGAACACCAGCCAAGGCATTTTGAGGAGATGGCGGAATTTGCGAGAAATGCTTGGCTAACACGGATGCTCTCCAAGCCAGACGATTCCCACCGTTCTCCATCTCTAACACGCTCAATCACGCTCACGATTCTTCACACTCAGAGGCCGCAATGGAAAGAATTCCGCTCCTCTCGTCCTCCCCTTCGCGTTCTGAAAAACTGAATCAAGACTCTCCTCTCTTCTCCTCTCCTTCCCTCTCGGCGCCAACATACAGAAACAGAAAGGGACGAAGATGATAATGAAGGATCAGATCAATGAGAAAGGGGAAGATTCCTACTGCACGCCAAATTCTGCACCACTCCACACTCAACCGAGCGCCTCAATCCACTTCCCGGAATTCTATATTTCGAATGCGCGAGGCAGTCGTTGATATGCTTCCCCGCGATTCGTCGAACTCGCCACCGAGTTCACCGAAGCTTCATCCTCTCCTCGCCTCTCGCCTTCCCCTTCGGAGTCCCGAGTCCCATGTCCCGGTCCCTTGTACCCCGCTTCCGTTTATAGTGCAGCACTTTTCCGAGCGTCCGCATGACGCATCTTCCGTACGCCGGAAAGCCAAAGTCCGTGGACGCATAAGGGGACTCCGATCCTACAAGACGACATATATACGTTTATTCTTGCACATGCGAGAACAATTCGCAAGAATTAGCACGTGCTCGCAGCGAATTTTTTTATTTATGTGCCAAGGGAGCGGAGCTTGTGGAGTGCCGAGACTGAGGCACTGGGAACCTGTTTTTCTCGATCAGAGAGTCGTGGTTTCAAAGCTTGGTAGGTGAAAAGCTCAGCTCTTGAGTTCCTATCATTGTGTCTTCCTCTGCGGGTAAGAATAATAATATATTTTTGCCAGAGAAAGAGGGTTGATAATATCACAATGTTTTCTTTGAACATTTGAGCCACACTGTCTATGTACAGCACTGCTTCATTTTCATTTTTGGAGTTGCGATAACGCTCGAGTTGTCTGACGTAGGAGTTCCGGCACGTGCATATAAGCGAGTTCCATGCTTTGGCATCCCAAAGTGTGTTTTCAACTTGATGTCGTCCTTGACTGCAATAGTTTCCAAACACAGTGCCACCGCCTTTGTAGAGAAGACAGATTAAATTCTTAAAAATTCGGAAGTCTCATTATTAATGTCCGAAGGGAAGTCGTGATTATCGCAAGAGAGGGGAAAGCCGGGAGTCGGAGATTGTTGCGGCAGAGGCAGATTTGGAAAACGACGGCCGACTGACGGAATCGTACTTGTACGGGACGCAAAGTTGTGGCAGTGAGGACATCCTGCGGCCGAAACGCGCTGGCGTGGCGAGCTCGGGGTCTGGCTCGTCCGCGAAAGTCACACAACTGGACTCCACGTGGCGCGTTCTGAGAACTCGCACGTGTTTTTCGCCTCGTGCTGCGAGATGGAAGGTCAGTTGCAACAGTCGGCGTTGAATCGCGACAGTCGCGAGCGTTGCGCAAGGATTTCCGAGGTTTTGGAACTCCAGTTTCGCTTTCGCTCTTTTCGCGAAAAAGCGAAACTCGTGATCATCGCTACGAGCTCTTTTCCTCCTCTTTTGGAAAGCCTGGGGATCCTCCCCTTTGACCGCTTGGACCATTCTACTTCCGAATTGCGGCCTGCGAATGTTCCATCTCATCTCGCATCCCTCCTCGGAGTAAACGATTCTTTTCCGCCTCGTCCAATCCTTGAAGGCATTCCAGTCTTCGGCGGGACTGCGTCCAGGATCGCACTCCTACCGTTGAATTGGTCTCCGGTCCCCCCGCAAATTTCAGCAAGTCCATGTTCCTCCATTAGTTTCGTGAGTCGAGAAGACGGTACTTTCAACAGTTACTTTAAGCTTCAGCATTCCTGGTCTAGTCCAAGTTTGATGGGGGCAGATTGCCCAGCTCCCTCTTAACCATCCAGAAGACTCTTTGCATGGTCAATATGGGCCATGATTTCACATTTTGGTAGAATACTCATGGAGCTGGACCGTGAACATTACGAGGATGAGGAACACTCTATGAGGTTCCAGCTTTGAGCTATAGACATGTGTCCATTTGATCGACGACGATAAACCATTCATGAGGAAGTGAGTGCTGATGTTGGATCCAGGTGCTGGTAGGGAGGATATGGGTTTGTTCTAATGGTTTCGACGCTGTATGTAGTCTGACCAAATTGGCACACTCCTCGTTTACGACAGGGCCCTGAGTAAGGAGACTGTTCTCCAGGTCTAGCTAGTACATAGTTCTTGGCAAGGTAACGTAACCTTTGAGATTAGGTAGTACATAGGTCTCGGCAAGGTAACGTGACCTTTGAGTATCCCCCCGGGGAAAAGTGTAAAAGTTAATGGTAAAGGTAGAGCCATATGGGTTACCCGGTAATTATCGTATAACATTCTAACCACAGAAAAAAAAATGTGAACATTCTCAAAATTATTCAAAATACAATTTTGCATATTCTACTGAAACATGTAAATTATCTTCGACTTTTACCCTTTAGGGTAGAGGTAATAGGGTAATTATCAGGTAAACTTGATCTTTTACCCTTGGTGTTAGAGGTAATAGGGTAATTAACCGGTAACCCTGATGTAAAAGTAACTTTTGAATCTATTAGAATCGGTATCAGGTAATTACCTTGAGGTAGAAGTAAAGGGTAAAGGTAGACTATAATGACACGAGTAAGGTAAAAGATAGGGTAAAGGTAGAAACCCAAGGCTTACCCGGTTACCTTTTACCTTACCTTGCCGAGGCTTATTAGCACATCCATGGAAAAATGTTTCTTCTTGAAACTGGAGGCCTGCAAAACCTACGGACTTTTCCTGTTATGGTCACGTTTTTTGAGCATCATCACATATTTTTTGTGGAATTTCACAACAAGAACTATTCATGCACCGAGCAGATGCAAAAACAGCTTGTTCAGGTCAATCAGGGTGAACACGTCAAAGTGTTGGTGGTTTTAGGTGTTGGTGACGACCGAACTTATGTTCGATGATCGATACATGATCAAATTAAATCTTTTCAGATCACCCCTTATTATTAAGTACTCACACGAGCTTCGCTGCATGGATACTGGAGTATCCGGGCTTTCCTTGCAGTATAAACTTAAAGATTGCTTAAGATGTTGGAGGAAGAGCAGTTCCCACTGACCTTCGTTGTTTGCCTACGCATGCTCCCACAACAAAACTGTGACAGAGAAATGTTTGACGCTTTTCGTCTGACCGACTGTGTTGACCGAGAAATCAGTGAGAAAAGTGCGAAGGACCCCGAAGAACAGTAAGCCTACTGCTTGCTTCAAGCAATATGAACGAACAGGCAAGATCATTAAATAGAAACAAATCTAGTGTAAGATAAGCATTCCCACGCGAATGATACTTAAGCGAAGCAAGAGTGTCACCACCAACCGTAGTCATTTTTCTCAGACTGCGTGTAAAGTATGGAGCTGGTTGATTCTTGAACTTGTCACATTCGGAAGAAAGTACTGTTTTAGCAACATGAAGCGATGAATGCATCCAGAAAATGCGAGAGGAGAGGTAAAAAGCCGGTGCCCACATCAACGATCATATTGAAAGTTTGCAAAGATGATACAATTGATGGGAAGGATTGGAGACATTATACTATGCTACAGGTATGGCAGCTGGTTCTGATGTGGCGGAACCAAACTGCACGTTCCGTGTCAGAAAGTCCTTTATAATCTCAGTGAGCTCATCTGGCGTTTCTTCCTGTGGCAGGTGTCCACAATTCTTGATGCGCTTAAACTCTGCATTGGGGAATACTTTCGCCAATCTTTCAGCGTTCCAATCCGGAACGATCCTATCGGTATCCCCAGTAACTACCAAAACTGCAACCACACGGTGCGAGTGATATAAATAACAGATATCCAAGCATTTTAGAATACATTGGGGAAAATAAAAACAGCCCTATATACATGTGATGCATTGCTGATGTGAATTTGCTCCTTACTTACCTGGGCATGTAATGTCTTCTATTCTTTTCTTCCCCGAAGCTTTCTCCTCCGAGTTGTCAATCAGAGCTAGACAGTACTCAACCAGCGCTCTTTCCCAATCTCGGCATCCGAGTGGCTGCAAGCGATTTAAGAAAAGATAAACATAGTTCACGTGTATTAGCACAATGCCAGGGAGGCTTAAGTGTCGGTGTCTAGCTGAGATCTAGTCAGACATTTCCACAGGCTGGGTCGGTTATGATAAAGCTCATGACAAAGTCAAGACTGCGATAGTCACGTCAAATATCCTTCAAAATTTGGCAAGATGAGAGCAATTTACGAACCTTCGTATAACCATCGAGCACATACTTGTCGGCTTTAGTAACATCGTAAAAGGCCATGCGGACGGCAGCAGGACCCCCTTTGTCCATGATCCTGCGCACCTGCAACAGATTACATGAAGAGCTTCAGCCAAGCCTAGCTCTCTCAACTCCCAACTTTGGAACTGTGGATCTACTTTCGAATTCTTGATCTTCCTATTCCTTTTGTGAACCTGTTCTAGCTGATTACAGAGAGTCCAATCTGCTCTGGAAAACAGACTGCGTATATATCACAAGACCAAATATTCAGAAAGAAGCGTAAATGTCAAGTTCAGCCTCGATAAAATCGGATATAGACAGAGTTGGAATATCGTTAGAAAAAGAAACTTACAAGCCATATTCCTGGTGGTGATCTGAGGAGACGCCCTACAAGCTTGGAGAAGTTGAGAACAAGGAAAACCCTGACACTTCTTAAAACATCCAGGATTTTGGAGAAAGCCCAAAGAATTGCAGCCCATGCTTTTAAAACAGGGCTGGCTCTTCTGCTTTTCAAGTCTTCTTCGAGCTTCGTCTCACGTTCTCTGGATTTTTTTTCTGCATCCATTTGGCGCATAACGATTGGAGCCACCAACGCGGGAGCTACCAGAATAAGTGCAGCAAACTTTTCTGGGGCTTGATGGTATGCTTCAGCTGCGATTATACTTCCAGCTGAGTGTCTGGTCTTTTTCCCATAACAAATATCAACAACGTGTTCAACCACTTGAGCCCATAAAAGAAATCACAGACAACTCCTCTTATAGCACAAAATGGTCATTAAACATGAGGTTAAATAATTGGCCTACACTATTCTAACTAAAAGGTCATCAGTACCATTTCTCAAGAAGTCTACACATCAGGGGTGGTTAATTGAAGGCAATCTACTTCACATGCTTATCGTCATCGATCTGCCACACCTTTTCCGAGAGTTTCTAACTCATGACTTCAAAGGACATACGAAAGCAAGAAAAGTACGTATATTTAGCCCACGATCCGCCCTAGTGAATAAATAAAATTTCGAACTCGAAGAAGGGTAGACACATATTCGCAAGCTTTGGTATTCGAACAATTGTAAGTGCTTACCCAATTAGTACAGCTTTCTCCGCCTTAATGAAGTTGACAAAAGCGACAGCAGCAGCAGCCGAAAATGCAACGCTATAAATGTTGTTAAACTTCAATTTAGTCTTCTCGGAAGTTTGAGGTGATGGTGGGAATGCCCTAGAAGTAAGGCCAAAGGCAGGCCTGTCGAAAGCCACCACAGACTCACCGAATACTTGTGCAAGCTTCGGCATTATCCTCTCCCATGAGAAAAGCGACGCACCAAATCCGTGCAATAAAATTGCAGGCAAGCCCACAACCTTTTCTTCTGAATTAGCACTACTATCAGCAGCTGGACGCGCAATTTTATGATGAATCTGAACACCATAAAATTCAGCAAACCGGCTATCTGCATCAGCAAGCAGCCATGGGTCCACAAGCTGAGTCTGGTCGACTCCAGCAATGAGCCTTCGCACTTTCTCTTTCTTTTTCTGTTTCTCCTTCCCTTCCTGAGAATCATCATCGTCTTGAACCCAGGCTCCCCCGCCCAAAGAGCTACTGCTAGCCGCAGAGGGTGCTCCCCTGCTCTCGGTCTTTCCCAATTGCACAAGCCTCGTTCCTCCTCTACCCGCAGAAAATCCATTCTTGTGAAAAGAAACAACTACATCGCGGCCAACCCAATTCCCTCTGGTCCTCCTAATCTGCAACAAATTAGCTCCTTCCAAACGTCGGGCAGTCGAAAATGCTGAAAAGAAAGGCCGATTGACCACCAACCCGGAGCCCTTGAAGCAGGAATACGCCGCCATTTTGTCCAATTCGATCAACTAATGCTCTCCGTCATCGACCACTCCATCAACCAGAAGCTTTCACCAAATCATCCGATCTGCACGTCTTATGGACAACTGGAGGACATCAGTTCTCCAGTCAAGAAAGCCATACCCGGTGTATTCCCGTGGCTCAATTCGTGAATCCCCATAGACAAAGACAATACTGGTCCGTGTGGTCACGCATCAGATTGCAAAGTCCATAGGACGAGTCATCGTGGGCAGAGGTGGCGGAGCCAAATGGCTCGGACATCGAATGGGCTGTCGGATAGCTTTTCCCAATTTCAGGTGCATGCTTTCCATTCTTCCTCCTCGATCGCTCGCCTTTTTTCGAAGTCCTGGCCAACCATGACTCATTGCCTAGAAGTCAGAATTCGCATTTAAAATTATATTTTATATTTACTAATATTTATTAATAGAATAATTGAAGAATGCCGTGGATAAAGTATATATTTGTCAAGTGAAGAATAGAAGAATGCCGTAGATAAAGGATAACGCAATAAGCCCTACCTTTGCGGTTTAGACTACGAAATGTGCGGAGAGGTGATAGGCATATATTCAGGGAGCCCCGAGTGGATTACTTCTTTTGCGACGAATAGCTTCCAATCAGCCCGAAGGAAATTCTAGCATTTTCAAACCAATTTATTAAATCCAAAATGATGAATTGTATTCTTAATTCTTGTGTATATAATTTAATATTACATTGTTAGCAAAAAATATATCCAATTTTTCCATTGATACGGATTTATTAAAAGAATTTACCTATTTGATATCGACTTAAAAACTGCATTTCAACACCACTTATAAGTAATTACCCCCAATTACATATAGAACCAATAGTAAATGTAAATCTAAATTCAATTCAATAATATCTCAACTATTTAGATCAAGATATTTCTAAAACACGTAGCAGACAAGAATGCATGTACTGATATGATTTAATTATTATATATATATCACTAGTTAATGCTATCCTTATATAATAAAATAAAAATATATTGAATGATATAGGATACATAATATATTAAAAAAGTCCTCATCATCCAACAATTATGACAAGCTCTTATGCACTATGTCACAAGCATGCAGAAGTCAATCTTATTCGTTCCATATAATATGAATGTTATGGTGACAAAGATGCGATTCCTTTACATATCTATATACTTAGAGATCTTGGCCTCTACCACTTCACCAGGTGTACTATGACGTCTACAACAGTTTTTTTTACTCTCAAACCAATTAAACGTATGCTTTGATCAATTGCAAAATATATCAATGCTCTCTTCATACGTTGTGTTCATACTCTTGTGCTAATGCAATCCTCATGTCTCTTCATACGTAACTTAAACTTTCTAACACAAGAGTCCATGTACTTCCAATCCGCTCCGAGTTACAACAACATTTGCTGGATCTGGAATAGAACAACAGTCACAAATGAACGATAGAGATTTAGATAGACGCACCCAACTAAGACAAACGAATTATTGTGGTATGGAAATAATTGATGTGGATATAAAATATGTGATGCATAATTTAGTCAAGAACCCCTCGCAAGATTTTATGGCATAAAAAATATTCAGTACCTTACAGTGCAGTATATGGTCTGATATAAAATTCTGATGAATTTAAAAATTGTTGAAACTGTAAGCCTTTGGATGTAAAGTGTCTAAAATATTAGTAGAATCTGTCAGCAAAAAATAAACCATGAAATTATCATGTTATAATTCTAAATCAAAATTTTTTCTTGTTACGTAACATAAGATTATAATAACCTATTATGATACATTGAAAGTTGCATCTATGTACAAAACACGAATTAACAGCTTTTGACCGCTGTCAATGATAACACAGCTGTCAAAAGTGCCTGGTCAAAAATATGATGGGTGTAGTTTCAACAACTAATAGTAAATTTACAACAATTATGGAATTAGAAAAAATATCTCTCAGTGTGACAAATCTCATGTCTTAAAAATTTAGCTTGAAAGTCTCATCAAACACTCCAATGGTCTAATGTATTGTATGTTTTTTGAGACTGCAACTTCGTAAAAATATATGAAGAAATTAAACCATATATCTTGAAATTTGGACAATCAAGTAATTATGTCTTCAACGTGGGGTAAAAAGTGTAAGAAACATGGACCTGACAATAACAAGAGAAGAAGATGTAGCGAGCAAAAAATAACAATAAAAACCATTTATCTACTTTCCATTTTTTAAGTAAAAGCGATATATCTAACTCTACCACCATTTCAAGTAAGCTGTTACAGAAACGGCCAAAAACTAATTCTATGATAGCCACCAACTCACCTAATAAGTAAACAAAACAGGCCGATCTAGAAGGTGTCCCAATTTAATACTTAGTACTCAATAATATTCTTCATAGTCTCCAATTGAGAATGAAAAGCCAACTCATTTGACTAAAATCACCCAAAACTTGATTAAATAATCATTTCCAAACATCTATATATTCATTTCTCAGCTTATACTCACAGTCCATGTTAAGAAATGGAAAGTGTTAACATCTGATTAGTCAGTTGTGTAAGCCTATCTCGTTTTGCTCTCTCGGCCGAGTCTTCGGTGATACGAGTAAGAAGAAAGGGAGAAGAAAATTTTGTGCATCATATTCTCCATGAAGCAAAGACCACCAGTCTTAAACCCCAGTCGTGGAAGGAATATTCTTAGTCAAACCCTGCAGTATTGCTGCGAGGTCTACCATCGGTGGTTTATTCGTTACGAAGGTACTGACAAGCGTGAAGGATGCGAGGCTGATGTCGAAGGCCAAAGGAGCAATACAGAGGAATTCGATCCACACTGAAACTGCGCTCGATTGAAAGAAATGCACTGCAGTGTCTTCTGTGTGTATGTGCTTTGTGACCAAAACTACTAATTAGTCGATCTATTGCTCTGCGGGGTTCGTCGTGGATCGATTCCTTGCTCTTAGGTGTGAAAGATTTCTGTCGCAGATGCTGGAAGTGACTTTCTGGGACGTGTGACGGTAACCCGGAGATATGAATTTCAAGAAAGATGTTTCTGTGGCTTCTTGGGAATCCGAGAAAGGACTTGCTGAAGTCACAGTGAAGAAGGGCAAATTGTGGTGTAGTATGGGTATCATCAGAAGCAGTAAACTCTACTGCAATATTGAGGAATCCATGTACTTGGCAGGTTTAGGGAGCCTAGTCATGCTCAACGACGAGAGAATCATGTCGGATGACGAAATTTGCAGTCTGTTACTCTTTCCTGGTCACGGTTGTTCTTGGGCCGCATATCAAACTTTTGCTTATTTGAAACGTCTAGGTTACATTGTGGGTCGATATGATGTTTTGTGGACTACTTCTCGCAAACAAGAGAAATTTCCATCTCTTCAGTCAGATGTCGAAACGGACTTGTCATCAAAAGCTGAGGAACTCATATTGCCTTCAAATACTCTGAAAAGTGTCGTCAAGTCGAGTTCGAGAGAAGTACAATTTCCATTATCTGATACGATGGATGAGGTCAACTGCGACATGATTCTGACGAGGACAGGCGCAGAAAGTTCCATGAACCCTAGTCTAGAGGAGAAGTATGGGAATGACTCGGCTTCTCTTCCATGTGATATTGGGAGGTCAAATTATCCTCGAGAGGACTCGGAAGCAGGTCTAGAGGACTTACAGTCTCTTTCTGTGCTGAATTTGAACAAGGATGAAGATACGTCTCTTTCTGTGCTGAATTTGAAGAAGGATGAAGATACGTGTGATCAACCTATGTTCGATGTATTTCTGCCTAACGGCCGATTCAAAAAGTCGGTACCAGGCCCACCAACCTTTAGGCTCTGTATGTCTAGCAATCACCCGCCGAAGCCGAGTGATATTCGTACTATGGAGCACAATTGCGGCGGAGTACCTTTCAAATATGTCGTTGTTGAGTGTGGGCATATCTCCATCTTTTCTTTTGATACGGTATCTCTTCCCGACTTACCATGATCCATAATCAGCTCTGCTTCAAGGCCCACGATCTGAGATAGCAGTTTTCCTTCATCGTCCAGCTACGAAGTTGGAGTTGGTGGGAACTCGACCATCAAACGTTGAGTTAATACAGCCGAGCAAGTCGCCAGGGTTTGTCATCGAATCTTGCAAACTTGGTGGAAATGTAATGTGCCATAATTGTGCTTACTACTCAGAAAGAAGGCCTCGAATGACCTCACTAAGCAGGTACTCCATTTTAGTAACAGTATGACAAGCTGTGATTTGCTTGAAATTTTCATGCCTTCTCCGCTCTATCTCTATTCTCACTTCTGAACTTCACTTGTGAATATATTCGTGGATGTTATTCTCGTGGAGTGGAAGTTCCTCGCTGAGTGGCACAAAAGTTGAATCAGTACTTGCGGCCATGCCTTGTGATCAAATATGGTCGGGAATGAATGCAAATATTAAGCCAACTTCTCTTGAGTTGTAGGTAACGTGCAGTGTTCAGGCAGTTTGCGTTCTCAAAGTTGTAATATCACCATTCGTATTCTGTGAGAGGATGCCCTGTCCACACCATCACTCAACTGTGGAATGAGGCATGCCGCCTTTATTTATTCAGGTAAAGCTGTACCACGAACTAACCGATAATTCTCATATTGCCATTGCAATTTTTTTCTTGTTGAGCAAATAATTTATAGGAATTGTGAGGATATTTTAGCCTGCTAAAATATCGAAGGTGTACGCAGAAACTCGGTAACGAGCATACGTTGTTGGCAACTATTCTGGTTCAGCCCTCATGGTGCTCTCTTTAGGAAGACATGCTTGGAATTGGTGTGTTCGGTTGGTACCATGCCTTGTTATTTGAGTAGAAGCGCATATATAAATGTACTATACGACGACTCGCTGTCGGTTTATATGTCACATCTCTACGATTCATTGCGTTCAATATATATCCCTGGTTTTCAGTAATTGTTGTCTCGGTGTCCCCTGCCCTCTTTCTGCCGCCCTTGCACAAGGCTCTTCCTACATTGCCGTCCTGTTTTTTTTTTTATTTTTATGTTCCGTCTTCATATTATCATGGAATCTTCCTAGGATATCCTGGTGGATCGCAGAAGTAAGATGGTTCAGATATTCGCTTTACGTTTTTGTCACGCAAACATCTATATTTCATGTTTACAGTACTTACAGTTCATCCTGAACTAACGCAGATCGTCACGATCTGTTCTAGAATTACTTCATCCTTTGACATCAATGAGGAATGCTCAGTTGATCAATACCGATCTCCAGCAGAGACTTTATACGGATAATATCTCGTTTTCTTTGTATGGAACTATGGTTGCAATGAATGCAGATGTCGTTTTCATCTCATATGGGTTTTTAAGAGTGCTTATTGATGGCCTCCCGTGTAAACTGATGTTTGTTGTGCTCGTTTATCATGTGCAGGATATACCAGGTCGTAGTAAACAAGGAGAAGGGACTCTCTCTCGAGTGCAACATCTTTCGTATTAGCCTAGCTTGCAGCATTTTCTTACTCTCTTCTAATGGATCCTTATTCAAATAAGGATCCATCAAAGACAACATTAACCATATTGTCTTGATTGTCCAAAATGCTCATTTATGTAAATCTTTCAAGCATGCAAGTGACTAGAAATTACAGTAGCAATTACAAAGAGTTCAGCACCGCGATTTGTGAAAACTCCTATGACTGCATTACATCTGTACGTCACAGGCGATTAAGCAGCTTGGTCGATTACCAAAAAATTACAGTCCCTACAAGGGCAAACACCCTATCGTTGTGAAGCAATGCATTTGAACTTATTTCTATTTTTATGTAATGTTGAGTTAAATTTTTGATAACGAGAGTTGGTCTTAGAATCATGAACTTATATCGAAGTGAAGTTAATCGATTACTAACTACTCGCTCGCTGAACTCGGAAACCCATGTTTAGGTATGATAATGCATTGCAACAGCTGCAGTTACAGAGGACTTGCAATCCTTCCAAATCCGTGTCCAAATCAGTCACTTTGTCCTAAACCCTAAACCCAGGCCTGCTGTTGCAGAGATCCTCGAAGAAGTTGTGTGGTTTCATCCCCGAGGTTAATCTAGTCTTTGTCCGTTATCGAGATAAAACGAAAGTCATGAACTTAGTGACATTCAAGAAAATACTAGCACGCGAGATTGATCAAGATAGAAACAGGAGTGAAGACATATATCTTGAGAAACACAGCATGTTAGACTACAAACTTGAGTTGGTTTAAAAACAGAGCAGTAGAAAATGGAAGGTTTTATCTTAGCACTATCTTAGAAGTTCGGTTTGTGGAAAACCCGCAAATGAGTTCCTCGGTTCATAACATACTTTCAGTGACAAATAAACTTCCCTCTAGAGGGTTGGCGAGAATGAATTTGGATCACAGTAAAATTTGACAATGAAGTACATAAAAAAGAATACATTTATCTTGCAGTCACGCTTGCTGTAATTTGACAAGAACAAAGCATTGTTAGATTATCCTTTCCCATTTAGTTCCAATTCCAACAGCAGATTATGTAGTAAATGAATTTTCTTTAAAATATTGTGATATCATAATTTTCCTTCGAGTAAATCTTTAATAATATTATTTCATAAAAATGTGAATCATACTCATTTCTTGTTATCATGAACCTTTGTGATTTCTATTGACCTAAAGGTTTTTTCAAATCATCATTCATTACAACGGTAAAAATTATCAAATTACTTTATCCGCTTGAAAGATTAGAAATCATCAAAGCTAGATTGGAATTTTTAATTGATAGTCTTCAAATATGTTCGTGGAGTTTTGATCCGCATTCCTTATCGTAATAATGAAATATCATATATCATGATTTATTCAAATTATTGTTGTAAAAGGAATTGTGTCAATATTTTGATCCGTAGCTTCATTTTTTCTATATGATCAAATTCTGGTTTTATCAAAGGAAGGAGTTTTTTAAGATAAAAAATCGAAAAAAACTTTACCAGAACTAAGATGATCTTGATTGGGGTAACAAGGCTATGCATCGAAATCTCTCATTCAGCTCTTTCATTCAAATTTTGCCACTTTTGTATAAATAATTATCATTTAAAAAAATTCACACAAAGCAAATTTGAGATTAGGAAAAAACGTATAACTTTTTACGGATTCTTCTAGCATATTTTAGAATAATCGATTATCAAAGAAATAACAAAATTCTTTCAAATATTTTTTAATTATTGTATTACTATTCTTAAAACTTGCTTTGAATTTACAGATTTAAAGCCATATATCTACATTAATATCTTGTTATTGTCCATACACAAAAAGTAAATGCTCTTGAAATTTTGATACCAAGATTTCAATATATAATTTACTTTTTTCAAGAGTTGTTATGATGTAGCTTGAAAATGATTCATAAACAAAGTAATTGAAATCTCTTGAGAAATTGTCAAAGGAAATTGATAATTTTACATAAGTAACATGTTTTTTAATATTAGAAAATAAATCATAGAGTATTTAAGTAATCTTATCTAGAATAATAACTACATGGATAGGGACTGGTAACCCATCCTTTTCTCCACAACTGTTATATGATAAGTCCATGATGTCATGCACGGATTTTTTTCTTTCGATTTTATACATGTAGCATTGCCGCAAGAAAGAGTTAAATTTCAGTATAGTTATCATGATATTGTATTAAAGGTACTAATTTATTTTAGAATTATGTCATACAAACACTTAAATATTCAAAATATTTATCATGTGAACATTCTGTGAATTATCACCTAAATTGATCATAGATAAAATCTATCAATGATTCTATTCATGAACTCATCACCTGGATAGAGGGTACTTTTTTAACGCTAAATTGTTTAAAAAAAATAAAAGAATACTCCATCACATAGTATGTCATGATCCGAGTCCATAAATTATAAAACATTTATTAAATTTTTATAATATCAACATTGTAAATCAAATTATATAATTAACAACACAGAAAGATCATGAACAAAACTATACAAAACCACCCAGCTTGGAAAATCATGAACTACAGTGGACGGAAGACACACTCAAGTACATCAAACATACCTATAGTTCTCACTGAGAGCTAGCGACCAGTTTTATGGACACCCCGGCACCTTTGGGAGTAAAGCATCTGTTTGTACGGAGAGAGGGAGTCGCTTTGTTCGCTTTAAACAAACGATTCTTCTGGCGACGTAGAATCTTGTCGCTTTTTCCCTTCTTCCAAAACACTCTAAATCCAGAAAGTTGTTCCGGTCACTCAGCTGACAGTCACGTACACTGTAGGTTTCTGTATATCTGAACACTGCCAGCAGCCGATGTACGTTCACGAGGTCCGGGGGATCCCGAACCATTACCGGCGAACGAGTTGCCTCACCCCTGGCATAAACCTTCGGCTCCTTCTGGAAGGCTTTTCAGTAGCAGAAGGAGTAAATCGTCCCAAGAGGAAGCTCTTGCGACCAATTAGATAGTTGTCATTGAGAGGAGGATTCCTCTCATTGAATTTGTGTATAATGTTGGCCCTTGGAGGTAGTCCTCCTGCCGGGACACTCTCGTTCTCCAACACCATAACGAAGCAAGCTTTCACTACCGAGCTAAACGGGTTCTTCTCCGCCGAGAATTCTTCAAGGTTCGGGATCAATTTAATGAATGTCGTGTCTGGTAGATGTTCTTCTGACAGTAATTGGCTTCTAAAAATGTACAATTCACAAAGTTATGTTTCTGAAGGAGTATCTCGTTTTTGAATGACATCTCAGCACGAGAATCTCTCTCCTTTTGTTGTCTTTCAGGTGTTCTTCATCAATTAGGGCGTCAGCTGTACCCCTGGTGAAAGAAGCTGCAAGTGGAGTTAATTTTATACGGCCGCATTTGCGAAATTTAGCTCCTTACACTCCCATTGAACCCTTTGAGGTAAGTAGAGTTTACCCTTGCACGCATTTGTATTGATTCTGTTAGACCGTCCATCCGATTCAGTTCGACCTTTGAAAAGTGAAGTCACAATGTTTCATAAAACGAAACCTTAAATTCATTTTCTGGAGTACTACATTCAGAGATAGAAACTGAAATTTGGCTTTCACTCCTTGCCCAGATTCTGTCTGCCCGCCTCGGTAGAGCACCTCAAGATATCGTGAAGTTGGATGCCAATGAGAATCCTTATGGGCCCCCACCGGAGGTAAATGTTTGAAATTCGATTTTCATTTCAGTGGGATGTAAAAGTCTAGACCAAGCTAAGTCTGCGCTGTAAGTAGCATTGTATCACCTGGAAGACTACCTGTATGAATAACAAAATGTGTTCAAACCATGCTCACGTTCCTCGTGTAGGCTGTTTCGCAGCCACTTCGCTTTGTTATGATTTTGCTATTCCGCCCTGTTTTCAGTTTTGGCTTTTCTTCGTTTAAATTGCTGTTTCATATTTCTGCTCGATGTATCAGTTCACCGGTTCCTTGCAGTGCATGATGTCGTTGAGTCAAGAGTTGTAAGACTCCTTTTTTTTGCAGTGGAATATTGAATGCACTAATTCTGGGTCAGGTCATGGATCGAACAGGTGATGGAGGCTCTGGGTAATATGCAATTCCCTAACATATATCCTGATCCGGAGAGTCGGCGGTTGCGTGCAGCTCTTGCAAAAGACTCTGGGCTAGGGGCAGAGCACATTCTAGTGGGTTGTGGAGCGGATGAGCTGATTGATTTGATCATGAGGTACTCTCGACTCTAATTCTAGTTTTTCCTCTTCTGGCTTGCACGTTGATTACACTGGTGCTACTTGTGAATGCTTGTGACTAATTTACCTGACGTTTGTTATTGGCAGTCTAGTATGCGACTTTTTTGTTCTGAGAAACTGTTATCTAAGTGTTTTCTCCTTGCAGATGTACGTTAGAGCAGAATGATACAGTCTTGGATTGTCCACCGACTTTCACGATGTATGCCTTCGATACTGCTGTTAATGGAGCCAATCTCGTCAAAGGTACTTTAAAAGTTGTCTAAACCCGTCGAAATGCCATCAGCATGTTGTAAGAGTCCTGGTGAGGTCATCAACTTTTACTTCTATCGCTGTTTTCGTTTTTGTTGATATTTGTACCCGCACGTTTTGCAGTGCCAAGAAACAAGGACTTCAGTCTGGATGTCCCTGCAATTTTGATGGCTATAGAGAAACATAAACCCAAACTGATTTTCCTCACGTCACCCAACAACCCTGACGGGAGGTACCTATCCCATCACACATAGCTTATCTTACTTTCTGTATTGTCATGTTTTTGAAAGAATTCAATTCTGAGAACGAGATGACTGTTACTTGACAGTCATGCTTGTCCACAGTAGTTCTATATGTATATCAGGTGGGTCATTTCTTTACTGAGGAATGACATCTACTCAATACCAGTTGTCTATTGTGGTCTGTTTCGTGATTACCTTTCTTGTACTCAAGAACCAAGTCTTTGTCTTCTCTTAACAGCTTGATTAAGGAGGACGAGTTGTTAGAAATCTTGAAACAAGACGTCCTGGTGGTTCTGGACGAAGCTTACATCGAATTTGCCTCTGAACCTTCTCGAATGACCTGGGTGAAGGAACATGAAAATCTGATTGTTCTGCGGACGTTTAGCAAACGTGCAGGTTTTATTTCTTACCTTTCCATATGGGTTTGCAAGTCTGCTTATCAAGCAACTCTTTTAATTTGGAAAGAATTGCTAATGCGACGAATGCCCGATCACTTTCCATATGAAGTATGATATTTTTCTTGAGGTTAACAGAAAATCAAAATAACATTGAGGTTTTCGATGTCATTTCGTGGATTGGAAGCAAAACATTCATCTTAGTTAATGGATGTTTCGCAGAAAACTCAATGTTTGTATATGTGCTGGTTTGAATCAGGTCTTGCTGGTCTTCGAGTCGGTTACGGTGCTTTTCCTCTAGGAATAATAGATTATCTTTGGAGAGCGAAACAACCGTACAACGTGTCAGTTGCTGCCGAGGTTGCAGCTTGTGCAGCTTTGGATAACACAGCTTATCTGGAGGTAATTCTGTTCAAAAGGAGGACTGTAGGTGGTTTTTGTTTGCTTGTTAAGTAATGTACGACGAGTTTTTAAGCTTTATAGGATTTGTGGCTTCTGGAATGAATGTGAACTTCTGGCACGAGTTTATATACTGCCGTTTTAGGTCCACAAGTTTAGGACTACACAGTTTTGAGCAGGTCATGCCTTTCGGGAACGATATCTTACTATATCTTGAACTCCCTCTTTTTTTGTCATCACTTCCATGGTTTCAAACTCTTGAAAGGTCTTCAAGGATGTTATGCTCATTACGTTGGCGCTATGATGATTGATGCACAGGACGTGAAGGTTAAACTTGTAAACGAAAGGGACCGGTTATACGGGTTATTGCTGGATGTTCCTTTCCTAACTCCGTACCCTAGTCACTCTAATTTTATCCTTTGCTCTGTCACCGATGCAAGCAAAAGCGCCAAGCAGTTGAAGGTAAAACAAAACCCTATTTCAGAGTTTTTTGTACTCAAAATGAAGTTCAAGCCTCGAGAAAGTTTTGTTTTTTCGAGAGCACTAATCTATGTACAAAATGCTCAGGAGAGGAACTGTTAATTTAAAGTTTCCTAGTATGCTAGAGCCTTCGACTAGCATCAATGCCGTGAGCAAATCTTTACACTTTGGTTCTTCAGGCGGATCTGGCGAAGGAGGGAGTGATGGTACGTCACTACGACAACCAGGAGCTCAGGAACTACATTAGAATATCTGTTGGAAAGCCCCAGCACACAGATGCGTTCTTCAATGCCCTGGCCAAAGTTGCCTAAATGTTGCATGAATATATAAGAGGTACAGTATATATCGAGAGGACATTTTGGCCGGATGACGAATTTTCTTTTGAAAAGATTTTAACGGGAGTTCAGAACAAAAGATTTGCTCGGCTATTTCATAGGTTTTTCGAAAAGACCTGAACCTAGAACAATCAGGAGTCCTAGAGCACCCAAATCAGACTCGCATTAGTCACGTAGATCTCACTGGGCCTCTTTTCCAGCATGAAGAGGCAGTGATATCAACATTGTTTCCAGGCTGGTGCTGTGAGACCCTGAAGGATAGCTGAGTGTCAATAATCTAAAACGTGGAGTGAAGGCTCATCTTTCTTCCGTACGTATGTGTAAGTGGCCAGTTATTTTCCACTACATAGAAGAGTTGGTCCTCCACTTCCTCATGTACTATGCGATTCATGTGCTCTTGCCAGAAGAAATGCACGCTGTGGTTATTTGGAAGCTGCAAATCATCGTCGATGTCAATACTTCCTGCTCTCGATTGCTTGTTGAAGGTTATTGAAATAATCTGATCGGCTGAGGCTCTTTATCTTGCCTTTTGTTCTGATAAGAATGTATATTTTCAGAGTTGAAAACAGCCAGTGGAAAACGATGACCCGTAGCTAGGAGCAAAGGTCACTGATGATATCTTACGACGATGAGATTTATAGCCAGTGTGCATTACATGCAATAAATGAAATGGATAGTTTTACTCAGGTTACTTTTGTAATTCTTTCTCATGGGTTTCTGCATTGTTATATCCTCGAGAGGCCCAAGTATACATGAAGGACAGGTGCTTTCTGGTCGATCTTTATACGGTATTTATTGATCGTACAGAGGATATTACATGGACCTAAACTAAGGAACTTTCGGGACCTCATATCAGGTTGTCCTGCTCTCATGTCAACAGATCCGTTCGGAGCATGTAAATAATGCTTAAGTTGCTGTCGAAGTTACTGAGCAGTCGATTATTGCAGGCATGAGGAGAGATTAGTAGGTAGTTCGGTGTACGTGGTCCGAGTTACATATAAGTGGATAGGTAAAAGAAGTTTTATATATGCTTTGGAAAAAAGGAAAACTTAAATCAATTACATTATTGTGTTGTGGGGAGTTTTCTCCTAACAGAAGTGAGACCAAGCTCAAACTTCCGGTCAATCATTAGTATCGTTCTACTTACTTTGAAGAACCTTCAAAGATATCGTGATCTGTAAAGAATCATCAAGACGTTGGAAGTTCAAAATGCTGCAAGAGTCGTGCAGAGTAGTGTTGTTTTAAACTTATTCGCCAGTTACCCTCTCCTGTGTCTGAATAAGAACATGGCAAGTTCGTTCTTAGATATCGAGACGCTCAGAAGGCTTTTTGGCTTGAACATTTTCACCTGGTGCCCTGACTAGATCAACTGCACACTTCAAAGCAGGAGAGAATTGCAGCTGCTCTTGTTCTAGACATGGATCCCTCTACAACTCTTTTGCAAAGTGAGAACTGAGTCTACCAAATCATTCTTATTAATGTACTAGAGGACAGATGTCGTAATCCTGATGTACGTTCACGTTGGTGCATCAGGGTGCACTCAATATTTACAGCAAAAATATGTTGCGTGTGACCAGAATAGAAGGTCATTCACCCGGAGATCCAAAGCGTCATATATGATCTGTGTAGGTACATAGCATAGACCTTTGTCGGAATGTTTGGACTCAGAATCAAACTCGTCTTTCATGGATAGATGGGAACACAGTATCAAGTCAAAGCCTCTACGCATTCCGACCTCTTCACGATCTAAACAACAAGACAGAGGTGTCCACTGTCGTCAGCACACACAAAATGGAAGAAAGTGTATCCATAAATTGTTCGAGACCTTTAGATATGCAGTGAAGCATCTACGCTGGAAACATCTTGCCCCTTGAGAGGGACACCTGCTCCAAAAGTGACGATAAAGTCACAAAATATAAAACACTGAAAGGTTTTGGATGCAGCACTTGTACAGGCCATAGTGGACAGTACAAGTGTGCATGGATTTCCTTTTGGCTCTTGATGATGAGGTCAAGGAAGGAAATGCTCTGAATGATGAAACATTCTCTTTCTTTTTCATATCACTGCTTCATTCCCCACTTTATAGACGGCCGTTGAACAGGTATCCGGAAAATGTTCCAACGCTTTTCCCCTTTCAAGCAAAAAAATGTGTCTTTGGACAGACCTTGGATCCAAGTTCACTTAAGCAAGGCCTCGGTGCCACTGTGGGCCCTGTAGTAACTCTTGAATCAGATAATTGTCTTTGAATATAGTAATAAAAATGATAAATATACCTTACAGACTACTGAAGTTAAATTTAATTTTCAGGTGGGTAAGAGGCCTTGTAAACTCCCTAAGGCCCATTTTTGTTTTTGGGTGGACCCCACGGAATTCATCTTTAGTGTTTTTGGCCATCACTTTGCCTCTCTTGTTGACCCTGAGTCGTACTAATCATGCTCGAGTAATTTTTTACGTGATTGCATCATCAGAGATTATTCATTAAAACTAGAAGTCACTATATCATTAACTTTGTTTTCAAAATTTATTCTTCCACCATGAAGCCAGTGGACGTGACATCTGAATGGGTGCAGCGATCCACATGTTTTGAGACCCAATAACGTGATATTGAATATGTCTAGAAGCTAGTCTATGCTGAGGACTTTCGTTATGAGGAAGCATCAAAAGAATGAGAAAGCCACAAAATAATTGACTCAAATTACGGAGGTGCCACGTCTATGATGCATTTTTATGACATTTTATAATCGCACTGCGCCGCTTTGAATTGTTATCGACAACACGGTGTCTATTCAATTTTGATATGAAGCTTCTGCAATTATGTCTTTTCTCGGATTGTTGATTATCAGCTGAAAATTTTGTGGTGCGCCACATTTTATATGTCGTATCTTTCCATCCATCATTGCTTTTGGCATTCCTTAGCTTTGACCATAACATAAAAGATACATCATTTCTTTAAACCAAGTAATGCAGTCATGTTTTAAAAGACATGTTTTAATTATATCAATGACACATTATAATGTGTCATTGATATCTGAGACATAGATCTTTAAGAAAATATATTTTTTAAATATTTATATAAGTTTTATGCGAATTTCAGAAGCTATAAAAGTAAGTAATAGAAGATTTTATTGAAGATAAAACTAAACAGTTCTCCAAGAGCTAGACCTTAAAAGTATCACAATGAAAAATATAAATTAAAATATCTAAGGAATCTGTTTTTTAGTTCAAATATTTCATTAAAAAAATATATACCGTCACAGCACTTAATGTATTGCTCTTTAATGTAAATAATTAGTTAAACCTTTCTGTAAAAATATTCAAATTCATTTTCTATTATTGTATCTTCTATAGGCTATACATTGTGGTGTCCAGTGCAGTCTAATCTTTGGACTCTTGTGCATTCTTTCAAAAATATGAATTTATTTTTCCATATATTTATATCATTCCAATTTTTTGCTATTGAAGATATGATATATTTGTATACTTTCAAATTTGTAGAATTTTCATACTTCTTTTTCGCCCATTCAAGAAGATGAATAATCATCCACTTCAAAACTCACGAATAGAATTCAAAAACATTGTAAAAAGATTTTTAAACAAATTACATATATCTCCAATACTCTACAAATGTATACTTTGTTTTCAAGAAAGAAAGTATATATTTCTCCTAATATCGGTCCACTCCTATTTTTACAGAGGACATACATGACATCTTTAATGAATATTTTCACAGCCGCGTGTTTTATTTGCAAATGGACATTAAACCCTGCGAACACATTTTGGTCTAAAATAAAATTAATTAAAGTGAGCAATAAGAATGTAGGTTGATGAACCAAGCCAGGTAAAATTTAATGAATAAAGAAAAAATACCGCTGTAAAGCTGTTTCAAAGCTCTAATTCATGGTCAATTCAATATACAATTTATTACATTCTTGTCAACAAACAAGTGCTTAATAAAAAATTTTGGTAAGAAAAATGGATGGATCTTCAAAGATAAATTTGGGCTGCTAACATTTATAGTAAGGTGAATTATAATTTCTTTTCCCAACAGATGATTTTTGAACATGAATTTTAGAGTTCTTGTCTTACTTCTAAGGCTGAGGAGGGGTACTTGTTAATTATTTAATTTTGTATCCACATGCTCACAAAAATTCTAATGACAGGTAAGAATACACTCTAAGATCTATATCTATCCAAATGCATTTAATCCAACACATTAATTAAACTAATGATTTATCTGTGATATTTATTTGTTTCATTCCTTAGAAGATGATACAAATAGTAATTTAGATATCGGTTGACATCGAAAATGTGGATATCTCATAACTGTTGTATAATTCATGTTACATGTGTTTCATTGTGATGCTACTGGAGTCCGGCCCCATCACATTGTCCTTATGACATTCTTTCTCTTCTCCAATTGTCTAACACAACAAAAACAAGCTACCTTAGCTGCAAACAGAAATATCCCTCCAAAATTTATCCCCTTAACATATCTCTATTAAGATTGAAATCCGAAAAAATCATACAACCAGCAATTTATGTTGACCCTTTAGTTGGACTATTAACACTCTTCCATGCAAACTGTCAAACTCTGGCATGCCTTCACCTAGTCAAGGTCTCACCAGATTTCTGATCAGACTGGATGTCAAATCAAGAAGAAGTCTGTTGCTCTCCTTCCTCCACTTTACCTTATCTTCTTTCCAGGTGTAAGTAGCTCTCTATAATTAATGCTCGTGAAAAACCCAAAAAATTCACTCTATGTGCTATGTGCAAAAGTTTTATGCATGGGAAAGAGGTTTGACTGACCACAACATAGATATGTTGTAGCCAGAGGACACCGACGAGAGTAGCTCGTCCAAATTTATCCATGAGGCTTTGTACAATGGCTTGTACAAGTGGGACAGGTATTCCAGTACAGGTAGCTTCTTGCTCCATCACTTGGTTCCATGCTAAAAAAAACTGCACTATGTTTAGAAACTTATTCCACTTATTCTCCTTATTTTCCTTCACATTGCACTCTGAGTTAGTCAGACAAACTGACTCGAACATTTAAGACTATAAAACTCTGAAAAGTTTATTATTTACCTTTTGCCATGCGTGCATACAAGAAAGTTGAAATATGTATATGAATTTCACATGTCTACAATATAGGTAGAAACTCCCCTTGCACATGGCAACCAGTATAAATTATCATTGAAAGGTATATCCAGATCAAGAAATGTACAGAAGCTGACTTTGCAATGCACAGCCCAGAATGTCTGAATCAGCCAGAGATTTCATGCAACACAGGGAAAACTATTATAAGATGCGGCCGAGAACGTCTGATTCAGCCAGTAATTCATGCAAGCGGAGTAGAACTGTTGGAAGATGGTACATGCGAGAAGGTTGGGACTCTTCCCTTCCATAAGTACAACCGACGTCTGAAGAGTACAAGAAATTTTTTCAAGTCTGGCATGTGATCGTCACTGAGCAGGAAACTGGAAATATTTTTTTAATGGATGTGCAGCTTTCAGCTGCAGCATCTTCAAGCTTTGGAGCATCAGCACTTGAATCTCTCCACTAGTCGTTCATTCCATGGACCATGGAGTGATTAGTTTTCCCATTTTATTTCCCTACGAGAATGACTGTAGCTACATCGTCTGAGTCGGAAGCCTGACGTAACCTTAGTGATGAGGCAAATTGCAGACCTGAATTGTGGATGTTTGATTCACTGCTGAAGGTTTCTTGCGCAAAGTAAAGAAGGGGATTCCTTCATCTCATGTGCAGAGAAGCTTTCTGCCGAAGAGACGGGATATGCCTGATTGCTAAAAATCTAGTCACAGATCTCCGTCCTCTGGCACATGGGATGCCACATTGCCTCGTATTGGGCATATACCGCTTCGACATTTTTGGCACATTCTAACACCGCGTCACCCAGACACCGCACAGAATGCGGCTGCTTATTAACAGCCTCAATTCTATGGATGCTCGATGTTTGATGCCCGACCTAGCTCCAGTACCCACATTATAATTTACTGCAAAACCAACCGGTCCACTTGTCGTGATTTCAGAAAGAAATATCTGCTCCTCGGTCGAACCCAGGACGGAGCAATATATGATTGATGGTCGTCGGGTCAGTGATTCAGTCCACTGCAGTATTGGCGCCTGCAGCTCTGGGTGCTGGGAGGTCTGACCACGCGAAGGATCACAACAAGAAATTCGAGCAAAGGTCAAAATGCAAGCGAAATGAAAGACCTGTTTAGATTTCCCAACAGTGAAGCCTTCAGTCGTAGAGTGCAGATTTCGGAATTGTGGTGGGAAATCATTTGACGAGGATGACAGATATTGCAGCCCACGTACATTAGTCAGCTGGGGACGCATCTTTGATCCCGAGTCCCCCGGTGAACAAGGTTGAGAACATCCTTCCGACTCGCACAGTTCCTCTACACGTACACGAAGGGCATTTCAAGGACTACCGACCGAACTGCAGTGGACTCAGGCATGTCGCAAGACATGTTCCAGCCGTGGCGATCGGAGGATCTAATTAAACCTCCAGTTTCCAAGGCCGCAATTCCTCAAAATGTGGAGGAAAGTTGAGGACATGTTGTGAGTCCGGAAGCTCTGACTTCCACGACGCTAACTTTTCGCAGAGACGACGCGGGGCCCAACTCACGAGAGAAATCCGTAGAGGAATTGTTTAATTTAGAATTGGACAGAGGGAGCAGCAGATTGGTTCAGCATCGGCACTGCCATGCAGAATGGGAGGGGAGTACGCCATTGGAGAGCCGGAGCCACTTTTTTCGTCCATTGCGCTGCGGAACCCCTTCAAAAAAAGACGATCCATGCACTTTCTGCAAGTGTTGTAAACGACAGAATTCGTCGAGCGCTGCGCGGGCTGCCCTGCTCAGCACCTCCGATCTGACTCGCGGAATAAGATGCTCCGCACAAATTCACCACCACCTCCCCCGCGCTTGCTCGCGCGCGGTGTTCACGGTGACAGTGCGGCCTTGCTTGCTGACCCACACAATTAGCCTCCAGATCTTTGCACCAAAGATGGGTCGTGTGTGGGGCTGGGTCCGAGGCTTCCATGCACACTGAGGCGACCTCGATTATAAGTCCGGGGCGCTCTCTCTGATCCAATATCGCAACGATTCGATTCTCTCATTCATTCCTACGTCCAGCTCGAAATCCAGCTCGAAATTCGTTCTCTTTCCGTGTTTGCTCAGTTCGGCCTTCGATTGCTGTTTGCCAATTCGTGGTTCGATCAGCGATGGCGCCTCCCGATGTCGAATTCTCGGCCCCTCTGAGGCTGCCGAGCGTGATCATGAGCGTGAAGAATGTGGACACGGAGAAGATTTTGAGCGAGCAGAATGCGGGAGCCCGAGGCAACGCGCTGGGCGACGCCCTCGCGACGCTGGCGCCGGCGGTGGCCGCCGCAGCTGAGGCGGAGCCGCAAGGAGCTCTGGCGAACGCGGTGGAGGTCTCGAGGATGCTGCGCGACGGGAAGCTGGCCGAAGTGCCGACGGCGTTCAAGTTCCCCGAGCAGATGCGAGCCACCATAGCGCACGACGATTTCTGCGACGATAAGGACATTCCGGTGATCGATCTGACGCCCGTCTGGGCCGAGGACGGGGCGGGCATGGAGAAACTCGTCGACGACATCGCCAGGGCCTGCGAGACCTCGGGATTCTTCCATGTCGTCGGGCACCAGGTTCCGGATCGGTGCGTGAAGCAAATGCAGGCCCACGGCAGGACGCTGTTCGAGCTTCCCTTGGACCGCAAGCTCCAGGGCTCCTTCGCTGCAGGATCCACTGCCCAGCGTCGGGGTTACAGCTGCACTCCGAAGACTGTCACTCCGTCCCCAGCTCTCATCTGGCAAGAGGGTTTCACCGTCCTCGGCGGCAAGACGGGCCAAGTCGATGTCGAATCCTACGCCGAGAAGATCTGGCCCGACGATGTCGAGCAAAGCAAGGATTTCAGGTAATCATTCCAGCGACCTCACGCCTCTCGAGTTTTGTGACACTCCATTGCCGATTATTTAAAATATCATTGCCAGTTCCCGGTCCGCAAATCTGCATGAAAATCATGACTCGCTGCTCAAGACTTGATTTGCACTTCCTCGGGTCCACCACTGGATCTCAGAAAAAAAATAAAATTCGTCGTCAGATATCTATCGAGGTCTTCACATTCTCACTCGGCGAAGATTACAACCCGAGCCAAGCCGAAGGGCGATGTCAAAGGTCTCAAGAGCTACTCAAGTGCACAGATTTCCAATTTTATGCCAGTTCAAGTGCACAACTTTATGGGCATTTGAGTTATGCTCGAGAATTAGAGTCGGTGTTTGACGCAGTGAATTGAGCTGGCTGACTGACTGTGTGAATGAATGTGTGGGCTGCAGCCAAGTATATCAGGAGTACGCGGCACATTCCATGAGGTTGTCGCTCGTGCTGAAGGACTTGCTCATCAAGAGCTTGAAGGTGGATCCGGCACACTTCGAGCAATATTTCGAGTCACCGGTGCAAGTGGTTCACCTCACGTACTATCCGCCCTCCCCGTCGCCACTGGAGGTGATGGGCCTCAACCCACACTACGACATGGGCTTCCTCACTCTCATCGCGCAGGACGATGTTCCAGGTCTGCAGCTGCTCGGAAAGGACGGCAACTGGTTTTCGGTCAGACCGGTTCCCGGCGCTTTCTGCTTTAACGTGGCCGACTCTCTCGAGGTAAGAGAACAGCGTCGATTCCACGACAAGCTCATTCATTCTGTCGCAGTTCTCAATCCTGAAACAAGCAGTGCCAATGTAGCCTCACTCTCGGTGCTGAGAGTCGAGTCCCGTGGACATCGTCCATTTGATGAGAAATGTCTGAACGATGAACGATACTTTTGAATATCTTGGCCTCTGGGCTGCATGAATCGCTTCTCCGTAGACAAACAGGCTCAACAATTGGCTCGTTGGAGATGAACAAAAATGGAGCCACTATCGGGTAGAACACTAATTTCTTATCTATTTAATCTCCAAAAAGAGTATATTCTCGTTTTCACCGACCGATTTAAAGTGCCCATCAGGTTCAGATTCAATATTTAGAACTGGGTTTCTGCGAAGAAAACAATTATATTACGCCATTCCAGTGATCTGAAAGAGAACAACATCCCAGTGCAGGTTACGGTGGAAAGAGAGAGACGGAGGTAGGGAGTGAAGAATATCTGGAGCTCGAGTGTCATCTGACTCGTCTATTCTATCGTCTAATCGTTTGCTGTGACATTGAAGGCTTTGTCGAACGGGAGATTTCGAAGCAATCTGCACAGAGTATTGGTGAACAAGGAGAGGCCACGACTGTCCATCAGTACGTTTCTGGCGCCGGACTTCAACAAAAGCGTCGACCCAGCTCCCGAGCTCGTCGATGACGAGCACCCACGAGTGTACAGACCTTTCACCTTCGGAGAGTATATGTCCACGATACGAGGCGCGCACCTCGACCACATTACCAACTGTGGCCACCTGCTTGACTTAGTCAGAATAGACGCATCGACCAAATAATTCCCCAGATCGATCATCATCCTCATGACTGGAAATTGGATTCATGAGCTACTGCAGTTCCTGTACAATTTTAGTCAGCCTCGTTCATTCTTTAGCCATCCACGTCCCTCACATGACTGAATGTCGCAGTAGGAATAGCGAGATCCACTGTCTGTAGTTAGTCAAATGCCTCTTGAATTCCGGTCTATGTGAATAGCGTCATCCATGAACAACCAGCTCCTGTGCACGACAAGACCAATTACAGAAAGTTGACCCACGAATGTTTCTGATGCGAGGCACAACACCGTGCATCACGGTTTGGATCCTCTGTAAATACCCTTCTAAAAACTCTCTCTTATAACGTGGGCGATCGTCGAGGTCTTCAACATTAGCAGATTCGGATTGTGTCGTGACCAGAACTCCCTTTCGCCCGCATGCAATTGCATGAAGGCAGATAGCAGTCGGTCCTGCAGTCTAATATGCATATACTCAGTTAGATGCAGACCAAGTTTTTCTTGGATTCTGGTGCTTCTTATGTTCATGCGATCGAATCTGAATGAAAGAATATCCAGCTTTTCACTTACATGACACCAATATTTTTGGGCTCTTGTATGCGGTTCCATATCGACAGTGGAAGAATTTGGAGCAAAAGTTGAACTTCTGTTTTTCGGCCTGAGCATTTCCCATTTACTTCCCTGGCCAGCATTTCCAGCATCATGGCTTGTAGTGTTAGAGTGTGTGTGTGTACCAAGCATCCACATCGAAGAAACATCACTTAGGTTCTGCTATAAATCCGTTCCGTGGCCTTTCGATGGACAAATGCTTGCTCTACAATGTATCGAGCCTACTGGTCGTATCAAATCTCCAAAGCATAACATAATTTAAGAGTGTGATTCGTGTCTACAACTCGTCAGCCCAGAATGTTCACTCTATTGCTTGCGTTGCGCACGCTAGCAGTCTGATTGCAAGTTGACCTGCAGTTGGTGATCAGAGACCAATCCCTGGAGCGCTTGCAGTGCAATAATTGAACTTAGACATGGACTCGAAATCAGAGTAGGTACTGTGTTTCAATATCTGCTGTATCACAAAAGAGACAGCTACGATGCTGGATACTGAGGACACGACATTGATGACGATTAATTAGATGCTAGATTCGGCTCGTCATCAATCGAGTCATTTGTTGAGCTCCAGTCAAGTTTGGTAGTTAGAGCTTCCACGGGTTTAGCAACACTCTGAAATTGATGGCGCTTTATGCCGTGTGACTGCTATACAAACAATACGTAAGCAAACCAATGAGCGAGTTCCTCAGCGAGTCCTGCAGAAAGATAACGCTCCCAAGCGTTCCAGCATGTACAATCTTCTACAGTGATTCTTAGTTCCCATTTCGTTGAATTCTACTCGCTGACGAGGAAGATCAGGTCTCACGCCCATGCAGCTTCATCTTGATTCGACAAATCAAGCTCAATCTTAACAGTCTGATGTTTGTCCGGTCAGTATATGAGAGCACATTCCCTTTCTTTTCAAAAGTGCCCTTGGCTCCTCTACTCAACAGTCAGTGCAGTGATCTGATCCCAGCTGCCGCCAATCAACAATGTCATCATCCAACAAACCTTTTAGCAAATCTTTTATGGAAATCTCAAGATCATCTTGCTAACCTGCCACCGGTATTCGAGAGATGAGGAGCTGCTCTGGGAAATCTTACATCCACACCACAATTGCAATTACTTCAACTCCATGTCATATCCTTCTGTAAAATCTCGGTGTTGTAGTGGCGACTTCTCGTTGTATCTTTCTTTCCTTGGTTAAGGGCATGAGAAGAAGAATGAAGGAGAGAAGAGGAAGTACTATTAAGAAAAATTGGAGATTGCTGTACTCCTAATTTGCCCGATCCTCCTCCTCTCTCATGAGGCATTCGCATCACATTCATCCACAATATTCTCGCTGTGTTGCACAATACAATCTGTACTTGAAAATGTTTAGAATGAGAGCAAGTTTTGAAACAACGAATTTAGTAATCCAGAATTTGTCTTGTTTGAAACATATATTCACACAATGTTGACAAAATTAACTTTCACCAAACCAAGTTATATTCATGAATTTATAATTACAGGGTAGACAAAAATGTCTTATTGAACACATATGGCGGTATCATTGTTATTGAATGATGTTTCTGATATACTCTTCTTTCCATCAACTTTTCTCTCTTGATTATCCTGAGGATAATCAAGACAAGTTACAACTTTATCACGTGACATTAATCTTAAAATTTATTTTTTCAACTCCACTCTTGTTTAGAATAATCAAGAAAATATTACGTACTTTTAATAATCAAATATTATAATGAAGGAGTTTTTAATATTTGCGCATATTGAAAAGATGGTTTTACTCAATAAATCTTGATTAAACTATGAGCAAAGATTCATATCATTCAAACTTTATCCATACTCACACAGAGTACCAAATGTTAAGAAATTTTTTAATCTAAATGAATCTACTTTTAATGTCAACTTCTAACTTTAAGGATTTTGACAGTACCCGGCCTGCTTGGAAATGGACTTTCATAACTTAGTAAAAGCACCTGTTCGGCAGTTGATCGTTAGAATGATTTCAATATAAATTTAGAAGATAAATTTTTTTTAACTTTTTTTTTTCATTAGGTTTTTCTAAAGAAGTCTTTGTGTAAGCTGGAGGAATTCTTACATCTTCAAGACGTAACGCTCTTATAGCTTTAAACCCAAATACATTACCTACAATTGAAGTAAACATTTAGTTTAATTGATTAAATCTTTCGTACATTCAAAGCACACATATTATGACTGTGTTGCAATATATATATTTGTTAATCAGTAAATGAGAGTCCTATTATTTGTTTAAAACATTTTTCCAATGTTCATATTTGAAATTAAGCACAATTAATTATTATTATTTTAAAAGTAAATTTCTTTTATTTGAAAAAATATTGAATAAAATTTTCAAATAAATTTGGTTATATTTTGTAAATTCTATTTTAGCTAAAAATTGAATTTTACTATCCTTGATTTTTTTATATTTAAAATATATTCATTTTACTTGTAATAATTTTTTAAGCTTATCAATATTTTCAAATTATTTTAATAAAATGGATTTTTGGAACACAACACTTCACCTGGAAAAAAATTTTAAATGATTTTTTTAAAAAAAATTCATAATTTTTTGCATTTATTTTAAAAGACAAAATACGCTTATTTGATTGATGGGTTTTTTCCGAAAAAAAACTACGTATATTTCATCATATGAAGAAAAATATGTGATTTTAATATTGTTTAGAAGATCAAGCATACTATGAGTCAGAAAAGTTTCAAAAAATATTTAAGTACATTTTGTATTAAAAAAAATTTTAAAAAGATTAAAAAAAATTCGAAATATAATTTCCTTTAAAATTGAATAAATTATATTGAATGAAAACCTAGTCCATTAATTTGTCTCAAGAATAATTTCATAAGCAAAATTTGAATGATATTTCAAATTAGCTCTATATGGATTTTGATATGCATACACATCTAGGATCAAAGACACATAGTTTGTTGATCCTCTAGTCTGCAGTTTCTATTTTCGGGTGAAAACTATATTGAAAAGTCGTTTATATACCAAATCTTGAGCTTTGAACATTTAACTTCCACATATCATTTACTGAATCTTGATTTTATTGGAAAGACCATTGAGCTCAACCCACTTGATCAAAATCCAGCAATGCTTACGCTCTTGAACATCTGAACTTTAAATAACTAACTATAGCAGAAATGCAGAAAGATAAAATTGATCATCAGGAATTTTGAATCAAATCTATTTTTTCATCTTGAACACAAACTTCACAATATCAAGGCCTTCATCATCTTGCAAATACTTAATTGAAACTACCATTGATCAACATTTTCAAATATCTTTTCTACTTACAAAAATTTTACTTAAACATTGCGATCATCAATATCACATAAAAGATCAGATGACAATCAAGCAAATCCCACTTTCTACCTCAAAGACATGAGCATACTCGGCTCTCATTTTGCAATGGCTATAGAACTGAAATTGTCTCCAACATAGTCCGACTGTCCAAGACTTAACTTCAATAACTGAACCCTTAATAACCCTTATTCGAACTTGCTACACTTGAGCTCTAGGTATCTTAATATTTATTACAAAATCAGATCTAAGTTGTATATGATTCACACTATGTAAGTACTACATAAATATTACTTGTATACACTATCAAAATTTCTCTGGTCTTCCAATTATTCAAATGATATAAACATTTATAAAAAGCCATCGATACTAGAACTCTTGAAATGATAACTATATTTTTGAAAATTTCTAATTTCGTTTATAAAAATTATAGATTTTGATATATTGCAAGAATTCGGTTTCCGGTGTAATGCTGCTTTGGAAGAACAACCACATCATTATATAATATTTTCAACTTTCAGTCATAGATTTTTACCCTCAACTTATTCGTGTATTATCTCTTCATAACATTGTTAATTTTATTATGTTTTGAATCCTCTATCGATGGCTAGTTATTCAACTTCCATTTTATCACATCAAACATTACATTTTGTACACTTGAGCAGAAGTTAAAATGAACTCAAAAAAAATCCACAGGTATAAATCTAGTAGAAAGCTCTAAATCTATACTCAGATCTTCAAATTGGCCTCAGATCTTCAAATTTGATGTTGAGCAATCTCTTCCGCCACAAACTTCATCTCACCTCATGGGTAGAATAGCTTTGTAAACTTTGATTACTTCTCTACATCATGCTTCTCACTCCAAACTCTCCACCAACTTAGTTCATTGTTTATTTATTTGAGTCTTGTTTTTGCATGCTATGGCAATTCGATTCATCGTTTGAATCACTTGAATCGGATCTATAGAACTGCACTTTAAGGCCCGACGCTTTGATATAGTTTGATATATATTTGCCAAATCCTTCTCAACTAGCACACCTACAATCTCCGACTTTTTGCATCACTTTTAACACTATGAAAATGGTCATATTTCCCCGAACTTATCTAAGTCACCAACTCCTTTGGTAGAAGACCCCTTGATCTTAAAACTTTCTTCAACTTCTTCTTCATCCCAAATAGCCCCCACACCATGATTTCAATTACTCTTTTCCATATTGCGTACCTAATAATTTCTTCCATATACTACATAGTTAATCTCTACCAATAATGTATTTAGCTTGTTAGAAGACATCTTGTCCATGTGTACTTTCGCTACATTCACCCTAAAGTATAGTCCTACACTGAGATCCAGCTTTCTCTACAGTTTGCTACATCAGCATTTGAACCCCTCAATACGTTCTTACAAAAGAAGTATTCAAGGTAAAAACATACTTCTGTTGTTCCTTGACGATCAAGCATCCCATTTTAAAATGCATATAAACAGTAATGAGGACAAATAGACTTCTCACTTATCCTTTTCTCATCACTTCATCCTCATTGACTCGCATTCCAAGGAAATATCTCTTTCTACTTCATATATAAAAGTCAGAAAACATTTTCATTGCAACGTTATGGAATGGAAAATATTAAAATTATTAGCGGAAACGATCTTAATATTGATTAAAAAAATCAAAATATTTTTTAAATAACTATATTTATTGGATCAATTTCTAAATTATAAAAATTCATGTTCAAAATTATAGCTAAATTATCGATTTCTATAATTTTTTTCAATTCAAAAAAATCGATAATATATTTTTAAAGTAGAATGTAAATACAACAGTTTTAAATGCAACTCTCCACTGCTTTATCAGTTATCATATTTTTTCAAAATAATAAATGATTTAAAATAATTTTGTAGCATCAATCTACAGATATAGTCACAGCGCAATAAAATAATATTTAGATTGATAAAAAAAATTAAATGAGTTTCTCTCTTTTACATGATCCAGCAAAGCGGACATTTCCAACCACCAAAACAAAATTCGCCACACAATTGTCAGAAAGTGTACCTGATTAACAGGCTGTATTGTGAAAGAAGTACTAACTATACGTAATAACTACTAGAGTAGAGGTAATACGAAGCTCCCATATGGATACTTTCAACGACTTCAATCATGGTTTCCACTCAGATATGTCGAAAGCTTGATCCAGGATTGATTTACGAGTGCGGGTGGCGTCACAGTTGCTTACAGATACAAACAAACTTTAAAGTGCTGCTGTACTTGATTCTTCCATGTTGGTCCGTACGTGTGGACTTATTATCATCCACAACGGTTGCGTGCCGATAAGCGTACCGTCAATAGAAGAGCACCAGGACGGTTTTGCTCTAAAAATCATAATAACGGCTGTTAATCTTATCTGCTCAGATGTTGCAAACCTATCCAGTTTCTGTTGCAAGGATCGGAATGCACTTACGCACGAACCATCTTTGCTGGATTGAGGATTTGCTTTTAGACCGGTACAAAATGGCCGAGTGGATAAAAAAAATGATGGGATGACCTCATTAAGCCTAATGGTTAACTTGTCGCTTGCTAGACCCCAATGAATAGTTTCTACTATAGCAACTAAGATATCGGCATATATATAACACGAGGTAACGTACCCTCTAGAGTAATCAAGTACTTATTTTCGTTTATGATTAAATAATAAACTGGAAGCACATTGTTCACATGTTTTGGGTAACTACTCGCTTGCTAGACCATACCACTATAGTTATGAAAGTTGGTTCTATATCAACTAAAATAGCCCCCCTGCATAATGGTGTTATGATTATATTACTTACAGTCCTATCTGTGTCACTAACTAATATTTCCTAGAATAATCTAATACTACTTTTTGACTACAGTTGAACAATAAACTAAAAGGTTTTTATATTTCACATGTTTCGGGTAACTGGTCGCTTGCTAAAACATAATAACAGAGCCATGAAAAGTCGATGCTGTAGCAACTAATGTATCCGTGTAAAATATGCTATATACGTCATGGCATTAAATTCAAAACTAATATACTCTCTAAAGCAAGTGCATGGTACTTTTCGTCTACACTTAACCAATGAAAAATATTAAAACTGTGGAACATGTTTTAGGCCACACAATAGACTAAAGATTTTCCATAAACAATATTATGACTCAGCATGACTGTCAACCCCAAGGCTTCCCGAGGCTCCGACCATCGACCTGCTCCCACACATGCGTTCATTTCCCACCGCGTGTGGAGGTCACACTCCCGCAACAAAAGGCATGGGAAAAAGTGAACGATGGTTTTGTCAATGCGATTCTTGTGCCACACGCTAGAGAATATGTGGTTCTGAATCTGCGCTCGTTCACGAGGATTTTGCTATACGTCGTCGCCGTCGTCTGCGTCTGCTTTCATACAGTTGTCAGAACGACAAAGACTCGATACACAGACAACATAGAGTACAAATTGATCGTAAGAGAATGTGCTCGTTCGCGTCCGGATGTACGGTATGCTGAATAATATAAAAGACGGACGTCAAAACATTCACAAATGGTCACCAACACATCAGAGAGTTGAGACGTACAAAAAGCTAAAAGGGCACGAAAACTTGACGAGCTCCGAAGGTCACGTAAATCGTTTGGAATGCTTCCTCAGAGACTGATCCAAAGCTGCTGCCCTTTATGATATTTTAGACTTAAGAATCCCCATAACAATTTAGGGATCCTCTCTGTACATGTGTTTCAATTTACATGTCTTGAAGTTTCAAGATTGACGTGACGGCCTTCCTTTGCATCCGTCACTGTCATTCGATCGTGGAACTGTACGTGGATTTCGAGTGCCGTGCAGGGAGGAGCACGAGAGGTCTCGATGACTTCCGACCATACCACACCGCCTTGGAAGTATTTCAGAACATTGGCCTGGTCTCGCTGTGCTACGCTACGTGGGTTTTTCACAATCTCCCTGACGGCCTCAGTAAGATCACGGACCCCAGCTTCTTCTATTTGGAACCCATTGGCATGGAAAACTTCGAGTGCAATCAGTATCGCAGTTGGAATGGGAATAGCACCCTCCTCCTCTTGGACCCTGGAAATTTGTAGCTTGCCCAGACGACAGACGAAATCAGAAGTCGTATTCTCTAGCTTTCCGGACCAAGACTACAACGAACCAGGTAATCGGTTGGTAATACGAGAGCGTGTGGTTGCCGATTCGATCCATCAGAACTTGCTCGTATCTTTCCAAGTAGAGGCTCGTCACTTCTCTGCCGAAGTGAGCTCTTAACAAGGCGCTGGAAACTCCACGACCCACAAGCGGCATACTTTTGGACACCGGCACGGCTTCATCCGAGGGCGTCACGTCATGTCCTCCTGCGGGCAAGTGCACCTGGTGCTGCATCTGCTTCTCGACGTGGAACTCCGAGCTGAAGTTACTCAGCACCTCCTTCACCTCCTGCACCGTGCGCCAGTAGTGCAAAGGGTTGAAAGCATCCCTCGTGCTCGCAGATATTATCCCCTGCAATGGTCCAACCGCACAAGGTCAGCTCTCTTCTCTCAACGAGGCTCCGAGTGAGCCCTCGAGCATTTCGATCGACATCAGCCCAGGCTGTCACAAATTAGAATCAGCTACATCGCATCGAGCAACAGCTCGGTAGCGGGCGGTACCTTATCCACGAAGTCGTCCCATATGCAGTCGCCGATCACCTCGTGAGCCGTGGAGTAGGGAGAAGAAATGCCTGAATCTCGGCAGCGGAAATTTAAGCACAGAACTCCTTCATCAGACATCTCCTCCGCCCTGGCGGCCAGGAAATTCAGCAAGTCCTCCTTGGCCTGAGCCGAGTACGCCTCCATGGTGGCGGCGCTGGACCGGTAGAGGCCAGTTTGCCCTCCATTATAAGCTGGCGAGCTTCTGTCCGATACGGACTCGGGAATCTGTTGGGCAGGAGAGGTTAGTGAAGCGCCATGCATCGACATAAGCACAGCCGCGGTGCCCCTAAACAGGCCTAGTCCAAACAGGGCACCTCCTTACGTGATCTATTCGAAGGGCCCCTCGGCTACCGACGGCAGAAAGGCAGAAAGGCAGAAAATCAGATTCCACGGAGTAAGAATACCCTCCAGTGTAAAGAACAATCGTGGGGGTAGCTGTGAGAGAAAAGAAAACTCGTTCTTCGGAATTTACATCATTGATGGACTGACAGGCAGTCCTGCCTGGACTTCGAGGGAAAGGACGAGGTTCGTACCCGCGAGAGGCAGTTTATAGCGAAGGTGGCGAAGGCGAAGTGCAGCGTGGACTGGGGGAACAGCCTGCCGTATAACGGCCCAGGGACTGCGGCTGCGAAGAAGTCGACGGCCTCCGTGTCCTCGTTGGACAGAATGGCCTCGTTCAGGAGCTTGATTCTGGAGTTGAAGTCGGTGGAAGGCATGTCCTGGAAGAACACTTGGTACTCAGGCTCCGGGCCGATCTCCAGGTCGTATCTCGACTTGAGCCGTCGGAGAACAGCTCCGACATTGTCTATGCTACTCTGACCGGACGAGGAGCCGAATTCCGCCACGGTCATGGGCCCCAGCTGAGGATTCGGGAGCCTCATTGCGTCCACCGCCTCGAGGAAAATGGGGAACAGAGAGTTCGAAATCATCTGCATTTGGGAGTTGCTGCGCACGTAGCTGTCTTTCCTGTCTCCCTTCCCCATAAACATGTCTTGGCCCGTAGATCTCTTACGCACGGCCCCATTGCTGAGGCACAATTCCCCTATAGCCATTCTGCCCAAATTGATGCAGGAATCACTCGCACCTCCTCCTCCTCCTCACGTGACTCCCCTCCGCCCCTCCCTCCCTCCCTTTGCTTCCTTCCTTCCTTTCCTTCTTCCTTCGTCCTCAAATTGCGATCTCGGGCTGGACCAGGCGCCGCTGCAGAGGATCGTCGAGCAGGAAGAATTTGGCTCCGATCTGCGCTAAGTCGTCCTCAGGCACGGCGGCAACGAACAGCGCCTTCCCCGCAGCAGCGGATGATGGAGTGCCATTAAATACGAGGAGCTGCGACTCCATCCGCAGTCCCATCAGGACATCGATTCCGCGACCTACCCAGTTGCGCCCGACGGGACACAGGCCGGGCTCGGGTTGGCTCGGCTCGTGGATGAATGTCGAAAAGCGGAGGATGAATCATTGACAGATTAACAGCCCAAAGCGTAACAAGTCCAGCCTCTCCTGTCTGTCTGTCGGGCTCGCCCGCTCGCTCGGCCTCGGGCCCCTCTTACTCCCTCCCCTTCCTCTCTCCCTCTCTCCCTCCCTCCCTCCCTCCTGCGCACTATCGGCCAGTCAGTATGCAAGCGGACAACGAAGACTGACAGAAGGATTCTCGAATCTTTCCTCCATAGCCTGAAGGCCGGCCCGAATAGACAGTCGGGCAGTCGAGGCCACTAATGGGCTTCAGGTTTAGGTGTAACGCCTACGAGTCTGCGCAGAATTACGAGACCCAACACCTGCTCATGATTGGCAAATTTCGTCTCCCCGCCCACATGCCGGCCCCCGCCCCATTGGGCCCGTCTCTGCCTTTCTCGCCGGCGCCATGTCTACCATAAACACGGTGCGTGCCCGGGCTTCCGACTGCGTCCATCGCCGGTCGCCATAGGCCCTGCCTGCGCGATGATCTCACCGCCTCGTGGTTGCTCCTCCTGCTCCAATCAGAACCCCGTTGCTCCCCGCTCTGGTCATTACGCGCAGAGCTCACGCGAACCCGGTTTCCTCTCCTCTCCTCTCCTCTCCTGCCCTACCGCCTACGCTCCCGACGCAGTTCGCCTCTTCCGGCCCTCTTACCGCGGTCATCTTCTCCTCAGATCGCGGTTTCTTGTTTACTGTGCCGTGTTTGAAACCCGGTGTTACGTCGCGCGCAGTCGGGCTGCACGTGGTGATCATCGCCCTCGTCGGAACTGTAGTTTTCATTCCGAGTGGACTGCCGCATTCGGTAGATCATTTGGTACACTTCACATTAGTACAGTAGTAGATTACATGGTTTGTAGAGCTGTCGTTGTGGGGAGGCAGTCCTGTAGGTTACTATGCCTGGTTGCAGTTGAGCTGTAGTAGCGAGCGCTCTGAATGTGGAAGATTCCCTCCATCCTCGATCGGGATGCGCAGACATGCGAGCAATGAGGGAGGCGGATGGGACGGGGATGGATGTAATGGACGTCTGTGGGTGGGTGGATGGACGGAGGAAGGAACGGAGCCCGGGGACTCGGCCAGACGTTGTGGTTGTGGGTGTGGCGGGTGAGTTGAGAGTACGGGAGGTCGCAGGGCCCGGTCGAACGTTGCGCGCGCGCTCTCGATGCATCTCTGGCCCTTGGAGTCGCTCAGAGGTTGACCGACCGAGCGGGCGGGCGCAGATCGAATCGTTCGACGAGCGGCAGGCAGACAACTTGATGCTAGACGGGCTCTCGTCTCTCCCGCTCCGGCTCGCTCTCTCTCCCGTTCTTTTGTGAGGGCTCGATTGTGGCAGTCTCAGACATCTCCCTTTTGCCGTCGAGCCGCTGTCAGGACGAGGGACAGCGAGGGATGGAGGTGCTGCTCAGTCATGATCCGTCCTCAGGATCGCAACACAGTTGGGGGTATGGGCGGCTCGACAACCCAGGTACGTCCGCTGGCAGAGGGCGAGAATCTCTTGAGCTCCCTCTGCGGCACTAATTATGATGTGAGTCAGGGGTTTCTGTAATGAATGCAAATACAATGTGGGCCTAGACGACAAGCATCAGGAGGGAGGCCCAGGGCCTAATGGTGTCCCAAAAGGGCCCGGCCACGACATTGGCAGCACTGACCTTGTGCTTTGGTAACTCACAAGCAGCCTCGAGGACGAAGGCCAAATTCAGCCCACCCACCTACCTGCCCCCCCTCCCCTCCCTACACAAGCCACCGCCGAAGTCAGTCTGGCGATGGTGGTAGTCCCTCTCTAATCCCTCGGGGCATTCTGGGCTTTCTGAGAATTCGAGCATGGAAGCGAAGAAACTCGCCTCCAGACTTGCGGTTGTCTGAATTTCACTGACAAGGAAGGCGGTCAAATTCGCAGCTGTTTTGGGGAGGGATGGTGGCGGGGGTGGAGGGGGGAGAGGTTTAGGGAGCACGAGGAGGAGGAGGGGAGGAGGGGAGGAGTTTTCTTACCGAGGAGACATGAAATGTGAAATGTCTCGACACCGTTGGCTCCTTATCTGCATCAGCTGTGTCGAGAATCTTTTGACTCACGCGAGCGCTACAGTCGGATTCATTGAGGTCAAAAAGGAATGTCGAGCCCAGGCCAGGATTATGATGCATATGGGCTGCGAATCTTCTGAGGCACGCACGCTACTTTCCAACCGCGAAGTGTTCGGCGGGAGAAGACGCTCTAGTCCCGGCGCGAGCAGTTCTGGTTCGCAATGTCTTTATCCATGTCTACTGCGGTGGGACATGCACATCGGTTTGGAAGAAGCGTCCTCGAGCCCTGGCCAGCTACTCGATCTGTTGCTAGGGTTTTGTCCGGGCGAGCCACACAGCTGCGGTAGCAGACGAGATTTACCGCCATGTATGGACAGATGCATCCGTCGTCACTCCGGCACTCTTGTACAGTATTCATCGTATTTATTCCTACTACAATGCTCGCGCGTCTATCCTCTTCCTCACCTGCTCTGAGAGCTTCGTTCGCGGCTAGAAAACAAATTAGAGCTCGGGAGAGCAAGCTCTCGCACGGGCCATGGACGGACTGACACGGCCGGGAAACTCTCACTTTGTTGCTCGGGAGTCTTGAATCGGATTCAAGGCTGCTTCTGCTGCTGCTTCGATACATAATGCCGGTCGGCAGATGTGTCGATTCCTTAAATGGATCCAGCCTCTGCAGACAGAGTACATCGACTGACAGCTCAAACTGACGGTTTCGAGGGAGGGAGCTACACACTTCTAAAGCGCCCTCCCTCCCTGCCTGCCTTGAAGCTGTTCGTTTGAACGCTTCAAGGTGCGAGGACCTCGTGGGATCGCAGCTTTTCTGAATCGCAGTCGTTCAATGACCAGTATCATCGGGGCCAACGACCTCGCCCATGTGGTTTTTCGAGGCAGGCCAATCTCGTTGCAGGAACTAGAGGAAATCACGTGAAGAAGCCGTCGACGAGATCAACAGTCTTGCCCTCCGTTGACGCGCAACAATGGTTGTATAATGCAGGCCCTTGTATGCTATGCGAGACCCAGGGGCCTGACGAATGCCCATCTCGGAATTTCTGATCAACAGCGGGACAAACTGTTTGCGCATCCGGATGAAAAGCTCCGTTGCCGATTCTGTTGCACCGCGGAAATAAAATACTCCATGAGCAGGAGACGAAGGCGGGGCTGGGATCTTCGGATCTGCGGATCTGCGAGAAGTCTTCGAGTATCTGCAGAGTGGAGGAGAGGCTCAATGGGACAGCAGGCCACAGGAGACGAAAAGCAGTCTTATCGCTCCACAAATTATATATTTATTTGCTGAGCTTCCTTGGGAAGTGAGCTTAGAACTGGCTCAGAAGAAACTAGAATTTCTGATCTCCACTATCCGACCGCAGTGAAAAGGGGAGCCTCAGCACGACTAGAACGAAACTAAAGTTAGATTTACCAGAGATCAGATCAGAAAGTAGTGCGGCAGCACGAACGTGAACAAGCAACATTTAATGGTCCGCTTGCGATTGAAAATGAAAAGTTGAGCTGCCGCACTGCCGCAGGAAACCCAGAATAAAGAAATCGTCTGCGAATGAATCGAAGCCTGTGACGCGGGGTGCCCAGTGGCATTAAACTATTAACCCATGAAGCGGAACAGTGTGACTTATGGAGAGCACGAAGTGCACAGGAATCGAAGGACCCCACAACTTTCCCGTCCCCAGAAGGATACATGACATATCCAGACAAGTTGCGGGTTCCTCGGGTCTCTGCCCCCCTCTCCTCCTTTCGGTTTTCATTGCTCATCTCCAGAATCTCCCCATTGACAGAAGGGGCCTATAATTATATTATTAAATGTCACCCGCTTGTCCACACACCCACATGACATTTCTCTGTGAGTTTCGACTCGGTTCAGACCGAGAAATTCCTCTTTATTTAGCATGTCGAAACTCCTATCTCCGCTTGCCACCCAGAGCAGCAGCTGCAGGGGAGACATCCTCGCCCTCTCTGAAACACTTGCGTGTGGGCAAATGTTTCATGGACACGACACGTGACGCTCACCTCCGTTCCCAATTGCACACTGGAAATCGGCCCCGTCCTCGAGAGCTACCATCCGACGAACACTACGCATCCTGGGAAACAACGGGGAGTGGATGGAATTCCAAATCATTCAGCTACTCCGAGGCAGCCACCTGCAATTCTCTCCCTTTCAACGTGGGTCTTCATTGGAGTGATTCATTTGCATTTGGCAGCTATCGGACTCGACATGTTGGAGCAGGGGGGCAGCATTCACCGCCTCAGATTGCGATCCGAGGCGATGTGAATGCGAGCGATACGATACCGAAAGGTACGAAGTCGCAGTACGTGAAGTTAGTTAGTGATAAGCACCGACACTCAAACCGAGCGAGATCCGACCCAAATACAGAAATAAAACACAATCGGGCGAGGAGGAAGGAGGCCATACAAGTGGCTGGGGTTGGCCTAATCGTGCACTGACATGTCCAAATTGCGCATGAACGAACTCAGCGATCGAAGGAACGGGCACGTACGCTGGGTCTGTCTGTACTGGGTCGTCATTTCACTTCTTCGCTACTGCCATGCCGAAGAGAGAGGAGAGGGGAGGAAAAGACACAGCCATGCTCAAGTTGCACTTGGCTTTTGCATAATGGTCCTTGCGAAACAATGAAACCGGCCAGGCAGGCATCGTTCACGTGAGCCCAGTGTGAGGTCAGTGCGTCGTCCTAGGCTCGCTAGCCTCGCTTTTGGGCGCTTTCCATCCTCGCGAACACCAAATCCAATCCGTCTGCTCCTGCGACGGCCTGACTTTTCTGGAAAGCGGAAGTGGAGCCGAGGAAAGCAGAGGCGAGGCGGGCATCCTTCTGATCTGTGTCTCTGAACTGCTATCATTACAGACAAGTTGAACTAATCCTTCGTACCCCACCAAATCATCATCACTCTGTATCATTCACACACGTTCGATTTGGCTCAGCCCTGCGCCCCATGATTTTCGACACCCCCTTCCTTCGTCCATCTCATCTGCTCATTTCATTCTTCATGAGCATGAAAACATGAAAGCTCTTCATCTCATCCGTTCATCTCCGTCACTTTGAGAAAGCTCTTCGTGAGCTTTCATATGTTTAAAAACAAATATTTTTCTCCGATTTTTATTTTGCTGAGATGAACTGAATTTGCAAAGTTTTTGGGAATACCCGTCATGAAACCTGGGACTAGTACTCATTATTTATATTGGGTCCTACTACGACAAAAATATCCGAACTACATAACTTCAGCAATCATGTCGAAATCAGTGTCCATGAGCCTAACATAAAATAAATAAAAATATGACATCTACGTAGACTTCTATTATTGGATAACTTGGTTGCTCAAGCGCCGTGCGCGGACCATACTCTTGGATGATATTTATTTATTCTTAGTTTATTTTCACTATTGTATTGGTTGAAAAAGAATGGTCGGTTAGTCCAACATCAGTTCATGAACTTTATACTAGATGTTCGTTTTGATTTATGTACAAATATAACCAAAACATGTAACTACAAAGACAATATATGTATGTCTGAGATGAGATCTTGTGACCCTAGAGAAGGTTTGGTTGGTGGGAGAGTCTAGATGCAGATACTGTTTAAAGTAAGAGGGTGGACCTTCGAAGTCAAACATTTTCTTGATTTTTTTGTCTTTACTATCAATATCCTACCACATATTTAAATTCCCATCGATACTTTTTTTTGTTGGTACGAAAATCGCGTCCTTAAAAGATCTTTTGGATAATGTTCATGATTCCAGATCGAAGCATTTCATGATTTTTATTTAAATTTAATTTATTAAATTTTAAAATGAAAATTTTATCGTTACGTTAACAACTTATGACTTGTACACATTAAAGAGTTATTGTAAGAGAAATTAGACAACGTGAACGCTTGCAATCAAATCCGGGGGTTTGGAATAAAATTCATTCAAATTTATGATTTTTATATCTTTTATTTTGAAGAAACTTGTTCAGAAATACAGTTTATATTTTATGCTCATTTACATGGTCGTTTTTTGTAATATATCTTAAATAATAATAAATAATTATATATCCTAAAGAAATAATAATTATACACTTCAAATATCTCATATATTCACATATCATAACAAACTGATGAGACATAGATGAATTTTAGGTTTAAAAAAGTAAATACTTTCTATAAAAGATGAAAAACTCATATTTCTCTAATTTTTTTCACATGCTATATGATGATCATGAATTTTTTTACAATTCAAATCTGATCCTATTTATTGCATCATCTTATTAAATTTTTTCTGTATCTAGTATAAGTGACTTATTTACGGATATTTTCATAAGATTTATTAGTATCTCCTATCAAATAAATAACATCAAGAGTCTACTTAATCTTATTTTTATTAAACTATTTGATTTTTAAGATCATTATATCAGGAAACAGATTTCAATATGCACTCAAATGTATACTGTCTGAGAACTAAATTTATTCTTAAATTAGAACTTATATTGTGATAAATTATTTTAATAAAATAATCTCAGATTTTCAAACTCTAAAATAAATTACTAATTAAAATAAAATTATAAAATAATTTAATTTTATAGGAATTCGTTCGTTTTTTCCCAATTAAATTGTACCATAAATGTACCTTATTTTATTAGAAAGAATTTATGCTAATATGTGAGTGGGAAGTTTGCTTGTAACATGCAAGACAAATAAAGCAGTGATGATTGCAATAATTTTCATTTTATCAGAGGGTATAGGGTCTTAAAAAAGTATGAGAGGACTAAATTTGCATATTCAAAGCGCTTCAACAAATCTCATTTTTTCACGGTCTGTAGACTTTGAACATAAATTATTTCAACGATATATTGAAATAAGAAGTTAGCAACTTAAAATTATATAATGACTGGTAGGATTACATATAAGAGTAGACTGTGTACTTTGCGCAAGATGGCTGCGATCTGTAGAATGAGAACTTCAATAGTGCTGGATTTTATTTCTGAGCATCTTCAGAGCAATAAGAATGGCAATCAGTATGTCATGACAAATTCTATCAACTGTAGATCACTTAATTCTATATGGATACGCATGAGCAATATTTATAGCACCTCTTGCAGATAGAAGTTATCAATCTACTCTTATGGACATTCTAATATGTAGTTCTAGAGTCATATCCAGGCGTGGATATAATAATCTCCCGCCTAAATTACCTAAATACGTATACTTTAGTCTACTCGAAAAATTTACTTTAGTCTATTCAAAAATATTAATTTAGGCGAATTTAGTCTCCTTACAAAGTTCATTTAGGCTAATTTAGTACACTAAAAAGGTAATTTAGATCAATTTAATTTCTAAAAATTTAATTTAGGCTAATTTAGTTTATTAAAATTTTTTTTCAAAGTAAAATTTTTCAAATTTTTTTTCTAAAAAAATTACATTACTGTATAATTTTCATTTTTAAAAAATCCATCAATTCTACGTACGTGTCCATTCTTTATTGCTTATAACATGAACACGCCAAATCGTAACTCCCTTAATTTAGTCGCCTAATCACCGTCAAGTGTAGGTAATTTAGGCGACCGTATATATGGTCGCCTAATACAACCATGCCTGGTCATATCCCAATCTGTACCTACACCCATCGTGTACTACTACTTCTTCAGGAATAATCACACCATGGTATGACGTCTCCTACATACAGATTTACAGGTTCATTTGGATTTCTCTCACATCCTTGGCAATCTACCTTGATGGGCATGCATGGCCTCTGACATTCCCACCTCATGTACATCTCCTTCCACATTTTTCCAAGTTGCGAAGAATTCTCATCACCATGGTCGGTCGCAACAAATACTTGGTCAGATCGCAATCAAAGGTATAGTGAGTACTTGCTTGCCAAATCTTCTACTTCATGCAACTGCAGCTTCACAACAAGCGATTTTGGAGTCGCTTGTCCTTTAATTCCAAAGCATCATTCCATCATCACTGCGTAGATCTTAAAAGTACAGTATACGAGGAAGAGAATCTTCCTTGACCTTCTTCTCTATCTTCACTTCTCTTTCTTCTGACTCGGTTGACTACCAACTTGTTCTACTCAGGTCCTACTTCCTAGAGCAGATTTGTTTCTCACCTCAATGATATCTATACATCTGTTTTTCTGAAGGATCTTATCCATGGAAATATTTTGGATCTATTTATTGAGCTCCATCAATGTTCCTTAGATCTTGAAAGTTTTTGAGTAAGAGAATCTGGCTTCCTCCTCCTCCTCTAACTCTATCTCATCTTCTGCGATTTTAGAGGCTCCACTGACTTAGTCAACTACCATATCCGTTCGTTCTGATCTTGTTTCATCAAGTGAATGAGATCTAAATAATCTTCTCCATGGTTATATATCGGATCTATTCGTTGAGCTCTTGACGACTAGCATTCTCTAATTTCTAGGCCAACAATAAAAATCGAGAAACATTATTCTTCTCCATGAACATTAAAAGCTTTTAACTCAGGTTGCAATAGCTTTTCTACATGAGCGTGTTCAAGAAGCAATATTTTTCATCTTCCTAGTTTTTTTCAAGGATGCTTAACATCTTCTACACATATGTTTTGATCTCTCTTACCAAAAAATGCTATTGAATACTCTCAGCTCTCTCCGAATACGGTCTCCTCGATCTCTTGTTCAAAGAACTTGTCATACCTTATGTAGTCTTTGTCCACTATTACTATACCTTGTTCTCTTGATTGATTGCCGAAGTCGTCGGATGTAAAGTATGGTCAAGTGACTCATCATTCAAAACGTCAACAAACGTAATAATTTCATCAGTATCAATCCTGCAACCAAATTAGTCGAGGTATAAAATATGATCTTTGGGATGTAGATTGCATTTTTTTGGGGTGCGATATTTGCAGCTATATCAATGTGTTATACGGAGGGTTCACAGACTTCTACCAAAATTTCTGCTTTGGAGTGATGGCTGGAACCATATGTTTTTCTTTGTTTATGAGAAGTCTGTAAATCAATGGGTTTTTTTTATTGATTGAAAGTGATTAATTTTTTTGAAATTCTTCACATTTTTTTTTTGTCGTCAAATCACTGCCTTACTTATCTTTAATTAAAGCTAAATGTTTAAAAACATGCTCGCTCATGTTGACATAGGGTAGTGGGTCAGTGTAAGGGCTTAATGATGATGATGTAAAATTTTAGCATTCCACCAAATTGTGTGAGAATATAAAGTAGTTAACTAAGTTTAACACTTCTTTGTGTATAGGTAGTAGAGTCACACATGTACAGTACGTGACAGTTAGATCATACGAGAGACTTAATTTCCTGACAAAGGCTTTTAAAAAAGCATATGCGCTATGTCAAAAACTTGCGTAGCATGAGAGGAGCCGGCCCAATGAAGGAAAAAGAAACAATAGAATTACCAGGACTGAGTAATGAAGATTTTCCATGCTAGGACTTTGCCAATGTGAAGAGTTTAACAATTAAATTTTATGAAAAAAGTGAAAAGATTGAAGAAATTTGGAAAAGGCATCTGTCTTGTTTTGACTTTCTTTGTCGAGGGATGCGTGAGGAAGAGCATTCAGAAAAATCAACAAGTCAAGTTCGGATTGGAGCCCCACCCTGAAAAAGACACGTGGAGATATAGGCAACTTTGAACTTTGATCAGGCCAAGTGATTTAGTTCAAGAGAAGGGAGATAGGAACAATTATAAAATTGGGTTTATTAAAGTTGTAAATGTCATCTATTTGAAAACAATTTTTACATCACTGCTGCACTTCCATGAGCAAGTTTAGGATTTGTTGCAGGCATTACTTGAGAGACCTTTTTTGTGCAATGTGCAACTCATGACGACATGAAATAAACTGTTAACTATTACATAAGTAGTTACATTATTCGGTAAGTATCATTATGAGTGGCATATATCATGTCTAGAGGTTATCATTAATGCCGAATCTTTGTTAGAGTTTATAAAATTAAGGTTACTTAGATTTAGATTGAGAAGTTGAAACTTAGAGAGAAAATAGTGCAAA